CCGATATTAAGTTTTTATGCATCCTGACCTCAGATAAAAAAGGATATGTTATTAAGACCACCTCTGGAGTATCAAGTTGCAATGTCTTTATCCATAAATACACCTGTTTAAACATGAAATAAACCAATAGTATTGATCAGGAACTCGGCAAACTAGGTCATCCTTTTTTCAATTATCAAGGGAGAAAACTGTTTAATTGTGTGACAGTTTATTAAGGGGGAGTTATCTATCTTTTTTAACCAGGTTTTCAATTTTGAAAATCCTGGTTATTAGATTGGGGTATGGCGGGCGGATGGGCGGATGGGCGGCTGGGCGGATGGGCGGGCGGGCGTCAAACGAAATTGTGTCCGCTCTGTAACCTCTTCAACCCTTTGAAGAATTTTGATGAAACTGTTCAGACAAATGTTTACCACATCAAGATGACGTGGCAGAACGCATGTTCCGCATGGCTGGCTCCAAGGTCAAGGTCACAGTGACATTAACATTGAAATCCTGTCCGCTCTGTAACTCTTCAACCCTTTGAAGAATTTTGATGAAACTTCAGACAAATGTTTACCACATCAAGATGACGGTGCAGAACGCATAATCCGCATGGCTGGCTCCAAGGTCAAGGTCACAGTGACATTAACATTGAAAGTCCTGTTTACATGATTTTAACTTGTTACACTTTGAACTTTGTCTGGACATAACTCTAAAAGTATAAGAGGTATCAACATGAAACTTTGTAGGTAGATAGATCTCATTGAGTAGGTGTGCAATGCACAACAAACCATAACTCTGCCTTGCCTAATTTTTGAATTATCCCCCTTTGTTTATTTTACACTTTGAACTTTGTCCGGGACATAACTCTAAAAGTATAAAGAGGTATCAACATGAAACTTTGTAGGTAGATAGATCTCATTGAGTAGGTGTGCAGTGCACAAAACTGTAACTCTGCTTGCCTAATTTTTGAATTACCCCCTTTGTTTATTTTCACTTTGAAATTTGTCCGGGACATAACTCTAAAAGTATAAAGAGGTATCAACATGAAACTTTGTAGGTAGATAGATCTCAGTGAGTAGGTGTGCAGTACATGCACAAGAACGGTAACTCTGCCTTGTCTTATTTTTGAATTATCCCCTTTGTTTATTTTACACTTTGATCTTTGTCCGGGACATAACTCTAAAAGTATAAGAGGTATCAACATGAAACTTTGTAGGTAGATAGATCTCATTGAGTAGGTGTGCAGTGCACAAGAACGGTAACTCTGCCTTTGCCTACTTTTGGAGTTATTGCCCTTTGTTCATTTTGACACTTTGACTTTGTCTGGGACATTACTCTAAAATTATAAGAGATATCAACATGAAACTTTGTAGATAGATAGGTCTCATTGGGTGGAAGTGCAATGCACAAGAACCGTAACTCTGGCCTTGCCGTATTTTGAAGTAATTGCCCTTTGTTTATTTTTACTTTTTGACTTTGTCCTGGACAATACTTTAAAACTATTAGAGATATCAACATGAAACTTTGTAGGTAGCTAGATATAATTGGATAGAATTGCAATGCTTAAAGAACCTAAACAAAGCCTGGTCTAATTTTGGAGTTATTGCCCTTTGTTCATTTTTACACTTTGACTTTTACCTGGGACATAATTCTGATATCATCAGGAAACTTTATAGATAGATAGATCTCATTGAATAGAAGTGCAGTGCAAAAAAACATAACTCCGCTTTGCCTAATTTTGGAGTTTTTGCCCTTTGTTCATTTTTTTTATACTTTCCTGTGTCCAGAACCTTCTCGGGGAGCATCACCCGGTTCAACCGGTTCTTGTTTACCTAATTATGGCCCTTTGTTTTTTTTCCTTATACAGAATATATATAGTGAACACTTCTTCTGTGCGCAATTCCTCCTACATTATTCATGTTTTACATTGCACATAGTTACATTGTTTGTTGCTTGTATTTGTATTTCAAATACAACATATTTATCTACAATGGTGATAATTGAAAACCTGGTTTCATGGCATTGCCATGTTTCTTGTTTTATATTTTGTATAAAATCTTATGGTTGGGTTTAACATTGCACCAAATCTATCTTCTATGAACCGGGATGTATTTTAAGTGGCTATTATTGTAGGTTGACTACTTTGAATTTTAAATTGTGTCTTGTTTACTTTATATTTGCTATGCTTTTTAGTCTGGCATCAAAATGTACAACAGGAGTTGACTATATGTATATGATGACCATTGTATTTCTTATTTACCAAAGACTAAAGGATTATAATAACGATGAAAAAATTTGGTTCCCGTTAATTGAATTTGTCAGTATAATGGATTCCGATGTATTGAGTCCTGACTGTATGATGACTATTGTAAGAAGAAAAAATGTATTTCTTATTTACCAAAGACTTAAGAAAAAATTCCAAGTATTTAGCTGGTATTGCTGTATTTTATGATTATCTGGATGACCATAATGATCTTAAGTTTGTCAGGTGAGAAAATTCAAATCCTGGCACTTGAAATTCTCCTATCTTGGTCCTAAGCTAGAGCCCTTGTTATTTTGTCTGATCTTTTTAATACAATAAGTGTAACATGGAATACAAGTCTTCTGCCTACATTTGTCATTTGTGAATTTTGTAAAGTTACAATTTCTTAATTATTCCTGGCAAGATCGCTGCCATATTTATAAATAAATTCATGCCATTCCTGCCAGGCTTACAGAAAACAATAGAATGTTATGACTGGTCAGTTCTAGCAGTCCTGGTTAGTTCAGAATCAGTTTAAGTAGCCATGACTTTCATGAGTTTTCATATTGGCTTTAAGATCATTGACTTCAAATGAATCACTTGCCCCTCACTGCTGTAGGTTCAAATCCCACCAGACACCTTGATTTCTTTTATGTGAGGAAACTATCAAGTTAACTTACAGTACATCGGTGGTTTTACTCGTGTGCTGGTTTGTGCCTGAAATAATGCATGAAGGGGCACCTGAGGTCTTTTTCTATCTTAAAAGCTTGAAAGTCCCAGTATGACATTGACAGTGCGGTTACAATTTAAATTCCAAAAACACAAACAAGCAAATTTCATTTTGGCATTATTTCTTATAGTCAAGAAAACTAGTGACTATATTATTTTGCATTTTAAATATGGCTTATCTGGTGCTCTTAGACTAAATTTACAATATGTAATTAATTTTTTTTATATTGACCGTATGTATGTAAAACAAAGTAGATTCAATACAGTGATGCAGGCCCTGGTTACTCAGTGTAACCAAAATATAGTTACATTCAAACTTGTTTAAAAAGAAAGACTTTTTTTGGGTAGTGAATATCATTATGATCTTTATTGTCAGGAATTGAAGATAGTGTTAATGCTCTATCAATAAGGTGTTTGTGCACTAAGGGGAGTGGTGACTATTTTGGTTAAGGTGCCTGCCTCTTAACTTAAGGGTCATGGGTTCAAGTGGTCACAGATATATTTCTTCATACGGCACCAGTGCTGGCTAGCTCCAGGATAAAATATACCAGTTCACATTTCACCTTCATCTAATCTTGTGTAAAATTTTTAATTAGTCTGTTGAGTACCTTCCATAAATATCTATCAGTGGATGTGGTTTCAGGTAAAGTTACTGTGGTTCGAAGAATAGAAGGCCAACCTGCTCCACTGTACATTTACAGCATGTTTGTGTTGACTTTGGTTAAAGTTTTGTATCTCAACCACAACATGGATTTTGACAGAATTATGGCCTTTATTTTCCAGACTCTTTGTTTTATAATAAAACACTAAGAATTGTTGAGAATACTGTCCTACCAACAGTTTTTGTTTTATCTGTAATTCTTTTAAAGAAATAACACAGCTAATGAAATCAGTAATACTGTCTAACCTGTCTTTAGTGACCTCAAATCAGAATAACAAAATAAAGCTGATAGACAACGAGGATGGTGATATGTATTAGTCAAGAATTGCGGACTAAATCTTTCAAAATTCATAATTACATTTTCCAGTTATGTCAATTTACAACGAAAAAGGCAAAATATGCAATATTTGTATTAACTTTAACATTAACATCATTTTCAAAAAATTATATCTTAAAATGCATTGTTTTTATTAACTAAATGAAAAAAAAATTAAAAAGTTGAAACTGTTATGATATTCATTATAATTATGGTATGTTACTCTGCATTTTAAATTATGTTATTACTTATATTGGTATACCAATGGAATACAGAGCTATTTTATATATATTTCTGAAAGTTTATTTTGTTGTAATAATCAAAAGCAAATGAAAAATCATGTATTTCAACAATTAATAGCAATTAGAATTAAGTAACATAATTTTGTATTGTGAAAATGCCCTGTATAAAATCATCTTTAATAATAAATCATGTACAATATTGCTCTATATTAAACCTCATTTGCATATGCCCTTCTACGGTATATCTAATATGACGTCATTCGAACCATAAACCGCATACAGACCGGGGGCAGTCCATAATTCTTATATGGACTGGATGCCATCATATTAAATATAGAAGGGCGTATGCTAATGACAATGCTAATGCTTTTTTACTGAATTTATTGTTTTGTTTCACATAAACTTATTACATGTTGATCAAAAGTCATGATTTGTCTTTAAATTGAAAAAAATAATAAAAAATCGGACTAAGGTTTGAGATATTTTACACGCTGAACAAATAAATTATTATTTGAAAGCAAATTAAAGAAAAAATGACAGCAACAAAAGGGGTGAAAGGATTTAGATTCGGTATAATTTAACAAATTCGACAATTTTCGTAACTTTCCATGTCCCATCACTATCAATTAAGCGTCTATGTGATAAGAAGCCTGTGATCAATCAACACGTGGGTGAAGACGTTACAACTATACGAGATATTAAAGATTCGGTATAATATAACAAATAAAACATGGCCTTTCAAACAAAATTCAAGTTTACGGACTGGTTTGTCAGACCTAGGAAGGTATATGGCCGGAAGCGCAGCTTCGGGCCATATACCTTCCTAAGTCTGACAAATCAGTCCGTAAACTTACATATTGCCCTCAAAGCCATGTTTTATTTGTTGATTGATTTATTTACTGTCATGTCTATGATTTATGTTGATGATTTAAGAATTAGCATCATATTTGAAGAACTTAAGCCAATGACCATGGTTTGATCATCTCTTCTAATAGACACAGTCTGTGGACGAGTCCATGCATTCAAAAACACTTTAATATTTTCATCTTCTTTCTTGTCTGTTGATAAAAGGTCAGATGATGATTGTTTTTTCACCAGGAGTAATTTATTTGCTAAGCTTGCACACAGTAAAAAGTTCCCCTGATCATCGTGGATAATCTTTTTCGGCCACATGAATACTGGACTTTCAATTCTGTACAAAACTTTCCCTTCAAATGATAAACAAGTCACTGTGTTTCTTTTGCTATCAGTTACATAGATATCACCATTATATTGGTTCACATCAATATAGAATGGGGAATCAAAGAGCAGTTCACCTTTGTCATCAACAATGATGTTTCTCAAAACTCTACCAAGTTTGTGTCTAATCTGTATGCCACTGTTTCCTGGGTTATCATGATATGATATTAGAATTTTATCTTTATAAGAAGCAATACCCCAAGGTACTCTTTTAAGTCTGACTGTCATATTTTGCTGCTGTAATTTCCCTGATATAATTTTAAGGTAGACAAGCATCTTTAGACAATTCAAAGTAACGACAATTTCACCAGTGTCTGTAAGTGTCACGTCCCAGACCTTGCATTTAAGTTTATGTTTACTTGTCATTTTGAACTCCTTATCATATAACAAAACAGTTGAGTTGCCGCGGTCACACAAAATAAGGGAACCATCTGGGAGAAAAATGGAACCAGTTATATCACATAGACATTGATTTCCTTCCAAGTTGATGTATTTATATGAGAAGTTCCTGAAGTTCAGATTTTCAAATATCAGGTCCTGCTTTCCAGGAGTAACTGTTGTTGTTTTCATTGCCTTTACATCTCTAGTCAGGTTATGCTTTTTCTTTACACTGTTTTGTTTACACATTGCCCCCTTGGTAGGCTCATTTTGATGATTTTGTTGTTTTGATTTTTTCAAACCCTCTGTTGCAGTTTCATCAGGATGATTTTGTTGCTTTGCTGGAACAGACTTTTCCAAACCCTGTTTTGGAATTTCATCTTTCAAATAATTTGTTTTCTCGTGTGGTAGTTCTTCTGACTTACAATTTAAAATGTTTTTGTTTGTTTGTTTAGCTTCTCCATTTCTTTCTTTTCTGATATTTCCTACAGTGTACATCTGTTGCTGTTTGTTGGGTAACCTATTTTCGTGTGCACTTACTTCTGCAATTCCATCTGAATTGTCACCAGCCCTCAGAAGCCTATTTGTCTCTATGTCTTTTATCATACTTTCACACATACCATTTAGTTTCAATAACTTATTTCCAGCTTTATTTGCCTGCATTTTCATTACTTTGACGGCTATTCTGTCCTTCACTGTCACACAGTCTTCAAAGTTTTCTTCTAACTTGCATGTTGCCGCAAAGATAGCTGCATGGTCATGTGATTTTAGGACATCATCTGCTTGGACACTGAGCGAGTCCAAATCATTTATGACGTCAGAATACATAGCAATACTTTCTCTCAAATCATTGACATAAAACTTTTCCTGGATTTTTTCTTCTTCCATTTCATGTTCCAGGTTGTCAAAGAGTGCACCCATTTTCTGCCTCAAAGATTTAAGTTTGTTTCTCTGGGTTCTAGAACTGGCTGCTGTTACATCAATAACTTCTGTTTGCTCTGCCCTTAGTGTTTCAAATTCAGTTTTTATTCCTTTTATTTTCCTTGAAACATTGTCAAACTTAGTTCTGTCCTCACTAACTGATACCAGTTCGTTTATTAGGTCACACTCACAATTTGGGTGATTAGCAAATTTACATAAATTGCAAAACACAGACCTGTGGTTCCTGCAGTAAAACTGGACTTCTTTCATATGATGATTATCACAAAGTTTCAGCACTGGTTTTGGTTTTGTTACCATTCTAGTCCTTGACATTAAATCTCCACGAAGAATGTGATGTTGTCGAAATGCTTGAAATTTTCTGTGAAACTGAAGGCATTGATGACACAGAAATTCATTACAGTCATGACAAAATGCACTAGATTCTTGATGTTTATCCTCAAACTTGCATGGGTCACAGTTTATCACTATGGAATCCTTAGATGCACAGAATTCTTCTTCATTCATTGTTAAAATATTCACTGATTTTATATTGATTAAATTTCTTTTTACATATTTTGCAATGCTAAATGTAGACAATTTTAAAATGTTTCACATTCTTACTTGATAAACCACCCCTGGAGTCTCAGGTTACAATGTCTTTGTATTTAAATATAAATGTTTAAACATGTGCCGCAATGATAATAATGTTATATCTGATAGTGAAGTCATTTAACTAGGTCAATTTTTTTGTTAATCGGTCTCAAGGGAAAAAACTGTTTTATTGAATGATAGTTTGAAATAGAGGGAGTTATCTATCTTTCATGAAACTTCCATTTGTAATGTAATCATTTTGTAATTGCTCCAATAATTTTAATGTCTTGTTTGTATTTTATTTTTGAAATTATTTAAAAGTAATTTGATTTAATAAAATAGTTTTTACAGGAGTGTCTTGATCTTAAACTTGCATTTGACTTGAGTGGATTTTACTAGGATAGGATCCACTAGGCAAGGTAGTGCCAAGACTTAATGTAAAGTGACTTTTCCCTATAGATTTTACAGCCAGATAAAGGTTGTTTCCCATGGTCAAAAACAGGTATATTTATACCCCCAAAAACGAAGTTTGGGGGGGTATATAGGAGTCACCCGGTGGTCGGTCGGTCGGTTGGTCGGGCAGTCCGTCAGTCCAGACGTCCGTTGCATTTTCCTTGTCCGGAGCATAACTTGAAGACTAATGGTTGGAATTCAATATAACTACATACAATGGTCAAGCACATTGAGAGGAAGTGCAGTGCACAAGAACCATAACTCTATCTTGACTAATTACAGAGTTATTGCCCTTTGTTACTTTTCCTTGTCCGGGGCATAACTTGAAAACTACTGGTTGGAATTCAAAACAACTTCATATAATTGTCAAACACAATAAGGGGAAGTGCAGTGCACAAGAACCATAACTCTATCTAAAGTAATTACAGAGTTATTGCCCTTTGTTACTTTTCCATTGCTCTCTTTTGTCAGGACCTTAACTTGAAGACTAATGGTTGGAATTCAATATAATTACATACAATGGTCAAGCACATTTAGAGGAAGTGCAGTGCATAAGAACCATAACTCTATCTTGACTGATTACAGAGTTATTGCCCTTTGTTACTTTTCCTTGTCTGGGGCATAACTTGAAAACTACTGGTTGGAATTCAAAACAATTTCATACAATTGTCAAACACAGTAAGGGGAAGTGCAGTGCATAAGAACCATAACTCTATCTAAAGTAATTACAGAGTTATTGCCCTTTGTTACTTTTCAATTGCTTTCTTTTGTCCGGACCATAACTTGAAGACTAATTGTTGGAATTCATTATAACTTCATACAATGGTCAAGCACATTTAGAGGAAGTGCAGTGCACAAGAACCATAACTCCATCTTGACAAATTACAGAGTTATAGCCCTTTGTTACTTTTCCTTGTCCAGAGCATGACTTGAAAACTACTGGTTGGAATTCAAAACAACTTCATACAATGGTCAAGCACAATAAGGGGATGTGCAGTGCACAAGAGCCATTACTCCATCTTGACTAATTACAGAGTTATTGCCCTTTGTTACTTTTCCATTGCTTTTTTTGTCCGGAGCATAACTTGAAGACTAATGGTTGGAATTCAATATAACTTCATACAATGGTCAAGCACATTGAGAGGAAGTGCAGTGCACAAGGACCATAACTCCATCTTGACAAATTACAGAGTTATTGCCCTTTGTTACTTTTCCTTGTCCAGAGCATAACTTGAAAACTACTGTTTGGAATTCAATACAACTTCATACATTTGTCAAGGACATTAAAAGGAAGTGCAGTGCATAAGAGCCATAACTCCATTTTGACAAAATACAGAGTTACTGCCCTTTGATACTTTTCCTTGTCTGGAGCATAACTTAAAACGTACTGGTTGGAATTCAAAACAACTTCATACAATGGTCAAGCACAAAAAGAGGAAGTGCAGTACACAAGAACTATAACTCCATCTTCAATATTTATAGAGTTATTGCCCTTTGTTCCTTTTCTTTGTCTTTCTGGGCTTATTACAGAGTAATTCAATAAAACTTCATCAATTGCCAACCACATTGAAAGGAAATGCAACATACAAGAACCACAACTATCTTTAATTGCCCACAACCATAACTATATTTCAATTCTTTTACAAGGTATTCTGTTAATTGTAACATCCTCATTTCCGAAGCAGTCTTGTGGGGGTATTAATCACATTTAGTGATAGTTCTAGTTCCCCTAGAAATGCTATATTTTCCCCCCAAGCTGTTGCAAGTTCAGATTTTTTGGGAAAACTGTATGATATTAAAGGGAAGAGGCCTTTTATAGGCTCCAGGTATATAAGGTTTAAAATTACTGGCTGACTATTGCACATAACAGCAATAGGAACACCAGATCATAATAACAATAGAAACAATCTAACCTGAATTTTCAGACTGACAGCAGTGAAGACATTGGTAGCTGGTGTTACTGAATTTGATATTGAATTTGTCAAAGTAAAATTTTGGAGCATCCAGTGTTATTAACAATATTCTGGTATAATCTCAAACTTCAGAAAGGGGACTTACCTTTGGTTTGACTGTATTGAAATATAAACATCTAAATATAGAGGGTTAACTGTAATGTATTAACTGTATTTCAGTGAGGAGATGAAGGCAGAACATGAGAGAGACAATGCTGAGAAGGCCAAAACTATTGTACAGGTAATTTCATATCATTGTTAGTAGTTACACTCTACCTATGTTTTTTTTATTTATTCACAGAGTATCAAGAAACAAAGTTGTATAGTTAAGTGACTGTTAAATTTGTTCTTAAAGGGAAAAATTTAACCCACACCTCACAAAATATCTTAAATGCACTAAATTGTGTCACCTTAATGCAGTAATGGATTAAGTCCTTCTTTATTTATTTGTTTATAAGTTATTGCACTTAGATGTCATCTTCTCAATTTTTCATTTGGACAAAACCATACGAGGGTTGTCCAAAAAATTTGTGCACTGCAGTTTTTGTTGTGAGAGTTATTAATAAAAACAAATTAATTATATATCACTTGAAGGGAAAATCTGTCTCAAATAAGAAAACAAAATAGAAAGCCAAGTAACCGGCGTGTCGTGTAAAAGAATGGTCATTAAGTTACCTTAGTAAAGTAATACCGGCGCACGACTAAAATTGGGTCAGTTCATTACTGTAATTGTATTAATTGTTTGTAGCTTGTTAAGTGGCATTTTATGTTATAATTTGTTTTACTGTCAAAAGAGGAATGATTGATACAAAGTAGTTTGTAGTTCTTATTGTTCTTATGCAACGTACATGTTACTTATTCCACCAGTGCACGAATATATTGGACAACGCTTGTCACATGAGCCGGCATTAAGGACGGATGTCTGTCTGACCGGTTGTCATCGTCTACTGAGTCTTGCACTTCTACAGAGCGTTTGTGACATTTAAAAACCATTTCTCGTGACACTGAAATTGTCTCGCTTGCCCTTTTAAGTTCTTTGTAGGTATCTGTTGGTGTTATACCAATATTTGCTCAAAATTTAATGATCGTCCTATTTTCAGACGTTTAGCGACTGACATTTTCACGTAATTACGGTATTGACGACCACACACAAATGTTTGTTTTTGACCATTACAATAGGGCAAATGACGTCATATTTTCTAGTGACTTTAGGAATACGTACACACACTTTTCCCTGAATTTTAACGTTTAAATGTAGTGTTGAAAGAATACCGTGATGCATCACCCAATTTTTTGTCGTGCGCCGGAATTACGTTACCAAGGTTACTGTATGACGATTCGTTTTCACGACATGCCAGTTACACATTTTTAGCTCACCTGTCACAAAGTGACAGGGTGAGCTTTTGTGATCGCTTTTCGTCCGTCGTCCGTCCGTAAACTTTTACTTTAAATGACATCTCCTCATAAATCACTAAGCCAATTTCATCCAAACTTCACAGGAATGTTCCTTTGGTGGTCATCTTTAAAAATTGTTCAAAGAATTTAATTCCATGCAGAACTCTGGTTGCCATGGCAACCGAAAGAAAAAACTTTAAATATCTTCTTTTAAAAAACCCTAAGAGCTAGAGCTTAGATATTTGGCATGAAACATCTTCTAGTGAGTGTCTACCAAGTTTGTTCAAATAAAATCCCTGGGGTCAAAATTGGCCCCGCCCCAGGGGGTCATTGATTTTCCCTATATGCATATAGTAAAAACTTAAAAAATCTTCTTTTAAAGATGTCAAAGAGCTAGAGCTAAGATATTTAGCATGAAACATGTTCTAATGGGTGTCTACCAAGTTTGTTCAAATAAAAGCCCTTGGGTCAAAATTGGCCCCGCCCCAGGGGGTCATTGATTTTCCTTATATGTGTATAGCAAAAACTTAAAAAATCTTCTTTGAAAAAACCCAAATAGCTAGAGTTTAGATATTAAGCATGAAACATCTTCTAGTGAGTGTCTACACAGTTTGTTCAAATAAAAGCCCTGGGGTCAAAATTGGCCCGCCCCGGGTGGTCATTGATTTTCCTTATATGTGTATAGCAAAAACTTGAAAAATCTTCTTTGAAAAAACCCAAATAGCTAGAGTTTAGATATTAAGCATGAAATATCTTCTAGTAAGAGTCTACAAAGTTCGTTCAAATAAAAGCCCTGGGGTCAAATCTGGCCCCACCCCAGGGGTGTCATTGTTTTTAACTATATGTGTATAGTAAACTTAAAAAATCTTCTTTTAAAAAACCCAATGAGCTAGAGCTTAGATGTTTAGCATGAAACATCTTCTTATGGGTGTCTACCAAGTTTGTTCAAATAAAAGCCCTTTGGTTAAAATTGGCCCTGTTGGGGGGGGGGGGAATAATTAATTTTCATTATATGTGTGTAGTAAAAACTTAACATCGTGAAACATCTTCTAATGAGTGTCTTCCAAGTTTGTTCAAATAAAAATGTTTTTGTTGAAATTAAGAAATCTAATGTATCTCATGCCTAAAATAAGAATTTTTGAATGTTAGATTGAATCTTTCAAATATGCAAATGAGTTGTGTCTAATCTGTGGAGGTTTATAAGAACTGAAAGAAATGAGATGTGTTTTCTGTAAAATATCCTTATTGTTATTTCATTGTTTATTTGTTAAAACAGCACACTTCAAGATAAGTTCAATAAATCTTTGGGGAGAAAAACAACAACAGAGAAAGAAATTTGATATCCTGTCTTTTCTGAGATTTATACATTTCTCAGAAGATGTACATTATTTGGCATTGTTGGTTTTTTTTCTCCAACAAAGAGAGGTAATTGAGTGTGGGTTGTTTTGTTGTTTTTCCCTTCAATAAAGGAAGGTAATTGACTGTAAGAATGTTTGACACAATGATTAACTTCATATGATGTATGTCTGCACAGTTGAAGAGAGTTGGTAGAAAGTACAAGGACCAAGCCGAGGCCACCACCAAGGAGTTTGAGGAGTACAAGGCTAAACAAGAGAGTGTAGAACAGACAGAAAAACAGACAGAGAAACAATTTCAAGTAAGTATTATCAGTTCATTTGGTCTATTGATTTAAAAAAGACTGTCACAAATCCAAAATGTATTGACAAAAAGAAATGCAATTTAGGTTAAAAGTTAAATATTTAACAAGACTTCACAAGTACAAAATTCCATGTCAAACATCTTATTTTCATCATCAGGCAAATGCTGAGAAAATCAAAGAGTTAGAACAGACAATAAAAGAAATGGAGGAAAATTTGAAGACAGCAAAGAACAGTATTGTTGAGATGACAGGCAAGAACACCATAACTGAAAACAAGTTGAAAAGTGTGGAAACTGCTAATCAAACTCTAGAAAGCAACTTGAAGGTAGATATTATTAATGACAGTTTTGTTTGTAAATATATTTGTGTAATTTAAAGAACACCAAAATTAAAAAGATTGATTTTGAGAAAATAAAATAAGATAAAAGCATTTCTGAGGTATAATAGGCCTTTAAAATAGAGTGGTGGTGTGGCCGCGTGGTCAACACATCGTTCTAGTAATCTAAGGATTGCTGACCACGTGGGTTTCAAACCCTGTCAGGGCTAGGCCATTGTTTCCTTGAGCTAAAAACTTCATATTCTTAGTACTGGTTTGTTCCAGGAACGGATTCGAGAGTGTTTCAATAAGCTTTTAGCTTCCAGCACATTCAAACTAAAATAAATTTGTATTAACTAAAATTGTAACTGATAATAAACAAGAACATGTGTTGAAAGAAAAACTTTTTTCACTGTGTGTAAACTAGGAATTGGAGGAGAAAATAAGGAATGCTGAGCAAACAATTATCACAGTGAGAGCAGAGAAGGAGGATATAGAGCAAATGATCGGACAGAAATCACAACAACAAGAAGTTGAGTCGGCCAAAATCTTACAACTACAACAGGTATACTCAAAAATTAATGATATTTTAGAACAAGGATATGTATTATTAGTTATAAAGATTTTATGATAGGTTATATCGTCCTATATGAATGGTTGTTTGGAAATATTGTGGTGAGGGTTATATTGCAAATAACCCTTTATAAACAGCCATATAAACAAAGGTAACCTGTCTGGAATCTTTATAATGAATTTATGATACAACAAACTTCCTTTTTTAGAAAAAAATAAAAAGAAGAAATTTCTTAATAAATTGACAGCAGATGTTTATATAAGATGATATAAATGTTATGATTATCCAATGAAAACCTACATTACAAATGTGCAGTGTTGTAACAGTGAACATAATATTTAAATGAGCTCTCAAAATAATTTTTTGCACTCTTATTAAGCTGTTAAATTATTCTCAATTGAACAGTTACAAACTAAGGTGACATCTGGCTAGCCTGTATCTTGATGCACTATACAGAGGATATTAAATGAGTGTAGGTTCAATACTGAATTTATTGAACAAGTTGATCAAAGGGTTATGACTTTTTAGCTCGACTATTATGTAAGAATAAGTAGAGCTATTGTAGTCACCCGAGCGTCGGCGTCAGCGTCGGCGTCGGCGTTACCACTTATGTTAAAGTTTTTGTAATAGTTCAAATATTTTCAAAGTCCATTGACATATGGCTTTGAAACTTTGCACACTTGTTCACCATCATGACCCCAACCTGTAGACAGGAGGAGGTAACTCTTATCAAGCATTTTGACAGAATTATGCCCCTTTTTTGACTTAGAATTTACGTTAAAGTTTTTGTAATAGTTCAAATATTTTCAAAGTCCATTGACATATGGCTTTGAAACTTTGCACACTTGTTCACCATCATGACCCCAACCTGTAGACAGGAGGAGGTAACTGTATCAAGCATTTTGACAGAATTCTGCCCTTTTTCGACTTAGAATTTACGTTAAAGTTTTTGTAATAGTTCAAATATTTTCAAAGTCCATTGACATTGCTTTGAAACTTTGCACACTTGTTCACCATCATGAACCCAACCTGTAAACAGGAGGAGGTAACTGTATCAAGCATTTATTTTTACTATCAAGCACTAAGAATAGTCGAGCGTTGCTGTCCTACCGACAGCTCTTGTTCTAGCATTCAGTCTCCGGTGAGTGACGTGAGGGCTTATCATCACACTCTTATTTTGAGATTGTCAGAAAAGGATTTTTTTATCCTTGGACTATTTTCTTTCCTTTTAGCAAATAAACAAGCATAGTGAAGATTTCAATAAGTTAAAAGAGGAGAAATCCGAGGTTGAGAAGAAGTTGACAAAAGCTCACCACATGCTCCAGTCGGCCAAGACAAGACTGCAGTCATTGAAGGAGACCAATGACAGACTGACCAGTGATAGGTTGGAGATGAGGAAACGAATATCTGAACATTCTTCAAATACTTCTCTTGGTATGTGTTTCTTTAAAGGCCCATTATGCCTCAGAAATACTATCATTTTTATTTCTCAAAAAGTTTTTATATTATGGTATTTTGTTACAAATTACAATTTTCAAAAATATACTTATTTTCCATATAGATGAACTATCTTTTGCTCTCTCAAACAGCACTTGGTATAATTATATTAACTAAGTATTTTGTATGGAAATCAAAATACTACTTTGTTAAACATTTTGCTACTCTTATGACACATTACTGCACATTAAGCTTTACTTTCTTCAGTATTTAAACATGTATCATGCTCTAAATTCATTATTGAAACATTTAACACATGTTTGACATTTCTAAAGAATATATAATATGGATTTCTGAGTCATAATGTGCCTTCAAATTTCAATATGTTTTTCCAATCTATTTATATTTGCACTTCATGCAGAAGACTAATGTCAGATTTGTTTGTTTGTTTACTGTAAATATAATATGAGTTCTGGTCTAAGAAATAATGAGGAAATGATGTCATTATTGGCATCATTACATCAAATTTGATTTTATTTGGAATGTTAGCCTATAGTTAAAACTTAAAACATGTGTTTTCTGTTTTTGTCAAGCAGCAATTGTATGACAAGCAATGTATTTTCAGAAAAATTTAAACATATGTATAGAATATTTTGAATGAAAAAAATTTATAGAGCTTAGTAGTTGAATGATTAAATTTGCCCCCCTTGTTGCTGAGGGGCTGCTTTTAATGGTTGAGGCATAAGAATTGTAGATTGTTTATCCCTGCTTGATCGTAAGAGGCGACTTTATGGGTTTGGATAACTGGAGTGTATGCATCTAGTACCTCCAGCAAGTGAGGTTGTTTCGACTTCTTGTGTTGCTTTGAAGTTTGAAACACCGAAGGTTGCCAAAATCATCTTTCCTGTTTTGGCGCCATTTGACCTATTGTTAATATACTGTGTTGGTGTGCCATAAAACCAAACAAGCAATGTTTAAGGTTTGCTGACTTTGAGCCATTTGCCATTCACCACAATAACTTATTATAACTTTAAAAGGAAACTTAGATTATTTCATATAAGGAAGCTATCCAGTCAACTAATGAATGGTTGGTAGATCTAAATGCCTGAATTAATGCTTGAACGAGTAACAGTAGTCTTCCTCCACCAATAAAACTGGAATGTCACGATATTACTTAAACTGCAATGGTGTGACTTAAGTTAAAATCCAACCAAAGTAATAATAAAACAGTGTTTTGCACAGAGAAACGTGGAAAAATTATTTTGAAGTTTAAGTCAATGTTGTTGGTATTGTAGCTGACGAGACAGAGGGTATGGAAAGTCGAGTCAAGGAGCTGGAGTCACAGATAGATACCTTGAAACAAGAAGTCACTTCTAGAGATAATACCATTGCTGAACAACAGAAAAATGTACGTATTTAAAGAAAAAAAGTAATTAACCGTTAACGTGACGGAACCGAAAGTGATTAGCCTTTACCACCAACCAGTATAGAGCCTGTCCATTGTCGAACAGATCCATTCTAGGCTCTGTACTGTTGGCAGTTCAATATTAATTTTGTATTTCAATATTGAAATCTCTTTAAATTTGATTGGACAGTTCCAAAAAATTCTAAAAAGGATTAATCCAGGAACAACTGTTGGGTTATAATTGACTGAAATAGTAACTAAAAACAAACATTGTACCATGAAAATGATAAGTTATTGATACAGACTTTTAAGTTTTGGCATAAATCCAGCCAAAATGGAATAAGGCCCAATTTCTTTTGTTATTTTATTTTGTATAATAGAGGGCCATTGACCCCTTAATCTATTGTTATAAAATACACTCTATTGTACTCTTTTGTTTTGTTTACAGATCCCTATTAAGTTGCGCCACTTTTCTTATAACTACTTTTATTATTATCATTTTCTCTAAATCATTGCTCTTAATTATTGTTGTTATTGTATTTCTTTCATGTTACTGAAATTTATTTGTGTTATTGTATTCACTATTGAGTTTTTACTGTATTGGTTTTGTTAATATTACATTATTTACTATACGACTATAATGTTGTATACCTGTAGATGCAGCAGTTACAAAATAAGTTAGATAGTCAGAAGCTTGCTCCGTCACAGCCAGCAGCTCAGGTGTCAAGGTCAGGGGGAAGTGTCGCCCCTGATAGGACAAGGTTTGTATTTTATATGTTTTTGTTAGTTGGCTTACTTGTTTCCCAGTTATACGTGATTTTGAGGATCTTAGGTTGTTGTCCCTTGTGCCCAGGTTCTCATATGTGCATTATTTCAGGCTTAAGCAATCAGTTGGATAGAAAAAGCAACCTTCAAAAAGCTTACTGGATATTTTTATTAAATAGAGGAACATGTTCCTTGCAGGATTTCAGCATGCTTCACTGGGAGGCAACATGCAGATTAATCTCCTCTTGGAACACTTATTATCTACTCAATATTCTTATGAGTATATGTGTTGGCTTCATCTAATTGCTATACAGTTCCTGAATATGTAGCTGAATATTCAAGTTTTGATGACTGAGGTCAAAAAGGCTAAAAACCTAAAATTTTGAATTTTATCAAGTTAAGCACTTAAAATGGAAAAAAATCAAGAAATACACTCTGAATTAATTTGAATATAGACTTTTTGTGTGATTCTTAGCCTCATTCAAAGCGTTGCACTGTTTTTCTATTTGGTATATTTTGCACAATAAAAATTGCTTTATCTTGAAAAAACATGGTGAGGGAGTAATCTGAAAATTTGAACACAAGTTATTTATCCAGAACAAAATCAAATGGTTTACAAATTTTGGAGAAAATATTTGCAGCCGCGTCGTGTCAAAAACCCTCATTTTCAAAAGCTCTCTGTTAATGTATAAAATTTTCAAACTTATTTTTGCATGTACATAGTAGACCTAGTGTGTATGGTTTGAATTTATATTTATTTATTTCATGATTTTTTCAGTTCCTCACCATCAGAACCACCAAAGACTGCGAACATTCGCCCTATAGCCTCTAGTCCGGCAAGTATCAAGCCTCAGACAGTTCCAGTACAGCCTCAGTCAGCCGCCTCTAAGGTGATGGCTAGCATACGACCCATGGCTATTGCCGCTACTTCTGTGTCCACCATTACAACTGGTACACCGACGGCAACAGTGATGCCTACAACAGCTATTTCTCAACAAGAAGTTCCAGAAGGTTAAATCTTTTTTGTTCTCAAAAGCTTTATTGCCGCCTTAAACGTATTTACAATTTGTATTTTGTTTGGGCATAAGTTTTGAGCCAAAATAATCCAAATGCTTAAAACAAGGATCTAGAAAAAAATAAAATGATTTTTAGATATTTTGTTGTGAACTTTGTTTATTATTAAGAGTAACAGTGTAATGAAATTAACCTGCAAATTTTATGCTGTCCTGTGATGTTGTTTTCTTTCTTTACCAAAATATTTTTGTACAAATTTCTTCTGACTGGGAATTTTATTTACTGTTACTTGAATCTACTCATTTACTAAAATTCAAATTTACTTATTTTCATTTTTAGAAGAAGTTTTAGCACCAGTACAGCAGTTGTTCCCACAGTCTACATCAGTTGGGGGCAGACCTACACAACAAGTTCATAGAGTCATTCCTACTCAAGGTTTGTCTTTTATCACTTTATCATTCTACTTACATTATAATAACTTTTTCCGTTGGCAGGAAGATTTTTAGATAATTATTTAGTGTAAAAGCACAATTGTTTTTGTTCATTTCCTTTTTGCAAGTCTAGATAATTATATGGTAGATTGCTACAATTTTAAGAAATTGGCCTTTACTTTAGTTATCTTGGTAAAGTTGAACATTTTGTAAGATCTATCATAAAAAATTTGCTTTTGGGAGTCAGTTAACTGACAAAACAGTGGAATATTGGGGCATTCATAGGAACATTTCTAGTTTTATTCTTAAATGACATTCTGAAATATATGCTCTAAAAAGCTTCATAAGCTTTGTCTCAAACAACATAAAACATAATTCCATGTAATCATAGACTAATTTTCTGAATGGATGAGAATAAGTTTGACAGTAACTTTTATTATGAAAGACTTATACTTTATGCCAGAGTCCACAAGTGTTGAAAGCTTGCCAGAGAGTACCACAGAGACTGTGGTGGTTGAACCTGTACAGTCCACTTCCAGAGAAACTCCTGTGGTTGCCATGCAACAATCTGTTAAACGTCAGAGAGAGGAAGTTGAGAGGTAAAATGGTTTCCTATAGCTCTGGTCTAAACTATTGTATGTAATTATAGGTTAAGAGCAGTGTATCACTATTAAAGAAAAAAGTCCCCTTTGTTGATATAGATAAAATTGGTATTTGTTGGTATTATCTTTGTATTTTGCTTTTAAATTGTTTGATAAAACAGTGGCCTTTTACGTTAAGTTTTAAGTGGTAATTACAAGAAGGTTTTACTGTATATTGATGTTAGAATTTATTGTTTTCGTAAATTACAACAATAATGTACTTAATGTTGAATAAAAAAACATTTTATAGGAACAAAAAAAACATAGAAAGATAATAAAAACTGTCCTCTTATAAGGTACTTTTGTTTGAAGATAAGAGTAGTTTATTGCATTGGTTTTATTTTAATGTGATCGAAGATATTTTCCATATAATGTTTGACTTTACACATTATTTTGAATAAAACTGGAGGGAGGGGATGTCAGATAGTTAAATAGATTTTGTCATTATTTTGTGTTCTTGAAATATTTACAGCCCTGTAGATGATACTGTTGTCAAGAGAACTAGAGTTTCTACATCAGAGGTAACATATTTTAATTATCTTAATATTGCTTAAAAGTATTGATTACCCCTCATGTACTGACTCAATCAAACCGAGTCTGCAATTTTTCATGTAATTTTGTTGTGATTAATGCTTCTGAGGGATCACTTTGTTTCCAGATTTTTTTAACTCGGGCTGCAGCTTGTGCTTGTAATATTACAATAAGGGGGCACCCAAGGTTTTTCTACCTCAGTAGAGCTGAAAAAGCTTCCCTATGATCTTTTTACAATACTTTGAATTCACAAAATTTTGTGGTTGTGTCACAAAGAACATTTTTGTGGGTACTTTAATTTGTGAACTGTTTAGTTTTACAAAATGTAAATTTAAGTGATGCAAAATAATCTTAAAGCAGACAAAAAGAAATTTTGTTGGACCTTAAATTCATGGATTGACCTATCCATGAAAATTAGTTCCCCACAAAAAATAATGATTTTGCAGTATAATTGTGACTTAATCAAAATAAGAAAAAATGAATGACTCAAGCCCAACCACAGACATGTGAACTCTCCCACATTTAGCAGGAGACTCCCACTTTCTGCAGCCAAATTTTCAAAGATTTTTCATAAAATAAGGGGTATTTTCACAAATTAAAGAAATCTCCCTACTTTTGATGTTATAACTTCCTTCTTTGTTTATTGCAAATTCTAAAATCTCACATTTTTTGAAGAAAAATCTCCCACTTGATCATCAAAAAAAGTTCACATGTATGCAACCAAATATCATCATTGTTGTTTCAGCCTGATTCCAGTGAGATACCAGAAATAACGATATCTGAGGTAGCGCCCCAGGAGGCACCAGAAGATGTACAAGAGGCCGCAGAAGGTGATGCAGACCAGGAACCCGAGGAAACTGAGGCTCAAACTCAAGGGGAGGACACGGAGGAAGGAAGCCAGTTACCAGAGTCTGACCAAGTAAATATTGGTGTTAGATTAATGCAATATTCATAACTTTCTTGTCAGACAGATTAAATCATAAAAAATAATCAGATGTAACTTAATCTGAAAAAAGGGAGAAAAATGATGTATAAACTAATGATAGTAATAACTTTTTAAGTCAACCATTTACAAGACATTTAAACAATCTTCATATCTAAATGTAAATGGAACACATTGATATAGTTTGAAAGTATGAGTCCACTTGTGTTAGGTTGTATTCTTTGAATAATGATTTTGAAATATATTTAAAAGTTTGCAGTTACTTGCACAAAAAAAACTCAAAAAAAAAAACTGGTCAGGGATCTAGAGCACTAGATAAATAACTGCCGTCAGATATATGTCTGACTCTTGACTTAGGATTTGTTTATAAGAGATCTTTTGGTGTTCTTACCATGTTTCATATGACTTGGCTCTTGTATGCTCCTGAAAATGGACTCAACCATGTTTCAAACAGCTGCAAGATTACATAACGTTCAATGAAGTTAAGTATGTTTAACTTCATATTGCTGAAACTGGTACTAAAAGCCAACATAACAAAAGAGAAGCACATGATTGGTTTTATGTATTCATTGATGAGGTTATAAAAGTGGTTAAGGTCATTGCCTCTCACCACTGAGAGTTCACAAACTTTTGTGGTTCTATTCACACGCCTGCTTGTATCTTAGGGGTTCCTAAGGTCTTCCTCCACAAGTTAAGCTGGAAAGTCGCCATATGACCTTTGCAGTGTTGGTGCGATGTAGAATTCATAATAAACAAAAAAAACCTATTTGTATTATAACTGTATGGCATTGTTTTATGTTACCAGCAAGTAGAAGAGCAAGCTGAGGGTGATGAAATGCAGGACGAGGAAGGTATGGGTCAGGAACACAGAGTTAGTAGAGAGATGCAGGAAGATGATGATGATGACGAGGCTGTCATTATTGTAGAAAGTGAAGATGAGGTTTGTTTTCATTGTACATTTGTGTAGTTTGTTTTAAACTAAAGCTTCGAAATGTTCTTATGGTTAAGTTTAGGAGATTAGTAATTTTAAAGGAGGCTGTTTTCATAGTCCTGCAAGGAGTCATTATTTTAATACATTTTAAAGTGGTGATATCCTAGGTTCATGTAACAAAAGTTATATATGGAATTTTTCTTTGGTCATTAATTTCTTAATGTGTTCGAACATTAATTATGGATATCTTAAGTAAAATCCGAGAATTTATTTACTCTACAGGAAGATCAGGCTGAAGAGGATGGTGATGATGAGGAAGATGATGATGAGGAGGAGGACAATGATGATGATGAAGAAGAAGATGATGATGGTGATGATGATGATGATCAAGAAGGAATGGAGTATGGAGATGAAGAACAAGTACAGGAAGGGTTTGATGTTGGACAGGTACATTACAGAATGAGTTTTGAATTATTATTTTTTAGCTGAAACTAATGAGGAAGATTCTCATGTAAGCAAAGATCTCAAACCATTTATAAGCCAATGGATTTTACACTTTGCCTATTTTTGTATACATGCAGGTTTTTTTTACAAACTATTTGTAGTATGTTTTCAAACTCACCTTTTAACTATGAAATTTGGGAACACCTTTGCCTTTTGGATTGAATTGGGTTTATGTCGCACCAACACAGTACAGGTTGTATGGCGATTTTCCAGAAGACCTCAGGTATTATTCCTCTATGCATTATTTCAGGCACCTGGGTAGAACCACCAATGTTCTGTAAGCTTGCTGGATAGCTTTCTTAAATGAGAGAATCTGAAGATGCTTGTGTGGCTCAAACCTACAGTAGTGAGAGCAAGTGGTTTGTAGTCAACAACCTTAACCACTAGGCCATGGACGCCTTTAAAACCTGTCTGGCATTCAAACCAAACATCACTGTGCTGGCCATATGAATATGTCTTGTATGGCAGTGATTCTATTGGAGAAGTTGCTTGTATCAAGGAAGAAGACGATTTTATATTTATATAGAAACCAGGATGTCTCATTACCTTACTGCTAATGCATATATGACTGTAACATTATACTATGACACTATCTCCATCAAATCATCATATATATTTTATGTTTTGCAGGGGGATGTAAATGAGATGAATGAACAAGGTTACACAGATGAAGGAGGTGATATGCAGTCAGGAGGACAGAATCAGGATGATGACGATGTTGTTATTATAGGTATGTTGTTGCATTATCTACATAAATATCGGGGGCCTTAATTTTGTAATGGACAATGTCTCAAATGTCAAATTACTTACCCTTTTTGATACTGGTTTGAATTCAGCTGCATTGAAATATTCTTTATGTGGAATCTTATCCAGTTTGCTTTTGAGAGGATTAAGGTGCCTGCTTTGTCTATTAAAGCGCCAGAGAGGCCATCTGACATTGATATTGTCAGTATGGCGTAATACACCTAACAATACAGGAAAAATGACACAGTAAAATAAACTCACTAAAAATAAGTAATACTGTTAAAAGTCACAAGTGTGAAGGTTGAGCTATTCAAAGATTGCAAATGTCAATTTAACTAAATATCAAACAAAAAATCAAACCAGTCTCTATTAAATTTCCAACTAAAAGTAAGAAAATGTATTAATTGTTTGCTAAGATTTATTTTTCTATTTCTCAGATGAGGATGATGATGATGAGGGAGACGCTGGTGTTATGGATTCCCAGGAACCAGACTCACTGCCTGCAAGCCAGTCTAGCAGTCAGACCAGTCAACAGTCACTGGTTCCCCCATTACAACCTCTCATGCCACCTGAGAGACAATTGTCTACTGGAGGGAGGAACCAGCTTACACCTTTCATGATTGGGGTAGGATGTTTTTAATATTTTAAGAAATTTTCTCTTTAGGTCAGTTTCCGGTTTCTGGCAGTGACTGTTTCGTTTGTTTTTGTATTAATTCAGATCTGTTTATAGTTATACTTTTAAGTTTAAATGAATGATAAATTGCATTTTTAGGCAACTGGTGCAGGATTTGAAGTTGACCTTGATGATTGTACAGTGCCAAGTACCCCTACGCTAAATGTACCACGTAGAATGGATGGTTTTGCTGAGGCTGTCAGTTCCCCACAGGTGTCACAAAGGTTTATATTCGGCAGTGGAGGCAGTGAACAGAACCTGTCTTTGATAGAAGCCGGGGCAGGTATGTACACTAGATATAACTTTAAAATTCTATAAGTCAAGGGGACTCCACTGAGTCTTTTAGCTCACCTGTCACAAAGTGACAGAGTGAGCTTTTGTGATCACTTTTCGTCCGGCGTCCGTCCGTCGTCCGTAAACTTTTACTTTAAATGACATCTCCTCATAAACCACTAAGCCAATTTCATCCAAACTTCACAGGAATGTTCCTTTGATTTCACCTTTGAAAATTGTTCAAAGAATTAAATTCCATGCAGAACTCTGGTTGCCATGGCAACCAAAAGAAAAAACTTTAAATATCTTCTTCTAAAAAATCCAAAGAGCTAGAGCTTAGATATTTGGCATGAAACATCTTCTAGTGAGTGTCTACCAAGTTTGTTCAAATTAAAGCCCTGGGGTCAAAATTGGCCCCACCCTAGGGGGTCATTGATTTTCCCTATATGCATATAGTAAAAACTTAAAAAATCTTCTTTTAAAGAACCCAAAGACCTAGAGCTAAGATATTTGGCATGAAACATCCGCTAATGGGTGTCTACCAAGTTTGTTCAAATAAAAGCCCTGGGGTCAAAATTGGCCCGCCCCAGGGGGTCATTGATTTTCTCAATATGCATATAGTAAAAACTTAAAAAATCTTCTTTTTAAGAACCCAAAGAGCTAGAGCTATGATATTTAGCATGAAACATGTTCTAATGGATGTCTACCAAGTTTGTTCAAATAAGAGCCCTGGGGTCAAAATTGGCCCCGCCCCGGGGATCATTAATCTGCCTTATATGTGTATAGGAAAAACTTAAAAAATCTTCTTTGAAAAAAACCAAATAGCTAGAGTTTAGATACTAAACATGAAACATCTTCTAGTGAGTGTCTACCAAGTTTGTTGTAATAAAAGCCATACATGTGAACTCTCCCACTTTAAGTGGGAGACTCCCTCTTTCTGCAGGCCTATTTTCAAAGATTTTTCTTAAAATAAGGGGTATTTTCACAAATTAAAGAAATCTCCCTCTTTTTGATGTCAGAACTTCCTTCTTTGTTCATTGCAAATTCTAAAATCTCCCTCTTTTTGAAGAAAATGGAAAAAAGTTCACATGTATGAAAAGCCCTGGGGTCAAAATCGGCCCCACCCCAGGGGTCATTCATTTTCCTTTTATGTGTATAACAAAAACTTAAAAAATCTTCTTTGAAAAATCTCAAATAGCTAGAGTTTAGATATAAAGCACGAAGCATCTTCTAGTGAGTGTCTACAAAGTTTGTTCAAATAAAAGCCCTGGGGTCGAAATTGGCCCTGCCTCAGGGGACATTGATTTTCCTTATATGTGTATAGCAAAAACTTAAAAATCTTCTTTGAAAAAACCCGAATAGCTAGAGTTTAGATATTAAGCATGAAACATTTTCTAGTAAGTGTCTGCAAAGATTGTTCAAATAAAAGCCCTTGGGTCAAAACTGGCCCTGCCCCCGGTGTGTCATTGTTTTTAACTATATGTGTAAAGAAAAAACTTGGCCAGCTTAAGACCTTAGATGTTTAGCATGAAACATTTTCTAATGGGTGTCTACCAAGTTTGTTCAAATAAAAGCCCTAGGGTTTAAACTGGCCCCGCTCCGGGGGCCTATATACAGGTGAGCGACTTCAGGGCCATCATGGCCCTCTTGTTTTTGATATCATGGAACTGAAAGTAATTTTTCAAGATAAAAGTCCCATTTGATGTAGGTCTAGACTTATGACTTGTGTGCAAATTTTCAGACCTTTCTCTCATGTGTTTTTTGCAGAATAATTATTCTAATTGTGAATAAAACCCAAATTTTTTCTTACTGAAGAATTTTTTGAGGTTGTTCATGAAAGATTGTTCTACTAAGTAAGGTATGTAAGGCCAGAAGTAGTACAAAGTAATGTACAGGTCATTATATAGCAACTTTTTCCATTATTACAGCAATACATGTGGATGTTTTTATTTTGCTTTTGTTTTCAGCTCTAGGAATGGGTATGGACGACACACGCATGGATTTGTCTCAGTTAGAAGAAGGATCTGGCCGCAGTGTACCCTCCACACCGCTACACTCCACTGCCCCAGGTATGTGCACTTTCATTTATTTATTGCATTAATGGCACATTATGCGTATGAAATGGGATATTTTTGTGCCGCCTGATAAAGAGTAGCATTTCCAGTCCAATGATTAATTTTAAAGTTAGTCCAAACTACTTCTCTTACACTACTAAAGAAATCTGAATAAAAACTTACAGGATTGGCAGTATCTCAAGTTTTTTCGCATATTTAAAACTTGTCTGTTTTCGCATATTTTAGTTACTATTATAACTGAAGCAGCTGATACCATTCCAAGCCAATCAGAAACAGCTGTTACATCTGTCAGCCAATCAGAACTAGGGACACAGGAGGAGGCGGAGTCTGGTTTAGAACAGTTTGATGAAGGCGGTGTTACTGTAGATTTAGAAGGGTAAGATCATATTTCATTGTACATATATAATATATCAATTATGATGATGATAATGAGTGGTTAAGGTTGTTGACTTTGAATCACTCGCCCCTCACTGCTGTGTGATTGAATCCCAACAGGGACCTTGGATTCTTTCATGTGAGGAAGCTATCCAGCTAGCTTACAGAATGTTGGTGGTTCTACTTAGGTGCCCGTTTGTGCCTGAAATAATGCACAGAAGGGCACTGAAGGTTTTCCTCCACCAGTTAAAGCTAGAAAAGTGGCCATATGACCTATACCAAGATGGTGCAAAGTAAACCCCCCCCCCCCCCCAAAAAAAAAATAAATAAAAAAATACATTGTACTTCTTTCTTGCATTACTATAAGGTGCAATTAGGATTACATCTATTCAAAATCTGGACATTTTGTTTCCGGACTAGTTCTCTGCAACTACTGGCTTGAATTCAACGAAACTTTATGGGAATCATCAATATCAAGAGGAGATGCGCATATCCTCGGCTTGTTCAGGTCCGACACTTTAACTTAGAGTTATGGCCCTTTATTAGTTATACAGTATGCATATAGAGTAAAAATCGTTGCCGTGCTTCTTCTCTGCAACTACTGGCTGGAATTTAACAAAACTTTATGGGAACCTTTAATATCAAGAGGAGATGCGCCTATCGTCAGCTTGTTCCGGTCTGACACTTTCACTCAGAGTTATTGCCCTTTATTAGCTATACAGTATGCATATAGAGTAAAAATTGTTTCGGTGCTACTTCTCTGCAACTACTGGCTTGAATTCAACGAAACTTTATGGGAACCTTCAATACCAAGAGGAGATGCGCATATCGTTGCCTTGTTCCAGTCAGACACTTTAACTCAGAGTTATGGCCCTTGATTAGTTATGCAGTATGCATATAGAGCAAAAAGCGTTTCCGCGCTACTTCTCTGCAACTACTGACTGGAATTCAATGAAACTTTATTGGAACCTTCAATACCAATAGGAGATGGGCATATCATTGCCTTGTTCGGGTCAGACATTTTAACTAAGAGTTATGGCCCTTGATAACTTACGCAGTATACAACCAGAGCAATAATGCTACTTCTCCGTAACTACTGGCTGGAATTCAATGAAACTTTATGGGATACAAACAGGAGATGTGCATATAGTCGCCTTGTTCGGGTCAGACACTTATAACTCAGATTTATGGCCCTTGATTATTTATGCAGTATGCATACATCTCATTGGCATTTCCAGATATTACTATTATGGCTCTGTTATTGCCCTGAATATTTATCAAGTTCAAAGAATATTACTGGTTATGCCTTGATAAATATATAAATAAAGCCTTTAATGTCTTCAGTTGTTGTGTTAGTAATAACCAGTACTCGGCGGGGGATATAAATTCAACGAATTTGCTTGTATTTAAAATACTACATGAAGATGCACTTCACCTAAGGTCTTCCCCCATCAGTAAACCTGGAAAGGTGCTGTACTGTGATAATTACAGTGTTGGCATGATAATACGAAATAATAATAAGATAATAACTAGTATATTTTTGTTATGTTACAGTGAGGAGTTTGAGGGTGAACAGGGTGAAGAAGACTCACAGGAAGGGCTTTATGATCAGAGTCAAGATACCGAAGACCGAACTCAGTCAGAAACAGGTTTGCCTCCCTTGTTTATATTATTACCATTCTGTATGTCAGGTGGCTTGAAATCAACCATTGTTGCAGGGTTTTCATTATTACCAGATTGGTGATTCATATTATTATGCTCCCCGAAAAATTTCGGGGGAGCATATAGTCGTCAGGTTGTCCGTCCGTACGTACGTCCCGAATTAGTGTCCGGCCTATAACTTTGTTATTTGAAGTCGGATTTTAAAACTATTTCACAGAAATGATCACCATATTGAGACGATGTGTTGTGCGCAACATTTGGGACGCTACCTTGAAGGTCAAGGTCACAGCATGACCTTGCAGCAAAATCGTGTCCGGCCCATTAATTTGTTATTTGAAGTCGGATTTTAAAACTTTTTCACAGAAATGATCACCATATTGAGACGATGTGTCGCGCGCAACATGTGGGTCGCTTCCTTGAAGGTCAAGGTCACAGCGAGACCTTGCAGCAAAATCGTGTCCGGCCCATAACTTTGCTATTTGAAGTCAGATTGAAAAAGTATTTCATAGAAATGATCATCATATTAAGATGATGTGTCACGCACAACATTTGGGTCGCTACCTTGAAGGTCAAGGTCACAGCATGACCTTGCAGCAAAATCGTGTCCGGTCCATAACTTTGTTATTTGAAGTTGGATTTTAAAAATATTTCACAAAAATGATCACCATATTGAGACGATGTGTAGCGTGCAACATGTGGATCGCTTCCTTGAAGGTCAAGGTCACAGCATGACCTTGCAGCAAAATCGTGTCCAGCCCATAACTTCATTACTGGAAGTCGGATTTAACAACTATTTCACAGAGATGATCACCATATTGAAACGATGTGTCGCATGCAACATTTGGGTCGCTACCTTGAAGGTCAAGGTCACAGCATGACCTTGCAGCAAAATCATGTCCGGCGCATAACTTCGTTATTTGAAGTCGGATTTTACAACTATTTCACAAAAATGATCACCATATTGAGACAATGTGTCGTGCACAATATTTGGGTTGTTTTTACACTTTGAACTTTGTCTGTGACATATCTCTGACACAACAAGAGGTATACCTTCCTGTGTCCAAAACCTATTCGGGGAGCATCACCCGGTTCAACCGGCTCATGTTTGTTGAAATGCTGTAAAAATCAGTCTTATTTTCAGCTTATAGATTAAAATAGCCCCCTTGATCCTTGGCCAAATCAGTTGTATTTTCATTGGCATGTCTGTTGCCTCAGATAAAAATAAAAACCTTGGTGTTGGTATCTCCTCAGGGATATTTAAATATTAAGTGAAAAAACTGAGGCCCTTGTGGCGGAGGGATTGCTCCAGAAGTGAAGCCACCCTTTAACCCTGCTTGATCATTTTTGTGCCCCCACGTTAGTGGCGGGCATTTAGATTTACCCTTGTCCGTCCGTCCGTTCACTTTTGTGTCGCATGTAACTCAAAAAGTATTTGACCTAGAGTCATGAAACTTTACAAGAATGTTGATCAGCATGTGTAGTTGTGCACCTGGGTATTTTCGTCTGGATATTTTTAGTATTTTCAGAGTTATTGCCCTTGACTTAGTAAAATTTTGCAATTTTCAACTTGTGTCACACGTAACTCAAAAAGTATTTGACCTAGAGTCATGAAACTTTACAGGAATGTTGATGAGCATGTGAAGTTGTGCACCTGGGTATTTTCGTGTGGATATTTTTAGTATTTTCAGAGTTATTGCCCTTGACTTAGTAAAATTTTGCAATTTTCAACTTGTGTCACATGTAACTCAAAAAGTATTTGACCTAGAGTCATGAAACTTTACAGGAATGTTGATCAGCATGTGTTGTTGTGCACCTGGGTATTTTCGTGTGGATATTTTTAGTATTTTCAGAGTTATTGCCCTTGACTTAGTAAAATTTTGCAATTTTCAACTTGTTGCACGTAACTCAAAAAGTATTTGACCTAGAGTCATGAAACTTTACAGGAATGTTGATCAGCATGTGTAGTTGTGCACCTGGGTATTTTTGTCTGGATATTTTTAGTATTTTCAGAGTTATTGCCCTTGACTTAGTAAAATTTTGCAATTTTCAACATGTGTCGCACGTAACTCAAAAAGTATTTGACTAGAGTCATGTAACTTTACAGGAATATTGATCAACATGTGCAGTTGTGCACCAGGTATTTACGTCTGGATTTATTTAGTATTTTTAGAGTTATTGCCCTTCACTTAGAAAATTTTTGCAATTTTCAACTTGTGTCTCAAGTTACTGAAAAAGGATTTGACATAGTCATTAAACCTTATGGGCAGGTTGCTCAGCATATTTAGATTTGCACCTGGGGTTTCGCTTGTGGATTTATCCAGTATTTGTAGAGTTATTTCCCTTGACTTAGTAAAAAGATTGACAGAACAGTGGCGCGGTGGGGGCACCCGTGTCCTATGGACACATTTCTAGTTACCTCTAATCATATTCTAAAAACTTCACAATTTAGCAATACAATACAAAAATTGAACTTTGTGCATCAGAATCATTTGATGGTTGGACAAATTTGAAAAACTAGAAATATTTTCGAAACTTTTTGTATAGAAATGTCCAAGAACAGCAAATGCCTTATCTTTTGTGGAATTGCATAAATTATGTACATATACCCATCTTCCTGTTGCAGTAATAAACTAATTGGTTAACATTGTACAGCATGCTTGAATAATTTATGGTGTGATACACTCATCAGTATTATTCCTTTACATTCTGGTTCACATATTTACAATGTTTACATGTTAACAATGTTTACATATTTACAATGTTTACATATTAACAATGTTCACATGTTTACAATGATCAGATTTTTGCAATGTTCACATATTTACAATGTTTACATATTTTTGCAATGTTCATATGTTTACAATGTTCACATGTTTACATATTTACAATGTTTACATATTTTCAATGTTCACATGTTTACAATGTTCACATGTTTACAATTGTTCACACATTTACAAAATTCACATATTTACAATGTTCACATATTTACAGAGAAAGAAGAATCTGGTGATGTTGAAGCCAGTTCAAGCAAGGAGGATGTTCCTGTAAGCTCAAGTACAGACCGACAAACAGATGCTTGTAAGTGAATACAGTCAAACTTGTGATAAAATGAGCTCCACAAAAAGAAAACTTTTATTAGGTTCTCAAAAGAAACCTATTGCTTAATGCAATACTTTTAAGTGGTCCAGAGGCTAAAAAAATATAAAAATTGAAAAAGTCTTACATAGATCAATGTGGGCATTTAAAACAGAAAAATATGAAAAAGATTATAAGTAAATATTCCAAGAATTAAATTGGATTTGAAACTTAGTGCAATTATCAGCTGGATTTTACTGACATGGGTTTAGATTCATCATTTTTTGGTCATTTTGCACAATAAAAATCATTATTTTGGAAAAATACAGGGAGAAGTAATGATATGAAATTTTGCACACACATGTTATTGGTAAATACCTACATTATATGGTAACCTCAGCGGAGTCCCTTTAATATTCACCTTTGATCAAGTGAATTGTTTGGATAGACAGTCATTCAGTAGTGACCACTGTAACCCTTTACTACTGTTTCTGTTAGTATAGAGCTAACAGGAAGATTTAATAGATTGAATTTGTCTACTGTGTTGTGTATTTAAATTGACTTTCAGTAAATACGACTCAATTTTGCAATAATTAGAAGACTGGATTTTTTAGATAGATTTTAATAGATAGATAATAATTGGCATGAAACCTGAGAGGAATTAATGTATAATGTAGAATTTCCATGTACGTACTGTGAAATCATTCAATTTTGTGGGCATGCAGTTTCGTAGTTTTGTCAAAAAGGACATTTTTGTGGGATCTTAAATTCATGGAGTATCTGTTTTTGCAAATAAATAAAATGCAAATAATGTGATAGAAATAATTATACAGCAAACACAAATAAAATTTTGGATGGATCTTTAATTTGTTGATTGACCTTACCACGAAATCAAGAAAATCAGTTCTCCACGAATGCTAATGTTTTTCAGTTATATCAAGTTATCAACTAATGACAAAATATTGTTTTCAACCCGATATCCTATGGAAGAAATATTTAAATATTAAACATTTTTAATTCCAATTGTATTTGAAGGGAATTGTTAGTTAAATCCCTATAATTGTAATGAGACTATAACATAATCTCTCTAAAAAAATGTTCTATTTTTCACAAGATGTTTCTTTGATCTAGCTAAATGTTGTATATTGATATTTCATCATCAGTCCAAAAGATGTTATTATACTGTTATTTTGTTCACATTTTTTCAGCAAAGCCCAAAATTCAGAAGATAATTTGGGATGCTCCAGCGCCCAGTCAGACCACAGTCAGCCCTGTAGTAAATGTCAGCTCCCCAATTCCAACTGTCACACAGATGGGTCAACAGCAACAATATAGACAAAGTCGAGGAGGTCCACAGAGGGGTATACCCACCAGAGGAGGAGGCTTCCAGAGGGGTCAAAGGCGACCAATGAGAAGTCGTGGTGGAATGATGTATCAAAGAAGACCTCCGATGTATTGAGATAAACTTTCATTAATGAATTCAAAAGTTTGTGGAGTAAATTATGAGTAAAATTCAAAAGTTGATGCAAACAATGATAAAAAACGATTCAAAAGCTTGGGTAAAGTCGACTTTTCTCATAGTGCTTTTTCACACAATCAGTTGTTGTGAGAGAAAAAAGGTCATTTGGATTTTTGTTGAGAGAAAAAAATCATGGATTTTTTGGACTATCAAGTCCAAAGTTTGAAACTAAGACAACTTATTGTGTACATGGATCAAGTTTTTTAGTTTTGACAGAATTTTTGCTGGGAAGAGTGTCTTCATCAATACATGTGTACATGTATTCATTTTGTTTTACTTCATACTTATTTAAACAATTCAAAACCTTTTTTGAGATGATTTTCATTTACATGTGAAGTAAAATTCCACATATACATGTGAATGATGAGAATTAAATGGAAAAATAATTGTTTTCGTGACATTGAAATACATGTATCGTTTCATTTCATATATGAATGCTAGCGTAATTTCATGATGAAACACGTCCATTTCATATGTCATCTGATAATCACTATACAATTACTGAAAGTGCTGTACTCCCTTGGATCAATGTTTTGTTGGATGTAAAGTAATGTTATAGGTGTAGTGGTACATGCAGATTGTTTATTGATACATAATGTGTTCACATTGCTATGTTAAACATCTCATTCTGTTTGAAATGCAAGCATCAATTAAAGTGATAAATTTTTCTACATGTTCTTGTTTTCTTGCTGTGTGAAACTCAACGCTGTGAAAAATAAGGTTGTTTTATCATGATGAAATCCTGAAGGCTTTTGCACTGAACCTGAATGCAATACAGTACAATATGTACATGATAATGCAACATAAAACACACTGCCATTATATGCTTACAGTATTGGTAAAAAATAGTGAATATTGTTGAAGCTTTCCAGCTAGCTTACATAAGGTTGTTGGTTCATCCACCACTAAAGCTAGAAAGTCACCATATCACCTTTATAGTGTCAGAAGAAAAAAAAACTACATTCAGTGAAAAAGTAATTTCATTGATGGACTTTCTGTTCATTATCATCTCCAGTCATTAGATGTAATTGTTCCTTTTGTTAACACCATTCAGTTAAGATGGGCAGGCCTGAGTGATTAATTACAAACATCTGAATGACATAACGTGCTACATTATAGCATGTTATGTCATTCAGATGTTTGTAATTAATCACTCAGGCCTGCAGCCTTTGTATTTATATTACTGCCCATCTAATGACTGGAGATGATAATGAACATGAACAGATAATGAACAGAAAGTCCATCAATGAAATTACTTTTTCACTGAATGTAGTTTTTTTTTCTGCTCACGCGGCTCATATCATGAATTAATGCATTCAACAGTCCTATCTGTTTGAATGGGGAATAATGTTAAGGGTGTTCCAATTAATATTATTACCAGAATTTCAGAGCAAGTACAAGAAAGAAACAAGACGATACACATTCACTTTTATTTTTTCATTCTCATTAAAAGATATGCAAAATAACAAAGTTGTTGAACACGCCATAAAGAATGTCTTCTAGGTTATGTTCAGTCAAACTTGTCCGACTTTCCTGTTTTAAGTGTCTCTTGTATTTTATTCTTTCTAGGACACTAAATCACTCATTTTGTAAAACAGTTTACATACAAATAAAACAGTTTTTAGTCACAAATAAATTTAATGTTCTCTTAAATTGTTTATTTTTCCTCATTCAACAACGTAATTTTTTTTTTGGCTCATATACTGAGTTTGAAATCTTTTTCTTTTTTTTTCATTTTTATACAACAATTGTATATTCTATATAATTAAAAGGTTAGATTGCATCTTGGATGCAACATTTAAGATTAAATAAATTCATACATGCAACATTATTTTTTCATTTGGTGTTTGTGTCTCAGTAAAATGATACCTCTAAAAAACATAATATATAAAAAATTTGAAAACGATATACAGGATGTGTATTAAAATGGTTTATAAGGAGGGTGGGGTATAACACAAAGACGATAACGAAAGGTGAGGGTCACTCAGATACTCTCTAGCTACTGATTCAAGCAACAATATCACAGCTTTATAAACAATAAAACAATAACAGGGAGGAACAATGGACATTGCAAACAATAGAAAACTAGAATTACACTGGCTCAAGATTCTTGTAATGAAAGTTCTGTGATATTCACATTAATGATTATATATAACCATTATGTAAATGATTAAATATAACCATTATGTAACATATGAAAAAAACAACATTTTTTTCTTCATTTTTTTCTGACTTCCCCAATACGCATTCATAAAGCCAATGTCCATTTTAATATTGATACTGAGTCATATTTGTACAGGTCTCCGTTGGCAGTTAATATATATAACAATATAATTTGTTCATTTTTTAACACAGAAAAAAAAACTTAAAAAAAAAAAATGTAAATAATTTTATGAGAAAAAATATATCCCAATGCATATGATTCTTTATGACTATATACCAACACAGAAGGAATAAAAACAACAAAAATATGAGCACATTGTAAAATTTTCAACAAGCATTGATTAAAACTAAAAAAATAATAAATTCACTTTTTTTCGCAGTCTTTCATCGTAATTAATAAAGAATAAAGGTTGAAGAATAAAAAAAGACATGTACAAAAACCAAAAATAGTTTGGTCAAATACTGATAAATGTAATACAAATAATTTATTTGAAAATGCTCCAGTTGTGAAAAACATCTAGATTTTTTTTTTCTTTTTTTCAATTAAGTCTGTTCATTATGCCAAAATTTTTGATCTTTCACGTTCAATCCCTGTCAATGTAAGGTTTCTTTCCATGGTTGTTTGTGGGCGGGTGTTCAGTTTCTGCCTAACGTCCATACATTTGTTATCTAGGTCAAGGCTGTTATTCTTCTGGGCCAGGTCATCATTGATTCGGTGAAGGTTATTGTATAGACCATCCAAAGCATGTCTGAAGATAGAGAAAATATTTTTATTACTCAAAGGAAAAAGATTATTTATTGTGAGTGCATCGTTGTATATTCTAAACACAACCAGCATTTTTCTCTATTGAACATAGAAAGACCGAAAGTGTATGTTATTTAAGAAATAATCTATCCCAAACTGATTTTATCGCTCAATAAAATCACTGTTTGGAGTTCGGATACGAGGAATTATATCACGAGGGCGTAGCTTGAGTGATACAGGGCCTTTTTTCCTTCTTTAACAGGGGCCGGTATAGGGCTGCTTCCCCAAAGAAAATTTCTTTAAAATCATGCAGTTTTCCCCAGAAATTCTTCCCCTTTTGCAAATATACCATGTATTTTTTCCCCAAAATTAAGGGCTGGGCTGCTTCCCCAACTTGTGAAAAAAAGCCCTATGATATAATGATGTGCATTCTAACGACAAACAGTGATTTTATCAAGCAATAAAATCACCTATTTGGATATATTATTTCGATTCTCAAAGGACATCATCAAATAAATGATGCTGTACCTGATATTAAGCTAAATTGCGTGTGATTTGTTTCCGTACTTATTTTCAGCGCGTCAAATTTTTAGTGGTTACATCAAGTGTATAATGATTACGTCACATAACTAAATATAGAACCTTGGACAGTGATTTTATTGCATAATAACACACACTTTCGGTTCTTCTATGTTCTATAAGGAAAAATGCGGGTCGTGTTAGAATATGCTATAAAATCACTGTTGACTTTCTATATTTAGACATGTGACATAACCACTTAAATGTGATGTGCTGATATAATTCCTCGCATCAGTGATTTTATTGAGCAATAAATCAGTCTGATTAATATAATAGAGTCTAAAAATATTTTAATATACTTACTTTGCTTGTCTAAGTTTCTCCTCAAGGGCACGTTTTGTAGCCTCTAGTTGTTTCACCTCATCTGTTAGACCATATTGTGGGGCATCCCTACACAGCTCTACATTTGGCCTGTATGTACGATTCTCGAGACGAGTTTGAGCCAACTTTGTTGGATTGATCTTTGCACGAATTGCCTCCTCAATACCTCGGATATCATTTTCCAACTCTGCAATCTCCTCCTCTGTCTAAAAATCAAAATCGTATTTGTTCAATATAAACCACCATTTGTGATCAAGAAACTCAATAATGGGGTTTGAACAATACTTGATCCTTTTTTCATGAATGCAAATAGGAAAATGTTTCAATTTAATGTTTACCTTAATCAAGTAAAAAAAAATCTATAAAGTCATAAAAGTAAAAATACAAGTGAATATTTTGAAATTTGCTTACATTTTTCTTTTGCCATTCAAGTTCATCTCTGGCACGTTCAAACTCGTGAATTCTACGTCTGAAAGCATACTCTGTGGCAATTTTCTGAGCCTCAAGATCATTTTCAGTCTGCTGGAGGGTGTGGTGGATAGCCTCACGTAAACGTGTTGAAGCAGCCATCTCTGCCTCGGCACGCTCCTTGTTGTATCGGCTAAAGTCTTCCCACTGCTGTGGTGTTGTACTCCTATTTTTTTAACAAAAAGTTTCTTTATTAACTCATTTTACTTAATACAGAGCTTTTTACACATTATGCAAGTAAAATATTTTCAGTAGTTGACAACAATACGCATATAGAAATTGGCTCTGTCCGTCACACTTTTGTGTTTGGTCCATAACTAAGTCATGTATCAAAGGAATTTAAAATAACTTGCCACAAATGTTTGTTATAATAAGACAACACAAATGTTCACTATAATGTGATTATGTGTCATGTGCAACGTCTAGACCACTACCTTCAAGGTCAATGTCACACTTGGGGGTCAAAGCTTAACATGGTCTGTCCATACCTCAATCTTTTGAAATAGCACAATTGTGTGCTTCATGTAAAACATCCCTTAGACAGGGGATGTTGGTAACTCTGTTACAAATTCTTGTGCTCAAGGACATACTCTCAAGGATTTCTCTTTTATGCCTATTGATAAAGTGACATGTCCTTGGAAAATACTTTTAAAAGTGATTTCCTGGATATATCTCTTGGATACTTTATCACCAAATGGAATGAATTCCAAAGTTCTGTTTTAATGTCTCTGAGACTCTATACATCTGACAATTACTAAAAAATATTTTGTAAAAATCTTGTCAGTTTTACTAGTGTAAAAAGTTAAAAACTGAAATTTAAATGTCTTAACAGTTATAAATCTGTCATGGAGAGGAAAGGTAGTTAAAACTTAGAGACGGTTTGGAAATTCACCCTTTTCTATGTATTTGTTTAAAAAGAATGTCAAACATGGGTATATTAAAAGCAAAACTTACCCTTTAGGAACTCTGAGGGAGTCTGGCTTGTAGCTGATGTTTGGTGACCTGTCTGTTAGATTGTATTGTTCTACATCAATACCCAGAGCAATATTTTTGTCCTGCAGATCAGCTTGGAGCTGTTGTCGTGCCTCCTGGAGTAGACACAGTTGTTCAAACCCTTCTCCAATTCTCTGCTGCAGCAATTTCTTGATTCCATCAATAACTTCAACTTCCTGTAGATGGATAAAATTGTTTCAGTAAATAGCAACTTACTATATTTTTTCTTATCATTTGAAGTATTGGAATTATCAGTGACCTATTGACAGTAATACTTAAATATGATGTTTCCATTGATATGAATGCACACTGGATAAGACAGTTTGTTGTTAAATGTTAAAGTGCAAAATATAAATGCCCATGAAATTTGTAAATAAAAATAGTGCAATACCTTATGGAGCTGACTTTCAACTTCATCTTCAACAATATCAATTGACTGTCTGCCTTCTCTGAGGGTTAGATTTTCAATTGCAACATCAGTTGGAAGGTTCTTAGCTTCGAGAGCTTGCTCTGTGAGCTCCTTGGCTTCTGAGAGATCAGCAATTTCTTTATCAATATCTGCTAATGTCTTCTCAAGAATTTCTTTCCATTTACGAATAACATCAACTCTGTCAGATAATCTGACATTATTTGAGTGTTGGTCCCATTTTGTTTGATTATCAGTTTCATTTCTAAGATATCTGCTCTCCTGTCTGGTTTGATGGGAAGCTTCTCGCTGACGCTCAGCATTTGTTGATATTGAATAATTGTTTGTGAACCAGTCACAAGGCTGATGCCTAGTGGTTTGACGAACCTCTGTTGCCATGACCTGGATAAAAAAAGTACAAAATAAATATGTAATAAATACAGTGTTTAGTTTGAGAAATAATACAAGTTAAAAATCTTCAAACATTTATGATATATATTTCAAATTTAAATATATTATTTAAAAAGCTAACATTTTAATGCGTGTAAATTCAAAGAAGTATACAATTTTCACTTCCAATGAAATGAGAATCTGTTTGATAGTTCATAAATTTTCAGAAAGTAAGTATACAACTAAATGTTTGACCTTTAATATCAACATTTAAAAAAACAAACTTAGAGCAATGCATGAAAAAAGAAAAGAGATTTTTATATTAATAAACACTTACGATTCTATTTTCTGAACTGCAATCAGTCACTCACTTGCTCTAAATCTTACGATTCCCTTCCACTGAAAAAAGTGATTAAAATAATTTGATCATGCAACATACGTATCATAATAATTTATAATCTAGTATAATGCTGGATTTTGAAAACAGTGAAATAATGTAGAAACTTACCAAATGGTGTCAATACTAGATCTACATGCCATAAATTATAAACCCATGAATGGCTATACTTTCAGCAGAATAAGCCACAGGTGCTTGAAACAAACTTTATAAAGTTTTATATGGGCTATATACTATAATAAGATATATCTTTATATACATATATAGACCGGTTATGTAAAATATTTGATTATGTGACTAGCGCCTGTGGAATAAGCATCCATAATCTATAAGTTATCACCTCAACAAACATGTAAAAGTTGACACCATCACCGTGATCATTTTAAGTTTAACTAATTAAAATCATTTTCGCTGATTTAAGAAATTATTCCTTTAAAAAACAGCTTACCGTGTCAACCACACTCCTTCAATGAGTAAGATATTCCAGGATACTGAGTATTTACAGAGGAAAACTCACGATAATTACCTTGTTGTCCTACTTGCAGTTACTGCTGCAAACTGTCTCGTTGCTATCTAAACACCCTAGTCTATTAATTATGAAACACGATCTATCATTGGTGAATGAACATTAGCTATCCAATGAAAATTAATTGTACAAATAGCGTCCTCGGTTTGCTGTGGTTGCTATTGGCGTTACCAATAGGTAGCGCTTCCGCAATATACTGCGATTATTTCCGGTTCCGGTTTAAAGTTTTTTCGGGAAATGCGTCAATCATGAAAAATCTATATTCTACTTCATTGTTTACTTATTTGACATGGTTTATAACTTTTTCACTTACAAGATGTTCCATTTCAGTAAGTGATGGCATTGATTTACCTTAACTTGAAAATTAAGTTTATTTATATACTTTCACCATTTCGGACATGAATAATTTGGATATCTAGAGAATGTGTGATACATCTGGGACATACGTATGTCCCAGGATACATCGATTTATTCAGGGAATAGACATAAGCACATACAATGTTATCACATATATCAACTTGCATATATATAAAAACACACACATAAATGCAACAAAAATAATTATAAGATTAATAAATGAGTATGTTCTATGTTACCCTAGGATTGCCCATTAAGCTAAAACAGTAAAATCTTATTTCCAATGGGGTCCATTTACTGTAAAATTATTATGCTAACTTACATAATAATAAATGAATTATAAAGAAGTTAAAATAAATGACAATTTTCAACAATCAAGACACATTTTTCAATATAATAAGACAAGTACATTGTACACAAATAAGATGAAATAAATTTTGTTTAAACTAAAACATATCAAGTACAACATGAACATGTTACAAACCCTTATCATAAGTTACACATCAATTTAATAATAAATAAACATATTATTTACTTGTTTATCATTTTCATTACTTAAAAAATGTTTTACTTTCGTTTTAAATGTATTGTCAATTGATTTAATGTTGTCTGGTAAATTATCTTTGTAAATTATGTAGGTTTCTTGTAATATAATATTTAATTATGTAGGTTTCTTGCACATGTAATATAATATTTAATCTTTGTAAATTATGTAGGTTTCTTGTAATATATTATATAATATTAATTAGAAATCCCATGAATTAAGTCAGGTTATTGATTTATGCAAGTGAAATGTGCAGTTTAATGTAAGCGGGCTGGTTAAAATGCCCTTCTTTATTCTTATGGGCTTATCACATAAAATAATATTTCTTGAAAAATAATCATTGTGTTTCTTTCTAACTTGTTTTGTTTATTAAGCATTATATATGATACATATTTAAAAAAAAAGATTTTTGTTGCCATTTACTTCTTAGAATTATTTCCCCTTTTCCCATTTTCAGGATATAAAATATTTGAAGTTCATGAAAATTTTCATCAAGAACAAAAAAAGATTTACTCTTTTCAATGAACCAATTTATTGTTTAATTTCTACATCTACATCGTACGTCGGCGCAATCACACTTGATTATAACGCGACGGGTGGTGCTAGGTCAAGAAAAAGAAATATACAAGAAATGATAGAAAGTTAGAAAAGGTTGGATAGGTCAAAAGGAAGAGATATAGACAAAAAGTCTGGCCAGCTACATTTCGCCTCTTCAACCCAAACCGGTTACGGTGGCCACGGCCGGCACAGCCTTGGATATCACTAGTGGGTACTTGTAGCTGGACCCCTAAGGCGGATTAGAATGTGAGGGCTGATAGCCCCTGCTTGAAGGATACCAAGTCCGGGGCCTCTGCAACGGAGGCAGGTAGGCTGTTCCACGTTGTGGCTGTACGAGGGAAGAAGGAGTTCTTGTAGTACGATGTAGATGTGGATGGTAGATGGAACTTCTTGGAGTGGTCACTTCTAGTGCGGCTCGGGGCAGGGGTGAGATAATCGCTGACTGGTATGTCCACAAGGTCATTGGTGATCTTGAACATCATGGTCAGCTGGGCTTTGGTCCGTCGTGACTCTAATGTCTCCCACTCCAAGTGTTGGATCATTGAGGATACGCTGCTTGTGTTGTGGTAACGGTTCGTCACATATCTTGCAGCTCTCCTCTGGACCATTTTGAGCTTGCATGTAAGGTCCTTACTTGGTATAAGGGTTCCAGACGGTGGAGCAATATTCAAGGCCTGGTCGCACGAGTGACATGTAGGCTGTGCCCTTGACCTGTTCATTGCTGATGCTGACGTTCTTGTTTTGTAATTCCTTGCAGCTCAGAGCTACATTTGCAGCATGTCCAAGACAGATATTTAAGAGCTACACCTACATTATTAGAAACAAAGGTGGTACGTCTTCGACACCTGTATAGAGTAAGACAAGCCTGCAGCTCTGTACAGAGTGACCAGTCCCATTATTGTTGACAGACTCTTTTTAAATTTTCATCTTGATAATACCTTAAATTGATAATTGACAGTTCCAAAAAGTGGGAGTTGGGCATGTCCATCAATGGTTTAAAGAGAATTTTTTTATAGACATGCATGAAATAATTGAATTTTTCTTTTTCTTACAGGAGGTATGTAGTCAGTGTTCATCAGTTCCTAAGGCGGACAGTTTTCTTGTACAATTCTGTAACAATTCTACAGGACATCTTGAAAAGTCATGTTGTGTAAATACTCCAGTTGCCTTTCAAAATAAAACAATTATTGGGTAAATGTTAAAATATTGTGCTCTGTTTGATTAATAAAACATTTTTTTATAGAAGTTATTTTGATTTAATTGTGTAACAAGCTTTAAAAATATCTTCCATAAGCATCAAAAAACTAAAGCAGTTAAATATTCTCTATTGATTTAGGAAAATATTGTTAAGCATAATGATTAAAGTCAATATTAAAATGTATTTCTATGTATTTTATACCTGTTAGTTTTCTAATGAAAATACAAATGTATAGCCATTTTCAACTAAAGAAGCGCATACAGTCTCGGTTTTTCACATTCTCTCTTTGTATTTCTGGAGTCTTCATATCACTAATGCATGTTGGTGTTACTCTTATACTGTACATGTGCTTATAAAAAAATTGCTTCAGTTTTGTCCATCTATTTACATAATGAAAGAAAATTACAATAAGTGTGCTTTTCTGATGGGTTGTATCACTGTCATTGATTGTGTAAAGTTGTACATTTGTATTCACACTCACCATGTGGGCTTGTGGAAATACAGTTTTGATAGAACAATGCCCAAGCTTCAATATGCTCAAGCAATATTTCATATATTATCTCATTATATATTTGAAATTACATGACTCTAGTCTTTAATACTAGTTTGTACGCAAAAACATTCTAAATAGGCCCCATTTTGATACAAACTTGAAAATATTTCTACTTTCAGAGTTGATATGAGTAGCTGTGGACTGAAAAATGTAAATGGGTTATTCAATGACCTTAAAGATCTTGAAGTTATGTAAGTATTATACTTCATCCTGCTGAATTTATGTATAGGAATTTCCTGTTTTCAGTTTGGAACTTTCTTTGGTTACTTTAAAAAGAAATTAACCCTTCACCTGCAGAATAATTTGTGTAATGGATTTGTCATGCTTTGAATTTGGAACAAATCTTACATGAGCTACAAACAGCTTGGCCAAACTCTACAAATGTGTAGGCCACCCGGATTGGTTGTATAAGTTTTATATGCCAATCATCTCTGACTACAGCAGGTTATGGGTTAAGTAGACAACAGTATTCAGACTTCATCGAGTTGAAGGATGATTTAGCACTATACTTATTTACTGTGGAATAAGGGGTGTTCATCATTTACAAACTTCAACTTTTGCAAACTAAATGTATGTACATTGTATCTTGATATGTGTTGGAATTATTATACATGATTTCTTTTTGTAGAATGCTAGAAAATAATACAGACTTACAGATTGGAGAAGATGATTTTAATGGTCTTACAAAATTAGATTATTTGTAAGTAAATTATAAAAAAAAGCATTGTACAAAAAAATTGTTAAACAAAAATACTAAAAACAAGGCTTAATGAGGCTTATTATAAAATTTCAAATCAATTGTAAATGATCCAATTCCAGAAGCTTCTCCTGGTTATTTACCATGCCAAGTTTTTAGCTTTGATAACCTTTAAAATGCTATATCAAAATTGGAAATGGTGGAGGGGTGGGGTGCGTGGGGCTTTCTCCTTGTATTAAAACATGGAAGAACAAAGTGCAGATTTGAGCTGCGTCATGACAAAACCAACATAATGTGTTTGCGACCAGCATGGATCCAGACCAGCCTGCTCATTCGCGCAGTCTGATCAGGATCCATGCTGTTCGCTTACCAACCCAATTACAAGTAGAGTAAATGAGAGCGAACAGCATGGATCCTGATCAGACTACGCGGATGCGCAGGCTGTTCTGGATCCATGCTGGTTGCAAACCCATTATGTTGGTTTTGTTGTGGCGCAACTCATTTTTTGAACTTGCTGAAAAAATACATCAACAGCTATATTGATATTCTAATCATTCATAATGTTATTTCTTGTTATAACATAGGCACAAACTGTCAATTTTTGTCACTATGTACATATAGAATTTGACTTTATTCTTCATTGTGTATGACTACTTTCAGATCACTACCAGAAACTTCCCAGTGTCCAGGAGGAAACAAATCCTGGACATCTATAGAGAAGCACAACAATACAGTAATTTGCCTTGGAGAGATTAATTTATGTCAGCATAATAATGGTAAACATGATTTAAAACTTTATGTAGTAATATATACATAACAGGATCATTATTATGTTTCACGCCCAGAGATAACAAGAGCACTGCATAGGGTGTTAATGCTCGTCTGTTAAAAATTCTAAGTTAAAAAGGGGCATAACTCCAAAAATACTGCTTTCAGAATTACACCTCTTGTCTGAAAGTAATCCAAGTTTCATGTTGATAACTTTTAAAATGTTTGAAAATGGGTTACATTAAAGTTTATTCACAACAACAACAACACCATAGCGATCATAATAGCTGTCTTTTTTTCAAAAAGACAAAGTTGCATACATATGTGATTTTGAGTAGCCTGCTTCCATGGAAAGATTGTTTTGAACAAGGGTTCAGACAGCATCATTATTGAAGGGTAAAGTCAACAGTGATACAAATCTTTAGATTTTTTGTGTTACAGCATGTTATTAGTGAACACAATTTTGTGATTGATTTTGTTACAATATTTTATCAGTGAATATAATTTTGTAATATGTTCTGTTACAATCTTTCAGTGAACTTTTGACTTGTACAAATTTAGAATCATTAGTAGACATTATTTTGAACAATTAAGTTGCACCAAATTGAAAATTTCCATTGTGGTAATATATAATGATGAAATTTAAAATGTTAAAAAATAGTGTCATCATGAGCTTTCCTATGAACTGTTCACTTTACCTGAGCAGCAAATCAAATATCATCCAATTGGATCAGTTTGTTAAACAAAGAACATTTTCATGTGAATTTAAATAACAATGGTACCAACGAATACGTCTTAAGTATGGAATCTTTCACATGCTTGAAGCTTATTTTTGTGAACATAATTATGAAAGGCCCTTTAAATTTTACTTGTATGCTCAACATTGACGTCACCTATTATCAGTTAAGAACATTGTTTCTTTCTTGTTACAGTGACTTGCCAGAATAATAACAGTCATTGTGTACTTACTGGACCTGGTGAGATGGAATGTTTGTGTATATCTGGTTACCATGGATATAAATGTCTTAGAAAGGTAACTTACAATTCTTATCTTTTTTTCTATTCCTAAAGGACAAGACATCTAATGTTTACCATTCTGTAATTTTAGTAAGAGGCATTTTTAGGTCAAAAACAAAAAAAGATGGTCTCTGATCATAGGTGGTCTCTGTATGCAGGTAAACCCTGTTTACATGAGGTCTCTGTTAACAGTTGACCATTGTCTACATATTGTTACTATTTACAAATGGTCTTTATTCACAATGACCTTTGTTTATATAACTTTGGTCTCTTTTTACAAGTGATTTTTGTTTACAGTTGACCTTTGTATACTTGCCGTCTTTTTTATATGTGACCTTTGTTCATATCTTGTATGTGTTTACAGTTGGCCTTTGTTTACATCTTGTGAGGCAATATGTTACCCAGTGGTTAATGTTGCTGCGTAGGGTTTGAATTTGGATTCTTTTATGTGAGGAAGCTAGCTTAGGGAGCATTGGTGGTTCTACTTAGGTGCCTACAGGTGCCTGAAATAATGGACAGAGGTGCACCTGACTGACCTGAGGTCTTCTTCCATCCGTACACCTGGAAAGCTGCTGCATGACCATTATTGTGTTAGTTCAACCTATAACCAAACAAAAATACAACAACACAAGTTATATATTGCCTCTGTTAAAATGTTCTCCTGTTACAAATAGGATCTATTTATGGGTATCTTTTGTTGACAGATTATAGATGATATTTAGCTCAGATTTGTTTGTATTGGAAATTAATTATTGAATAATTGATATATTGAATAATCTATTCAAATATATGTTTTAGGGTACTTTTCCTGGTGTAAGTTACACAGTAACAATTTGTGTATCTACCGTGGTTATATCCGGATTTCTATGGTGTACACAGAGAAGGAAGGTGAAGAGGAAATCACATACATATTGATACAGATCTTGATAATAAATGTGTACAGACAATGCAACTATGACATTCCTATGCAATACATTATTCATTCACTGTTTGTTAAAAGAGATTAAAATTTTGAATTGTAGCCTAGAACCATGGAAACATGGAGGACATGAACCGCTTTGTAATATTTTTAATTTAAGACTTTAGCAAAATGAAAAAGCTGATATTTAAATTGCCCATATATGCATTTGTTATTATGCTACGTAAATGTTTTCAGTTGAAAATTATACAGTAGCTAGTATGCCCTTCCTTTCATTACATTTACTTCGTATTTCTTTGTATTTCTTATACCACCATTGTTTATACAAAAATATATTTTGAATGATGGTACTTTACAAAGTTTCCTGCCTTTGGGTCTGATTTAAGATCAGTTCGTTCAGTATCAAGTTCACTAAGGCTTAAAATAGATTTTCTAGTATTTCCTCATAGTAAGGGCTAAAGCCATGTTATTAGCTTTTATATAGCTACATCAGGGGGCATTTATTCAAAATTATCAATATTGTTTTTGTACATAACCCATTGCTAGTATGTAAGTTTTGCAATTAAACGGCTTCATAGGACTTTGATTATGATTTTAAAAAATCTGAGATACTGATATGTGATAAATTATGTGATAAATGATCTTTAAAAACATATGTGTATATCAGTTTTTGGTGGTGATCATTTTTAGGACTAGGGCATAAGACTTTCAGGGGGAAAAGGAACTTAAAAAAGTTTGAATTATGTCATTAAATTGAACAATACTTTAAAGTAATGCCAAGTTATAGAAAAATATGTACTGACTGAATAGTTCACACGGTAGACTGTGATCAGATGACAGGAATGTGCAGTCTGATTTTAAATTGCACTGGTTGTATGGATAGACTCTGTTCCCACTTGAATGCTCAGGGTTAATGTTTCTCCACACTTAAGAGTGCTTGATTTGTTTAAAACTTTAATACGTTACAAAAACGAAAAAGGACACTTTTAATTAATACTTGCTTTTGATTAATAAATGTTCAGTGGAAATTATTTTTGAACAATTTATTTTTGAAAACACATATTTAAAAAAAAAAGAAAAAGAAATACTTGTGAAGATCAGGAGGGTTAAGTATGCATATAATGTAATAATATGCCACTGTTTTGCAGATTAATAGATTTATTTAATGTGAAAACCACCAAAGTATAACCAAACCAAACTGAGTGATCTGTATTTTTCCTTAATAGAAATTGTGCAATATTGATACCACTCATCATACAGATGACTTCTATAGCTTATTATTCTGTTGTTTTTGTTTTCTTTTCTACAGATATTTATTTTTTGCAAATAATTTGATCAATCATTGTATGTGTAGGCATAACACCATATCTTCAATTCTTGTGTTAGATGATTATAATGTTACTATTCAAATTATTATGTGTGTGCATATGTTGCGTAAAGGTCAATTATTTCTTGATATATACATGTATTTATTTAATTTGATTTTACCGTTTATTTTTGCTGACCAAAGTGAATGATAACCTAATAAATTTGAATGTTTTTTATTGTGTGTGTAGAAAAACAGTTAGATCATACCGTTACTTTATGTAACACTAATGATTTCTAAAGATGACTTTAAATTGACTCCATTGAGGTCTTTTGACAAGACAGGACTGGAAATAATTTTGTGAGATAAATGTTCCACTTGATATAGGTCTAGGTAAATACTTTTGTGCAAAATTTCAGATCATTGGCTCACTCAGTTTTTCCAGGATAATTATTCAAACTTTGAAAAATGACCAAGAATTTTACAATGCATTTCACTGAAATCAAGCTAAGAAAAGCATAAAAGAGATTTTCAATTTATTTCTGAGGATATTTCTCAATTATCTTTTGCATACTTTTCTCTTTTTAGCTCGACTTTTCTATGAAAAGGGGAGCTATCCTACTCGCCCCGGCGTCGGCGTCGGCGTTGGCGTCACACCTTGGTTAAGTTTTTCGTACCACCCCACTTTATTTCAGAAGTATTACAAGTATGGCTTTGAAACTTACCATACTTGTTCACCATCATAACCTCCATCTACAGACAAGAGTACATAACTCTGTCAAGGTTTTTGACAGAATTATGGCCCTTTTTTGACTTAGAAAGTGTATTGAGCTTGGTTAAGTTTTTTGTACCACCTCACTTTATTTCAAAACCATTGGAGGTATTGCTTTGAAACTGACCATACTTGTTTACCATCACGACCTTCATCAACAGACAAGAGGACATAACTCTGTCAAGGTTTTTGACAGAATTATGCCCCTTTTTGACTTAGAAAATACATTGAATATGGGTAAAATCCACTTATTGCCTTAACCCTTTGAGATATTGCTTTGAAACTTTTAATGCTATTTCACATCATTACCCCCATCTGTACGCAAGAGAAGGTAACTGAACTGTTTGAGATATTAATTTGAAAGTTGGAATACTTGTTTACAATCATGATTCCCAAACATGTCCAGGAGAAGGTAATTCTGTCAAAGATTTTATTTGAATTATGGCCCTTAACTGTCAATGTTTTGTATTATAGGCAAGCACTAAAAAACTTAAAAAATCTAAAAAAATTCATTCCTATCCACTTGTTCACTTTACCATAAATTATGTCATATAAACATTGCTGTAATATTCAAGGGTATCAAACAACTAGTTATTTTTCTCTTTTTGTACTTGAAATTAAAATCAGTTTTTTTTTCTTTCTTACCAGCCCTCTTTTGACTTAAACATTTCAAACTTTGCTGCAGTGTTCAAGGGTATCACACAATTCAGTAAAATAATTCTTCACTAAATATCTTAATGCTCATGGCCATTGTTCACTTTAAAAATACAGAGATTCTTGTATTGCCTTTTACTGCAAAAACTTTTTTTATTGGCAAGCAATAAAAAAGTCGAGCGCGCTGTCTTACGGACAGCTCTTGTTTTAAGTGCCCTGTTACTTTATGTATGAAATTTAAGTTTATGTTTTTAAACCTTAGGAGCTCATTTGAGTTCCTTTAATAATTATTACATAATTCAGTTAATTTATATAAATTACATGTACCTGGATTCCAGACTTCCTCACAGTCTGATAATGCTTGGCCAGGACACAGATTAATCACGAAAACAAGGTTTTTAACAGGTAGTGAAAATAGATTGGGCGAGTAATTTCTTTTTCTAATTTTTCAACAATCTGTGGCTTTCTGAAGGGGAAAATATAGCGCATGAAATCAGAAAAGGGAAAATTAACTTCAAACAACTGAGAATGAAATTTTATAAAATTTTCAATTTCAGTTCAATTTTACATGCATGGTTCATAGCAGAGGCTATCTAAGCTGTCTTCTAGCTTTCGTGAAGCATGTGCACAGGGCATTTTAGGGGAAAATATACCTATTTTAGGGTAGGGAAACAGCCTTTATTCGGCTGTAAAATTTTCTTCACAGTTGAGATTAAACAGATATAGATTGTTTTTAAACCAAAATATCAAACATGTTTCACAGGTTGTTTTTGTAATCTTTAATTTAATCTATTTTAGATGTCATTTCCAATGTGTATTTTATGTGAATTGTTTCAGTCCCAAGAAAATTGACAAATATCCTTTGAACGTAAATTAAGTTGAATGATTTTGTTTAATAATCATTTATATGTTGTCATTGATATATGAAAATTGTAAAAATTCTTTTTTAAATGTACATACATTTATTTTATTATGGATTTTGTGATTATGTATTTGAAAATAAAAGAAAACATGTATTCTTGTAAATCCTGTTGTTTTCTTTAATATGTTCTTTGTTAGAAAATGTACCAAATGACAAATACTTCCAATAAGGATGAAGTTTATATATACAAGTAATGTCTAAGATATTTAAGAACTCTTAACCAGTGCTGCAATTTGCATAGCCTTGAATTTGAAAATAAAAGAAAACATGTATTCTTGTAAATCCTGTTGTTTTCTTTAATATGTTCTTTGTTAGAAAATGTACCAAATGACAAATACTTCCAATAAGGATGAAGTTTATATATACAAGTAATGTCTAAGATATTTAAGAACTCTTAACCAGTGCTGCAATTTGCATAGCCTTGAATGTGAAGCTGTATATTGCAAGCTTTAAGCATTTTCACCACACAAATACAAAAATAGAACTACCAACAGAAAAGAGCCTGGTCAGACTGCAAGGATGTACAGGCTGGCCTGAATCTATACTGATGGCAAAGGCAAATCACTTTCGGTTTTGGAAAGTTTATAGTCAGGGCAATGGATTTATTTGAATTTACACATAAGATATCAAAATAACCATAAAATGATGATAATAAGTTTTTTGGATTTTTAAAACAATCATTTGGCAGTACTTACCATTCACAATAAGTTGATTTATAAAATAGACTTGTCTTGCTTGAATTTGGAACTGTCCATTTAAAGATTTCAATGTCGAAATAATAAAATTAAATGGTTGGCAGATGGTTTTAAGTAAGATGGATGGTGGTGGTTTTTGTGATTTACCCTAGGGATCACAGTGAGCTGCAATGAGACATTTTTTAAAAAATGGGTAAGCAGGCATCGTTTTATTAGGCAAGTCATTATTGTTATAATGGCAATCTCTGTCGTTTTGCTACTGCAGCATTCAAAATAATTTCTTTAGAACATGTAAAATAATATAATTAGTTCTTTGATTAACATAAAAATGATGTGGAATGGAATTTCATGTAAATAACTGTTTTGCACAGTTTGGTTCTGTTTAAAATGCAGAAAATCTATAATACATTTAGTTGTGCTCAACCTAGATTACATTTAGCAGTACATGGCCTTATTTTACAAATTAAGGGAGATTTAATTGATAATAATTAATATTTAGTTTGCTTTAAGAAAATTACTTATCATTATATAAAATAATCATAGTATAAAAGATATCTGAATATTTTTTATGTGTTTTCTTTAAATACAAAAAAAAAATTCTCGAAAATAACGTTCAAATTTATGAACTTCTCCCTTATCTAGATGACAACTTCCTGTGAAACTTTGACAACTTTCAAACTTCCTTTTATAAGTGTTTTTGAGAGATCGCAGAAGAGATCGGAGATGATAATTAACAGACATGTTATTTATAGCATAAAGTAACGGAATTTCTAAACGAGACAATTTTTCACATATTATGAAAGGAAAAAATAACGGTGGACTTTTAGGTGGCTCAATGGATAAAGCTGACAGCTTAAACTTGTTAGACTCCACAGATAGTGATGTGGAGTGGCTGAATTTACCTCCTATTAAAGGAAAAAAGCCAAAGAAGTAAGTTCGTTTTGCAGATTGACCATAAACTATGTCAGTGTCATCATAATAATAATGATAACAACTGTAATCAATCTTGTATATATATACAGTGTGTGTTGCTTTAGTTCATAATGATGGATGGATTAATTCATCACCTGTAGATGGATGGGTGTAACTTTAGTTCTGGCTTCCATAACTTTATATGTCGCTTTTATTTTGACGTGGTGCGACAGTAAAAGCAGTACTACAAAACCTGTTCGCTAAAGTCTCTTTAGCTAGTGTAACTTTTGCATTATAAAAAAAATTCATTTTCTCACTGACAATTTCTATAAATCATTTTATCATTTATCTGAGACATTTTGTAACAGGAAAAGCAATTACTACCAGATTAGCCACCTTATGTTGGTGTTGAATTAGTCATATAAATTTTCAACAGCAAGACCAACAGATTTATCATTTTAGTGATTACAAAATGATATTACATAGATGTATGTCTTTCTTAAAAATTCTTTACAAAGGGTGACATAAAATATACATGTACATAATTAAGATGTAATACTATAATAAAAAGCCCTTGTGCACAATTTGTTGGGCTAGTGTCCAAATAACCATTAAGGGTAGTGTTTCAGTCATACAATGTATATGTATAGGTAATTATAGATATATGCATTAATGAATTTAAAATTATAAAATCATGGAATGACCATTTAAATACAAAAAAAAATATTGTCAAAATCTTACACCAGTTTGCTTATATTTTTTATTTACACTGTTCACTACTGAAACACAAAGTTATCACTTTTGCACAAGAAAAGTCAAGATTTCTTACAAATGTATTTTAATTAGACTGTTAGACAGAGTCAATAAATACATGTAGTGCAAAATTTCACATGATTCCTTAGAAAATACAATCAGCCTTATGTTAACTAAATTTTTACAATTATCAAACATAATGAATAGCTGAAAAACAATAAAAGAAGATCATTAACTAGCAGGCCACAGACCTGAAATGTAAAGGGCATTAATTCAGTGTTGGCTTGCAGAAAAATGCTAAAATTGATAATTTTGATTGTACTTTTGAACTGTAATTCTTGTAGTTGTTCATGTCGGAAAATATCTGTGAATGACACAATGTTACACTGGGCTTCCAGGTACGTATATTAACATATAATAATATACGTACCTGTGGCTTCTTATATTATTATAAGACCACACTGCAATAACAAAGATAGTTATACATTGGTTCATTTATAGTTCTATCTGGGTCAGACTATTTTTTTTTCATTGATTGAAAAAAATTATATATAAAGGTTTGGATTCTCAGTTTTTCAGTCTTAAAGTTTGATAAATTAGAAAAAAGATTTATGCAACAGCCAAAATTATGAATTTTTATAGTTGATATTTTAAAGCACAATTTTTTAAGGTAGGTCTTCCACACAAAAAAAAGGGTCTCATCATTGTACCTCTTTCCCACCTCTTTGATAATTATTAAGGCAATTAAATGTATTGAAAAGGTTAGAACTAATATGTTTAATGGTTTAATTTGGGGTGGGTGGGTGTTGTGTTACAATAATTTAATACTTATTGCAGGAAAGATAAAACCGAGCCATTACTTTTCCTTAATTTATTATTTTCTTTACTTCAAACACACAAATTTTATGGCAGGTAAAAGGGAGTGACACTATTGATTACATTAGTTAAGGAGAAGTGCAGTACAGTTAAGAACTGAAGAAAGTATTGGATGTAATAGATAAAGTATTTTATAGACACTAAATTTATTCTTTGAAGTTAAGGACATTATAAGTAGGATTATGTGCAAAAAAAAAACATATTTAAAGAAAATGTAGTATAACTGTACAAGTTTTAGGATGTTGGCAAAATATCAAAATGTTTTTATGTTTGATTTTGCAATAAACAAGGCACTTAAGAGAGATAACATTTACAAAAAGGTCATCCACTTGCTGGCGATAATGTTAGACTACCACTTCAACAATTACCTTGATAACATTTCCTGGTCCTATTGATTATTTTACCAGTGACGGGTCACAAACACCCATTTGTAATATTTGGTTTAATTTCGGAATGTAGGTGGTTCTGCACAGGAGCCCGTTTGTGCCTGAAATTATGCACAAAAAATTCACAGAGAGGCATCCTCCACTAGTAAAGCAGGAAAGTCCCCATATGACCTATACTGTGTTGGTGCAACGAAAAACAAACCAAAAAAAAAAATTGTTTCTCCAGATGAGTTAATTGATTTTAAAAAAATGAAACTGAACAAGAAAAATGTAATAAGAGTAAGAAATGTAAAATTGTCACAAATCCATATAATGCTTAAAATGTTTGGATTTTTCTTAAGATATCATATGGCTTAAATCTCTACTTCAATCAAGATTTTATCTACCGTGATATGTTTATAACAGAGTACTTTGTATTTATATGCATGTATATTCCCAGGTTTATATGTAGAAATTTCTGTTTTCATAGGTTTGTTAAGCTACAGCACCATTGTTCACTTTATTTATACATTTGACACTGTTTATACTACTTAAATCCCTTTCAAACTTTCATAATATTCAAAGTCAGACAAGTATATTGAACAAATTTAAAAGGGTAAGGAATGAATTATATATGTAAAACTAAATATACTTAAAAACTAAATACATGTACAACTAAATATGTGTACAAATAAACATATGCACAACTTAATATATGTACAACTAAATATATGTACAACTTAATATATTTACAACTAAACATATGTAAAAATAAATTTAAGTACAACTTAACATATGAACAACTGAATATAATTTTGTACAACTAAAAAATGTAAAACTTGATATATGTAAATCGTAAATCCTAAGTAAATGTTCAACTAAATATGTACAACTAAACATATGTACAACTAAACATATGTACAACTAAATATATGTACAACTAGATTAAATGTGCTTTCAGAAAGAAGGGTTTAAAGGCACAGAGAGAGACTGGTTGGTCAATATGGGGTATGATGAAGGTGTTCCTGTTACTGACAGTTGTTGGGGCTGTTGTTCTGTTGTGTGTTATATCAGTGTGGCTGTCATCTCAACTAAATGATGTTAGACAACAACTTAAACAAAGTAAGTTCTTTGTAGTTAACACTTTATTGTGATAGTGCATTGTCGTCTTAACCGGTGTTCTGTTTCAAATTTGCACATTGTATTATTCCAGTTGGTTATTATGCTGCCCTAGTATAAAGGCACTGGTTTGGCCTTCTGTCCTATATACTTACTACTTTTCATAGCATAGTTATAGTAACTTTCAACCTGTATCTTAGATATTATGATACAGTACATCGTCACCTTAGTGCAGTAACGGGTTAACTCCTGTTGAATTATATAAGGATTTAACCCCTTACTGCACTAAGGTGAAGACCTGTTCCTTGCAAGAATTCCTAATCTTGGTTACTGATGATAAAATTACTTGCTTTCCATTTCTTATAGCACCTTCATTTACTGACTCACATCAAATTTGTTATGTTGTAGATTGCAATGTGTGTACCATGCTAGGACACCTAGTCTATGATGGTGCTTTTAGATTAATGAGGTCTTTAATAGCATGAATTTGTTCAATGTGCAAATGTGTATGCTGAACAGATTCATGCTAAAGTACTTGTTGATTTCTTCATATACATAATATATCATATGATATGTTATGATTAAGGGTTAAGGGTGAATTAAGGGTTAAAAGAGAGGGTTAATCCCTTATAAACACTTACATGTGCTAAAGAATATGTTAGTTTTGTCACAAGTGTGTTGTTAGTCTGAAAGTACATCATAACATGTAGTTATAATGTAGAACTTACTAACTGCAAAAGACAATACTAATACAAAGGATAGATATGTTATTTCTAGACATGATTATAGAAAAAAGTGTTTTTTGCTAAAAATGTCACTATTAAGCCCTCAAAATTTTATGTAAATGAATTTTTGGAGTCTTTTAAACAAGATGTTACAATGTAAAGATACTGTTACAACACTGGTAAACTGGTAAACTGATAAGATAATATCCATTACATGAACTGATTGTAAATCAGTTATTTTGGTCAGTTGAGAAACAGAGAAAGACCACAGATTTCTAAAAACTCAACAGTTACTTGATGTATATCTCTAGTTCTCTACACTGTAGAGATATTAGTCTCACAGCATTGAGTATCAAATGTACATGTTTAAGATAAAAACTTGCTGAGCTGAGATTAGATGAGCATGCACACTGTTTGACAAATAACACAACAGCCTTCAACACTGTACATTTCAGTGGATTCCCTTCCCTTAGCTAAAAATGAAATAGTATACACCAACATTTAATGCTTTATCTTCTTCAAAACAGATCTGTGGTCTCTGAGACTAAAGGTGTTTTTTTTGTTTTTGTTTTTTTTCACAACAAGAATATTCAACAGACACTATCATCTTTGAAAATTGCCATCAAAGATATCACTGTTAAATAAAGATTTACATGTTTTAAAAATTAAATGTAACATAGCATTACATTATTGCTGTCCCCTAACATTGCATTATGCATGTATGTATATGATAGAAAAGTATAATAATTCTTAATGAAAAGGCAAACACAACACTGTCCAAAATGTATGCATGTAGTCTGTAATAAAACATAATGTAACATTGTACAGAAACATGATATCCTGTCAGACAGCAATAAAAACTATTTAATTTAATTTTAATGTTTATACATTTGATTATAGTTGTTAGAACCTCCTATTAAACTGAATGGAGCCCTCTTACGAATATATGAGAAAAGTTGAAAGATTCTTCAGAAAAAAAGTCTATTGTTATTAACCATATTCAATTCTGGTTATAACACAATATTTTTTTAGAGATATAAAAATATTTGATAAACAAGAAATTAAATGTTCTTATTTAGAGATGTTTATTCTTCTTGTTGATGCAAATTGCTACTTTTCCAAGTGATGTAGATGACTATATATATAATATATTCTAAAGTGTTTTTTCAAACAAATACCATTTTATTGTAAATTAAGATTTTGTTTGCACAAAAAGCTTAACATGAAGGTACACTGGAAGGGGTCCCGCAGAGATAAAAAGAACAACAAGAACGGAAAACTCTTGTTATAAATGTATGATGTGCATATTACTACTTTCATATTTTACAGAAAATTTGACAAACCTTGTATATATTGTAAGAAATACAGGTGAATATTTGGATAGTTACAAGAATAACATTTTTGAAATTTCAAACAGCCTTGTGTGGGCCAAAAGCAGTAAATTATTATGAAGGAACAGATCAAGTATGGATAGCATCTATCATTTGAAAAATAAATAACGTTCAAACGACCACTTCACATGATGACAACGCTAACTTGAAGACGATGATGATAACGTGTGAATTTATTCGTCAATATTACACGGAAACCAATCGGATCGCTTCGTTATTAAATTAACATAACTTCCGGGATTTTGACACACACTGAAAACAAATTTATGTTCGGGTTAATTATATGAAAAAATAAAAGTGTGGGGTGTAATAAACAACGTGAAGCTGGATCCACACGCGAGGGTCAATGTGGACTTTAAACCGTCCAAACGAATGAAGAAAAGACGGGAACTGGACGCCTTAGTCGGAGGTGGAAAGTCGCGAAGGAAGAACTCGAACAGTGGGCATGAATTGCTAAAATACAACGGGTCTGAATCTTCAGACGACGACTTCCAGTTATCTCCACCAAAAGTGTATGTTTGCACAATTTCGTAAATTGTGGTATAATGATGTCAATTTGTAACAGGTTCTATAGTATTAGCAAGAGTGCAAGAACATGAAATGAATATGTTATTTTCATTAATTTATCATTATTTTTTGTCATTAAAGCATTTTGATAATGTTAACATATTTATTTAGATATCTTAAGATCAGTTAAATCACAGATCTTTTTATTAATGGATGACATATAACATACTAAACAGTTACTAATAAGTAATGAAGTATTTCATTTTTATTGTGAAAGTAGGAATTTATTCAATCATTGTCTTGCGGCTGTTACACATCATCATATTGTATTGGCCAGAATTTGAGAAATAGCACCAAGTTTGACTTACCATTTAAATCCCTAGACTGATAACAAAGCATGTGCGAGGACTTTAGTTAGTCACTTAATGAGAGATCAAAGAAACTACTTATCTATAAGACCTGTGTACGAAAGACCCCAGGTCAAGTACTGCTCAATCATTCATATTTGGCATAAGATCTCCTGCTAGAAACATCTTCAGTGATTATCACTATATAAGTAGCATCACTAAAATGATATCTTGCCCTCTAAATTGGCAAACCCTAGAACAACACTGAAAAATTAATGCTGTAACCTACTTGTACAAAATTATCATTTACATCTCACACACAAACACAAGAAGTCTGAACTACTTCATACCTAATTTAAGAACACTTTCTTTGGCAGAATAGCCATTGGCTGGGGCATTGCTAAAAAGTGGTCTGTTTGAAGCTTGATTTAAGGTTACAGCAAGTGTCAGTCTATTTATGAAAGTCATATACACATACATGTTCAATTGTAGATAAATATATATTTCATACTGTTATATTTTTTGTAGCCGAGGTTCAGGGTTATGTTCAACATGTACATCAGTATTCATATTCTTACTGCTTGTTGCGTGTATGCTAGTATGTGCAGGACTAACCTGGATGCATGTAGAGATGAAAAAGGATTTGGAATTACTTAGAATTAGATTGCAAGAAGGTAACCTCATATGATAATATATATACTGTTGTGCATGTAGGTTTGTCTATATAATTTCTGTCACAAAATGTTTCATTAAATATTGCATGTTACGGTATTTGATATTGTACATCAATGAACAAAAAAAAAAACAACAACAAATAAATATTCTCTAGCTATGCTTGGTTGTTAAATGGATCTTGGAAACTATTCAGTTAAGTTCCTTGTGAAAAGTATAACTAGGTCATACTCCTAGAAATAAAAATTTTAGATCACACAATTTAATTTCCATGTGAAGTCATATTGTACAAGAATGACAGTTGAACCTGTGACGGTCTTTAAGGACCAGTTCTTGGTATTGATGTTTGTGGATGGACAAACTTTTAATACTATAAACCGTTGCCCTAAATTATAGTAAATAACTTTGGTCTTTTAGTGACAGGTTAAACTGGTGTTTTTATACTGCTGACTTACTGTTGCTTTTTTGTGTTCTTTAATTGTTATTTTGTAGACTTAAATAAACATTTATACACTTTTTTTGTTTTCTTTTCCATTGTGACAATTATTGTGTCCTTTATGTGATAGTCACATTAAATGTTGGATGTAATTTGTTTTCTTAAATGAGCACTTAAAGTTGCGTAACTTTAATCGAGTTCTCTGTAAAATCTAATGCAGCCTCAAACTCTCCATACATCATGTTTTAACCATGTATCTACCCTCCTTCAAAGAAGGAGTATATTGCTTTGCACATGATTGTTAGTTGTTCCAAAGACCAGACTTTGTTTTGTATGATTGTTAACTAGAAAAAGCTGAGGCCTTCACTCTTTACATTTGATGGCGAGGTTGGTAAGAAATTGTAAATAACTCTAATTTTGGGTCAGTAGGGATCAAAAACTAGAGATTGCTTTAGTTACAGTTGGCTGAAACTTATGATGTAGATGACTCCTATTACCTATTAATTGTGAGGTCAGGAGGCCAAATGTCAAAGACATGGTCAATGACCTTCACCAACATTAGCTGTCCTACAGATGTTGGATTTGAAAGGATTTCCATTAGATGGACATACATGAAAGTACATTTGCAAACATGTTTCACAAACTTCTTGATTTCTGGGGGTCTGATCATAAAAGTAAATTGTCTGTGATTTTATGATACCATTTGTAATAAAGGAATCAAGTAAGTAAGTTAGAACATTTAAGTTATCAAGGAAATAGATAATAGATAATGCTGCAAATCACTTAGATATAAATTCTAATACATTATCAATATTTTTAAATGTACTTGTATGAGCTTTGTTATACATGTCTATTTTCATATATATTTTCATTTGCTTGAATTTCCTATGATTTTAATAATCATTATATTGTGTTCATATTTCATTTTATTGTCTCACTTTCCATCAGCAGGTCAATGTTTGCAAGTTATTGTTATAATATCATTATACATGCATATTAATGTGATATTGAATTAATTATTTGCTGATTTCCATGTAGGTGGCTAGGTGTGTATTGGGCATGAATTATGCATGCATCCCCATGGTTATTGGCAAACTAGATATTCTACTGTATTTATATATAAGTTACATACTTTATTGCTTTTAACTCTTTATCTGGTGTTTTTGTGTAACATATGTTGAATTTTCTTGATTTTCACCAGATATATTATATTAGTTATAAATTTTTGACAGGGGATATGACCCTATTTAAATGTTGTGTTTTTTTTCAAACAACTGTCTATATATGGTCATATAACCTGCCAGAAATTTTTATAACCAATTTATAATACAGCAAACTTCCTTTTTTAGAGGAAAAAATTTTTTTTTTCTCATAAATTGACAGCAGTCATGTATATAGAGCTGTACATGTATAAACATCACGATTATCCAATGAAATGCATTGTTACAAATATGCAGTATTATAAATTATCGATGTACAAATTGGTACTCATCTCTTTTCATGTTACCCTGTCACTCTTAGCTTTATATAATGAGCTTGCCCTGCTTTGAATTTATGTTTATAATTTTTTTCTTGTTAACTGTATAGAATCTTGTCAGGCTTGTATTTTAAGTTTGATAAAATATTGAGCCGCGTCACGACAAAACCAACATAATGCGTTTGCGACCAGCATGGATCCAGACCAGCCTGCGCATCCGCACAGTCTGATCAGGATCCATGCTGTTCACTTACCAACCCTGTAACAAGTAGAGGAACTGATAGAGAACAGCATGGATCCTGATCAGACTGCGCGGATGCGCAGGCTGGTCTGGATCCATGCTGGTCGCAAATGCACTATGTTGGTTTTGTCATGACGCGGCTCATATAATATTTTATTACTATGGTATGCATTTTGATACCAAAATACATGTCAATGTGTATCTGCTCTGCTCAGAATTGCTAGCTAGTTGAACTGTATTCTGGAGGCATTGGAAAGTCATCACCTCTCCTTTTAGCATTCAAAGAAAATGGCCAGAATCTTCATTGATGAGAGAACTCTTGTTTACTTTGCTCATCAGTATAATTAGTATTTAGTAAATTTTACCAAGTAATAATTGTTTAGTTAGTAGTCATGTGTGATTGTTTGCAAGTTACTGTAGATATTTATTTATTATGAAATGTAAATACATTAGTTATGTAAATAAATATGACCTAGTTAAATTGATTCAGATTGTATACAAATTTTTACTGTCTTGTTATCAACAAGAATAATCGTAACTTTATCTTTGCTTTTGTATACAGTATCTGTCCCTAAGATTTAATTTAACTGTTTGGTTAGCATTGTAATATCTACCGTAAGTGTACCATTGTTCATGGAATGCACTCACAGCATAACACTCCTTTTGTTTGTTTTGCGTGGCCAGTACTGTATAATTATATATATATAGATATATTGAAAACATCACCCTTATTATAATGGCCATAATGTACAAGATATATAAAAAAACTTATTGTTGATCATCTTGAGAACATATTAATAGACTTTCACAACTGTGATGGTCTAAGATTTTTGAATAGTCTTTAATTTGTTAAATTTCAAATACATTCTAGTAAACTGTACCAGTTTAGGCCCCCAGTAGCTAAGCTAAGCAGCTAAGCTAAAACAATGTGTTTGCTTGTGTATAAAATAACAATAATAAAATTAAATGGAAGGGGTTTTATAATTGTTTTAAGATAATTTTATGAAGTTTTTAAGCAAGGCATTTTATATTTTGAAATAAAACTATTCAGTTTATCAGTCATTAACCTGCAGTCCAGTGAGGCTCTGTACTGAGATCTTTGTCCTATCATTGTCACCCAGAAGTTACATTCTGGTTATATATATTATGCTATGGTAATAAAAGTGACGACGTCACAATAAAGTTAAAAGTAACTTAAATATATAAGGCCAATAAGCACGAAGAGCTAGCTGTTTCCCTCCCGCTTGTTTTAATAAAAAGCCTAGCAATATGATTGTTGCTGATTTCAGTGGAAGGCAGAGGTATTGCTGGCACAGATGATGTGGAGAAACTATTCAAACAGATGGCGTATGTAAACAAAACCCTGGATCAACATAGTAAATCTCTTGGCAAAGTCACCTCAGATATATCAACTATAAATAGAACTGTAAGATTTATCAACTTATGTTTTCAAATTTGAAATTGAAAAAAAAATTGTGTAACAAATGCTAAAAAATTTTCTTACACTGTAAGTACTGCAGTTCCTATTTCTATGAATAAGAAAATCAAGAAATTCTGTTACTGAAACTGTGACTGCTTTGACATCAATTTAAATGTTGAATATTTTAGTTTATAACTAGGTTTTGATAAATTTGTCATATATTCAGTATATTATATTTTGTTGCAATCCATAATTATAATTGCAGTTGCAATCCATATAATTGCAGTTGTAAAATAATTGAGTATGATTATTCTGGAGTCTAAGCAATACATTCATTGACCTATATACAAAATGGCCGGGTTACTGTGAAATGAAAGTTTATTAACTTTTTGTTAAAATCCAGCACTAATGGTGCCATAATCATATAATGTTGATCTTACAGAGGGACCTCTTTGGTTGAGTGATAAAGTAACACACTTCAACCTGTCAATGTTTTTGGTCTGAATCCAATGAGGGGCATTTAGTTAATCTTTTGTAGGAAAACTGTCTGGGTACTTGTATATTACTGTATGTTGGTGGCCAGTTTATACACATGAGGGCACATGTGATTTTATTTGCTCCGAAAGAAACCATAAAACCATAGCAATGTAATGTGACTCATTTACGTCATGCAGATTTATTTATGTACATGGATATTACAGGTATTACAAGTGTCTGGCAGGGCGGAGAAATTAAGCGAGGGTCTAAAGGCAGCACCAGAACTTAAACAGCTTCCTGAAAAATTACAGACTGTCTCACAGGTAAGGTATTTGATCTGTTACAGCTAATTTATCTGTTATACATAATACTTAATAATGAATGTTATCTTTTTGCTTTGCTGAAAACATATAATAATTAAAAATGTGGAAAATAATTTAAGAAAATGGTAGTTTGATTCATTAGTGCAGCAGACCTTAAAAGCATTTGGCTGATATGACTAATTTTCATTTCAAGATAGTGTGACATTTTCAACTGTTTGTAGTTATTGTCAAGCTGTGTGGTAGTGCTTGTCAAGATGTACAGTAGTGCTTGTCAGGCTGCACAATAGCACTTGTCAGGCTGCATGGTGGCACTGGTCAGACTGTACGGTAAGGTTTTCATGGTAGTATATATGTTTACTGATCTGTTTAATAATTTTATTAGACAGTGGCAACAATGGGCAGTGATGTTAAAAACATGAAGGATACAGTAGATACTGTCTCACCTTTTATGAAAACCACAACTGAAGAATTACAGTCACTCAAACAGCAATTTGATGCCATCAAAGATCAGGTAACATATGAAATATTCTTTATTTATACATATACATTTTTAAAAGCACTCTCTTAATCAAAATGGATTATATGTGAACCTGTTCAGTTATAAGCTATTTTAGCCCCCTACCGTTTTGACAAGATACCTTTCATCCATCAGTCTATCCAAGCTTACATTTGGATACGGATACTTGTGTGGCTATAGGAACAATAGGTAACTGTACTTTCTCTTTGATGTCATTCATTCCGTAAGGCTTTATGTGGCTGTTTTCACATAAGTGCTGTGTTATTAAATATCTGTCATTTAGTCTGAACTTCCATCCACACAAAAAAACTGGATCCCATGATAACTAAAAGTACAGAATTTTTTTTATGAAGCTTGAAATATGGCTAGATAATTTGAAGTCTTTATAGCACAATAGTGAAGTTATATAAAGTTACCACAAGATCCGTACTGTTTTCTGTATGACTATACAATTCAGTATTGTTGTGCTATTGATATGTAAATACCTGAAATTTATACATCTGGCCCACATATCTAATTGATATAAAGGCCTGGCCAAGGTTGTTGACTTTAAATCAGTAACCTCACACAGATGCCAAGGCTTTTGGATTCCTCTATGTCAGGAAGCTTCCTGGCTAGCTTACAGACCGTTGGTGGTTTTACTCATGTGCCAGTTTGTGCCTGAAATAATGCACAGAGGAGCACCTTAGGTTTATCTTGACTACTACTAAAGCTGGAAAGTGGTGATATGACCTATTCAGTGTTTGTGCTAAGTAAAGCATAACCAAAATAAAATAAAAATTTTGTTTTGATCCAGTGGAACATCATCATTTATATAATGTAGAAATTGAGCCTGTCATCTGCATGTTATTGATAACATTACAGGTATCAGACACAGCTGCAGGACATGACAGAGAGAGTTTGAAACCTGACCTCGCTAATATGATACAGGTATTTAATGTCATTTTATACTTACCTTTTGTATATAGAAATGTTCTTGTGAGGCTATTGATTAGACAATATAAGATATATTAACATTAGCTTGTGGTCAATATTATCTTTTCTTTCATAGAATGATCAGCATAAGTAACAGAAATTTTCACTGATGTTTCTAAAAATTGATGAAATTTTTGTCAAACCCTTGCAACACATTTATAGAAACGAAATTAATTTTGAAAGCAAGTGGATATTTGGTTTCTGGTAAGAAAACATGATGAGTCTTGATAGGTGATGAATGATCTCAAGTCATTATTTAATTTGCTTGCCCTTTATGGCAGTTAGTGATGGAAATCGGATGAAATTTGTCCCAATCAATCATCGGTTCAATCGGATGGGACATAATCGATAACTTTCCGATTAAAGTCGCGTTAAAAATAAATAGGGAAGAAACATTTTTTTCCAAGGCACTTGATTATATTCAGTAACATGAACTTCATTTAGCATTTTTCAACACAGTTTTAACCCTATTTAGTTATTATTTTACGAAATAGATTTAATTTTCCAATGGATGTCAAATAATAACATTCACATCACATTATATTTCTATTGTTTACATCACGTATTGATCCTATTCAACTCCTAATTGTCTCTGAGATAAATTTTTGCAATCAGCGAGGTGTTCCTAAAAGAAAATTACCGTCAGAATTAATTTGTTTTGATACTTTAAACATTTTTGACGACGGCGCAGAACAATTTTTTGTGAATCGATTATTGTCGCTTTACATAACAGTAACTGATTATCAGCGACTTGCGACAATCGGAACATCACTAATGGCAGTGACATGTGGCATGTGAAGGGGGTTATACATCTTACATACAGAAGGTTGTTGGTTCTAGTTAGGTTCCTGCTAATGCCAGAAATAATACAATATTATATAACATCTTACACAAATTGTCATTTCATATAGAAATATTTTAAGAGAACTAATGCAAAGAATCATTATGATTGGTGACCATTATACCATTTTCGGTACGAGTTTGCTGGGGGTGACTGAATTTACCAAGGTGACCAGTGCAAACAGGCAATATTTAAATGATGTCAGTCATTGACTTAACATGCAGTTTATGACATAGAAATGTATATAACAAAATAAAATGCATATTTAATTAACGATAAGGAAGATTGTTTGAGAAATTATATGTTGTTAATATATTTGTATAATATATATTTTAGGTATTAACAAACCAGTTACAGACTGTAAACTCTACAGTGTCTACACAGATGTCAGTTCTAATGAAGAGTAATAGTCAACATGAAGTAAGTCCTTAATTTACTGACATTTAATCATGTTAACTTTAACAGTGATTATATTTGTAAATATTTTCAGATTGTTTTAATTGTGAAAGTATTGATCAAGACAATATTATAAAAATATAAGTGCAATTAATAAACATAAGCTAGTGTTAGTTACATTGAATCTTTAGTTTAATTTAGTTTGTACAAATTTATTTTAGTTTGATTGTGTTGGAAGCTTTAAGCTTATTGAAACACTCTTGAATCTGTTCCTGGAACCAACCAGTACTAAGCAAAGATTGTAAAGTTTCTTGCTCAAGGAAATAATGGCTTGCCCCTGTCAGGGTTTAAATCCATGCAGCCAGCAATCCTCAGATTACTAATCTGACGTGTTAACCATTCTGCCACACAATGAATCTTGGTTGTACTAGTGGCAGAAAGACTATAAATCATGTTTGATAAAGTAATCATTACCTTAAAATTTTGACATGTACATTGTATCTCGAAATGTTGTATGGTTTAGTCTGTATTACCTCCCTTTCATCAGTAATCCATCAAACATGTGAATGTTTTGGGTTTTATTTTCATTCTCTTAATATTGAAATGCTCTATATAATTTACAATTATGGAAGTCTATCTGTTCTTATATAAATGAATACTAATTATGATCATGATAATTCTGTTCTAGTTCTAGTATATAAGTTGTAAAGGAGTTGCATTTTTGATTTGTGAATTTTGACACAGATAACTGACAAAAATGTGCTTAAAATTTAAAAGAAAAAGAGAAACTATGAAAACCTTAAAATTTTGACATGTACATTGTATCTCGAAATGTTGTATGGTTTAGTCTGTATTACCTCCCTTTCATCAGTAATCCATCAAACATGTGAATGTTTTGGGTTTTATTTTCATTCTCTTAATATTGAAATGCTCTATATAATTTACAATTATGGAAATCTTTCTGTACTTTTATAAATGAATACTAATTATGATCTTGATAATTCTGTTCTAGTTCTAGTATGATAATATATTTTGTAAGTTGTAAAGGAGTTGCATTTTTGATTTGTGAATTTTGACACAGATAACTGACAAAAATGTGCTTAAAATTTAAAAGAAAAAGAGAAACTATGAAAAAGACCCATGCACTTGAACAAATTGGCTTTTACAAAAAAATATATATATATACTATTTTTTCTCAAGCTTTATGATGAATTTGATTCTTTAACTATGTTGTTTGATTATTACAGGAGAGATTACTGAAGTTGGAAGAAGTGAGTGTAATGCTGATAAAGAATTTGTCCAGTCTATCTGCAGAGCATACTTCTATAAATAACGAACACACATCCATTAACAGTGATCATTCATCTATGAACGGTGAACACAGCCAGATGGTAGATGATTATACCAGTGATAAATTCAAATCAAGTGTCACAGACATCCTTCAAAGCTTGGTGAGAGTCTGCAACATATAATTTATGTACTATGTGATTGTTTTTAGGATTTCCAGGGGCATCTGTGGCCGAGTGGTTAAGGTCGTTGACTTCAAACCACTTGCCCCTCACCGCTTTGGGTTCAAATCTTGGCAGGGACTTTGGATTCTTTCATGTGAGGAAGCTATCCAGCTAGCTAACGGAATGTCGCTGGTTCTACTCAGGTGCCTGTTCGTGCCTGAAATAATGCACGGAACGGCACCTCAGGTCTTCCTCCACCAGTAAAGCTGGAACATCGCCAAATGACCTATACTGTGTCTGTGTGACGTAAAACCCAATCAAACAAACAAACAAATTGAGGATTTCCTGTTTTGAGAAGTTTTGCTTCTGAAATTTGGTTAAGTCAACACTATGTCTCTTATGTTCATTATCCTTTAAAATGCTTATTTTAAATTGATGTAGATTGAGAGCTATTTGTAGTAATTTGTCGAGATAACAGGATAGTTGTGGTACAGAATCCAGGAAATCTTTTGTCTGCAAATATATAACTGGACTACTGTTAACCGTTATCACGCTAAATGTCTTAAATGAACTTGTCCATCTGTCATTCTGAACAAATCTAATCATCAGTTGAAGGGAAATTATTTAGAAATGTACTGACAGAGTAGCAAGTGGTTGCAGAACATGAACAGTGGCTATGGATATGCCAGCTTGTCTTGGTTTGCACTGGTCACATGGGTAGAATCAGTTGGTGCGAGCAGGCTAAGAGTGAAACTTGTGCTAAAGACAAGAAAACACACAAATAATACTGATATTAATGTTGATTGTTATATTTCTTTATACATGTCAAGCTTATCTAAGATTAGAATATCTGTAGTTTTATTGGAAGTTTATTGTTAATAATCTTCTCAATTTTTAGCTGACTGGAGATGAGCATCTCCCATCTGCTGGTAACATTGAAGGTATTATGGTGAATGTTTCAACAGTACTGGCGACTCTTAAAGATATGGAGGACAAATATGAACATATTAGTGAGAAGGTAGGCTATAAGTTACTGATCATTAACACCATTACTAATCTAAAGTGATTCTCAAATATAAGTTTGTTTTAAGTAAAAACATAGAGATTTGGCCTATCAGATCAGTTTTCGTCAGTGTTTCCATCAAATTCACACAAATGAATACAATTGAACCAGGATACTGCATTATACCGATATATCTTATTATGTCTCTTCTTTTCATAAACTAAAAGTGAAGAATTTCTGTTTTCAAACCATAATCTCCTAGATGTAACTGAATCTAGCATTGCAAGCATTGCAGACAAGATCAGCAAGCATGTCCTTGCCGTCTGATAATAGTATGCACTGTTGGCCATTGAGTCAGTCATTCAGTTATTTATGCAAATTGAAATATGATCAAGTCTGTTTAAGATATTAAGTGTGGTGAATGTTAAATATATTTCATTCAGTTCAAATAATTTTCATCAGAAATCTATCTATCTAAGTCATGGAAGGAGAGTGGGACTACTCTGAGTGCTTGTTTGTGTGGGAAAGGATATACAGAGGGTTTTCCAACAGGCTTTTCCATATTTTTAACAAAATAATTTTGCTTTCTTTATAGACTGGTGCAGATATTGGTGATAATGAATATGTCAGTATGGAAATGTTTAAAACACTCGGGGATGGTTTTGAAGCCAAAGTTGAGGTAAGCTCCTATACAGGTGTTTGTATTATACCAGTGAACACTCAGGAGTTTTCCTGAAGTTCAGGATTTTCAAATGCTCAAAGGCCTCTTTTTATACTACTAAATATGTCAAAAGGCATCATCTAAAATTCTTACAAATGAAGATGGAACAATATCATTTCCATCTCTTGTAATAGAACCATCTCCTAAACATAGACAATCAAGCTAAGCAAACTAACTTAAATAAGTGCATGTTCATGAAATGTAATTCTTGTAAATTTAAAAATTTATGATTTGTTAATATACGTAAATATCATACAAATAGCATTTCCTTTTCTTATCTTAATTAGACATTGCTGAACGACTAATTCTGACAATGATCATAACAGAAATTTTGCTGTGAAATGAGTGAAACATGTTTATTTTGTTTCAGGTGTTGAACTCGTCGTTTGTCAGCTTGAAGGCTGATGTAACCACTATGTCTCAATTGTTGACCAAGCAGTCCAATACTGTCACCAATCTCACACATCAAGTAGAAGCTACCAAACTATTTCTGACAACACTGATGCAGAAAATTGAAGGCCCAGGTACTGTTTATTTTTCAAATATATAATTGTGAGGAACATTTTTGAGGCATCAGAATTGCAGCCACCATTTTCCTCTGCATGATCTTCAGAGGCCACTAAATGGGTTTCAAATTAATAGAGTCTATGCATCTCTTAGCTCCAGCAGGCAAGGTGGTTTGACCCCTGGTGTTGCTTTAAGTAGTCAAAATCATCCTTCGTGTTTTGGCACAGAAAGATCTAAACTGTGTTTGTGCGCGATAAAACCAAACAAAACAAAAACATTAAAAACAATAGAAGAATATTGAGTATATTATCGTAATACAGTAAAAATGCCATAAAATCTTTGCTTTTCTTTCATTTAAGACAACTTGATCTTTGACAAGAAAGAAAATGGTCTTGTTCCCTTGATGATTAATATTTTAGTTGGAGTAACCAAAATAGACTTACTTCAGGCATAAAAATTTCATCTTGGGTTTTCTCAGCTTATCGAGGAGTACAAACAAACTTGTAGAGTAACAACTTTGAAAATAAATGAGCCACGTCATGACAAAACCAACATAATGGGTTTGCGACCAGCATGCGCATCCGGGCAGTCTGATCAGGATCCATGCTGTTCGCTATCAGTTTCTCTACTTGTTATAGGGTTTGTAAGCGAACAGCATGGATCCTAATCAGACTGCGCGGATGCGCAGGAAGGTCTGGATCCATGCTGGTCGCAAACCCATGATGTTGGTTTTGTCATGACGCGGCTCAAATGCAACACTACATCATGTAGCTTATGGTAAAAGTTTGATAGTATCAGCTTGGAAAAACCCACATTTGCTGAATTCAGACTAGCATCTATTTATTTAAACACAATTTCTATTAAATTTTTATCCGGCAATATTTCCACTTTACTTGACCCTCTTGGGAAAGAACTGATCTATATATATAGGTATTAGTGAAAGGGTTACTTCTGTTGTATGAACTTAAAAGTATGGAAAACACATTTAATAATTTTGTTTCATGTAAATGAGAAACCGCACCATTCTAGTTTCTGTTATATTACTATCATTATCATGTGGTATTGAATAGGTGAGAGTAAGACGCCAACTGTAACGGAGGCACTAAACCCTGTCACAAAGTCAAGTACAACCAAACCTGACATTCCAGTGACATCAACGGATGCTGAAATAAAATCTAGTACCAAAGGTATGATTAAGCATATACCTTCAATATTTCATAACTGTGTTTTTATTTCATTTTATAAAAATATTACAAAAATCATTATTGAAATGTGTATAATGTATATACAGTCCCAGATCAATTTTCATAATTTCATTTGACTCATGTTTATTAAATGACATGTTTATTATGTATAGCAAAGTACATTAAAATTTTTTTAGAGGTAAATAAATTTGTAAGGGACATCCAAAACAACAATATTGAAAAATGTTGAAGGCTCGGTTTAATTGATTCTGTAGGGGTAAGTGCATGTTAATATTCGTGCCCCAAGCACCTGCTTGTGTAATAATTTGATATCTGCACATGACTAGTGTGAAGATTTGATTTGAAAAGCATCTACAGATGTGTTCATATGGCGCTGATCATGGAACCTTCAATGTGACACTTTTGTTCTATTCCATGAAAGCAGCACATGTCTTAATGGAAAGATAATTTTCTATGTGCACAATTAATAGGGGGTTGTATCTAATACCAAGTTATAGTTGTCCTATAAGATATTATAATAATTTCTTTAAGTGCTGCTCATTTGACTACTAAAGCTGAATTGTTGTAACAAAAAACAAAACAAAATTCATAATTATTGAAATTTCGGATGTTTCAGGTCCAAGTACTACCACAAAACAAGGCGGTCAACTACCTGGAAAAATCCATGTCAGCTTTATAACATCACCAGAAGGTAAATATTCATTTTCATGATAAAATTTTTAACGAAACAGTTATAACGCTCAGCATTCTATTTGTTGACAAGCAAAACCATTCTACATTATAATTAAAAAAAATATACTGTTAGTTCACAATGACAGTAAGGTCAGTGAAAGTGATGAGGCGGAAGTTGTCTGCCTAGGGACTCAAGCTTGCCATCTTACTTTATTATCTTACTTGGCAACCTTTGACCTGAATGTAATGTTTAAAAAATATACTGATTAACTGAATTTACAGGTACTTAATCCTGTATGTAGACAGGAGGCATTTTGTTGTTGTCAAGCAATTGATAAATATTTTCTAATCAGAGTTTTCATTTTTTAACCTATCTCAGGTGTTTCAACATAATCTGCTGCAATAAAAAATAGATTTGTATATTGTCTGTTCTTGTTGGACTTATTGCTGATTTCTTTCTAGTTAAATAAGTGTATATATACTTAATTCCTTATCAGTGTTTTATAAAAGCTCTTACACAAAGTTATTTAGCAACTTAGATAATTTTGTTAGGTTACCTGAAACATTCCCATTTTGTCCTTCCATCCATCACTTTGTTTCCATTCACATAGCACTTTTATTTATGGACTGATATATATGACAGATTTGGTGTTGCGGTGCCTTCATTTGATCACTAACCTTAAAGTGGGATCAGTCATTTTGGTCAAGGTCAATGCTTCTTCTAACTCTAAGACCATGTTTCTAATTTTGGTATTAAAGCAACAGCCTATAGCATCTTTTCATTTGTTTCTTTCAGACCTGGAATTAAATTTCCGTAGATGGGATCGTTCAGGAAGTGGGCAAGTAAACTTGGCAGACTTGGATGGTTTTTTAGGACCTGAAACTCCTAAAGAAGAAGATCTTAAAGAATTTGATGAAGATAAAAATGGGTTGTATTCACTTCAAGAATTTGCAAAGGCATTTGGAATATCACTAGGTAAATATCTATGATCTGGCTAGTTTGTGGTAACTGCAAAATCATTATTATTCATAGGGTACTTATTTTTTTTCGAGATTTTATGGATAGGTCAATTTGTATTCTGCAAGATAAGTTTCCATTATATTATTTGATTTTTACCTTTTTTGCAAAGGTAGACAATCAATGAATCTAAAATCCCATGAAAATGTCTTGTCACAAAGCCACAAAATTTCAGGCCTCAAGTGCTCCTTTATGCGTTAGTTCAGACTCAAAGGGGCATCTGAGTAGAGCCACCTATGTTTCATAATCTAGCTAGATAGTTTTCTCTTATGAAAGAATTTGAAGATGCTGGAGGAGATCAAACCTGAAGCGATGAACTTGTTATAATCAACCCTGTAATGCATACAGGTGGTTTCTTCAAATATTAAGCTGGCTGTTTTGAAACAAGCAGATGACTGATGTAGGAATAGGGCCAATTGAAGATTGGGTTGTCTCTGTGAAAAGAGAATGATTGTCCTCGAAAATAGTATTGTAATCCTTTGTCACAGGCCGGCTGATGACAATTTTTCTTGGGCCGTCCGTGGCCGAGTGGTTAAGGTTGTTGACTTCAAACCACTTGTCCCTCACCGCTGTGGGTTCGAATCCCGACAGGGACTTTGGATTTTTTCATTTGAGGAAGATATTCAGCTAGCTTACGAAACGTCGGTGGTTCTACTCAGGTGCCTGAAATAATGCATGGAAGGGCACATGAGGTCTTCCTCCACCAGTGAAGCTGGAACGTCGACAAATGACCTTTACTGTGTCGGTGTGTGATGTAAAACCCAAACAAACAAATAAACAAACAATTTTTATTTTTGTCTTTTTTGTACGTGGGAGTGGGATAGGGTGTCTCTGAAAACATCATTGTGTTTTTAAAAAAAATACACAGATAGTAATATCAGTCAAAATCTCTTTAGTCTATTAAATTTACTTATATGTCTCCATATAATTTCAGCAACAACAACAGCAGCAGTGACAGAAACAGAGCCAACACCACCACCAAGATAGAAGACTTAAGAGTTGTTGTTAATGTTGCCTAGCAACAGTAGAATAAGTATTCTGTTACATATGTTGTTGATATGAAGCTGTTGAAATTTGATTTTTTAGAAAGACAACATATTTGTGTATATAAGAGTATATGGAAGATATTGATCTCTAAGTGTTAAAGGTCATTGATTTTTTTTAAAAAAGGAAAAATATGAAATACAGGGTCATTCGTAACTTTTAAAAATTGGTTATTTATATTAATATCATTTGTTAATTGGTTTTGATTTTGATTTCATTGCAAAGGGAGAAAGCCAATTGTCAAGTATCAAGAGTTAATCAATGTTATGAAAAAGCTAGGCAGTTTTATGTCTAACTTGCCCGATAATATACAAGGATAATAAATGTTTATTGTTAGATATACTTTCTTTAATGGTCTTCTTCAAATTTTTTTTTGTATGAACTTCATTGCCCCTATCAAGGATGACTAGAGGCTGAACAAATGTGAGCATCTTTACCCAACTTTGTATATAATGTTCATATGAATTGTTTAGATTTTCCATTTTATGGACCAACTGTTGTGAAAATGGATTAACATGGGTAAAAGTTTTCTGAATTTCTCCAGATTTTTATAAAGATTTTGGTCTCTTGAAAGCCACCTTTTTCAAGATAAAACTCGAAATTTCAAAACATAATTTTTTGAAATACTAAACTTTCATTCAAGGACAGAATTTTACTAGCCAATAAATATGAAAAATAAATGCCACCAATAAAGTCATACCTTCATTGTGAAGACATTACTCAAACATAATTCTTTTTTTTTTTCTTAAATCCATTTTACATGTGGCAAAAAAGTATAAGGAGTGAGTCAATGTTTGAAAGAATACAGTAGAGTATAAGTGCTTTATAATCTATTTATTGTATTAGATATTTAGAGAAATAGCAGTTAATGAATATTTTGAATGTAAAGATTTATTTGTTTTGGCAGAGTATTCATCTCGGCATGTGCCATTTGTTTTTGTTTCATTTTCAATTTGTCCCAAATTTTAGATTTGTGATTGATTGATTTAATTGTGATAAAAAAGCTATATATTATAGTTGATAAAATAATGTTTTAATTGAGATTTTGTTAATTTTTTGTAATTCGTTCATTTATATTTTGCTTCTCCAAACTGAACTGAATCAATGCAATTGAAGTATATGATATGTTCATAAATTCTGACCCGTGTTCGGCTCGGTGACTTACTAGTTCTGGTTGTTGATTTTGAATCATTTGCCCTTTTCTGTTGTTGGTTTATATCTGGCCAGTGATAAATTATCTCAAATGCTGGAGATCTGTAGTTCGTTAATTGTGTGGTTAATTGATCAAGAGCAGGTTGGGGCAAGAGGGAGATTGAGTAAAGATCTTGGACCAGTAAAAATGCAAAAGTTGCATTTGGGACGGTATTTGTATGAGGGTGGATTGAAAGCGAGGATTTTGGTAGAGATTCCCAACAAGTAGAAACTGAAAATTTGCTAAATGACTGTATTTTGTATTAGTGGTTGGTGGTGAAGGTTGTATTGAGGGGGTTGGGGTGGAAGGTTGTATCCTCATTGAAGGCAGGGTGAATGTCAGGGTAAGATATCCTGTACAAGTAACAAACTGAAAAATTTCCATACAACATAAACTATATTGAAAATGTTTTAACTTTGGATAACATCAGTAGTAAAGGTACATGAGGAATTACTCATGCAAAAAAGGATGTATACATTTATTCAGGTCATTCATTTGTAGATTTTCAAACTGCTTGTCACAAATTTTCAGTTCAAGTTTATCAGATGTGCAAGGCTAGTTTATTTAATTGTAGACATTTCAAACACATGAGTGTAATTTATATGTTGGCATTTAACACTAGATTAGCAGTAACAGTTTAAAAATGTTAAGTTTTTTTGTTTGTTTTTTTTACATCCCAAATTTTACAATTCAAGGAAATGTTTAACATCGATAAATAACAAATCACAATTCATAATAATTGCATTTAAGTTTATTAATTATTTAAAAAGTTATACTAACATTCTTCCATGGAGGTAAACTTCATACTAGTCATTTTGTTTTTGATAAAATGCTTACCAACGAATTTCTTGTTCATTGTTTTTCTTTCTTTCATGTATTTTATTATATCTTGTATCGTATTAATCATATGTATAAAGTACTTGTACAGAAAAGTAATTGATTGCCAATGTTATCATTGCTTAAGTTGACATACATAACTTTAAATGCTTGTTGTTTTCAAATCATTTTGCTCATAACAGTTACTTTAAAGGCCCATTATGCTTCAGGAATGCTTCTATTTTTATTTCTCTCAAAAGCTTTTTGTTTTGGGTAAACTTTTATTGTTAACAAAGAGCTGTTTGTTGGCCAATAAACTGAATCATCTTTTTTTTCTGTTTCTTTTTAACAATTAGTACAATTATAGTAATTTTGTATTTTGCATGGAAGTCAAAATACCACTTTGTTTACATTTTGCTTTTTTTATGACAAATTGTTTGGCATTTAGCTCTGCTTTCTTGAGGTAATAAGCATTGTATATGCTCCAAAAAATTATTTTAGCTTTAGAATGTTCACGTTTTCCCTTTTTAAAGAATTAAAAAATTTCTTTCTTTCTGAGGCATAATGTAGTTTTGAATCATCGACATTTATTTCACTGACTTTATACATTGTTGATACACTATTCCATTAAGATTTGGTTTCCATATTTGATCATGCTATATAATATATTGTTAGCTATATACATGTAGTTTGTTTTTATTTTTAAAATATAAGTTTAAATGCACAAAGCTTACTTTAAAATACTGATAATTCAGGATAACTTGTTACTAATTTAAACAAATTTGCGTTAAAGTGGATTGGTCTACAACGGGCACAATTTCCATAATTTTTTAAAATATCGACAAAAACAATAGAAATGTTTTTATATGTATATTCTTAAAAAATATAACTTGAAAAAACATTTGGATGAAGTTCTAAATAATTTTGTATGAACATTTATATGATGGATAATTATATTTTGTTCAAGAACATTTTATATTCTGCTATGAATAAATATAATGAGTCATGTATCTCACACTTGCCAACAATATCCATATAAAATTCTTATGACATTTGTTATGTCTGATACTGAATACATGATTATTTTTTGTATTACAGACCTTCCTATATAGACCAATTCACTTTAAATGTACTTCAGTTTCAGTTGCATGTCATAAATTACAAATATTTCTTTGATAATATATGGTACATGTATATCCAAAAATATTACAATACAAACCTGCAATTGATTCAACCCATGCAACCAAAGATTTGACTCACACGTCTTAACAGTGTGATCATGGTCTGCACCGTTTGCTTTACAGTCTGTACTTGTTTTGAAATTTTCCGTAAAAATGATGAATGCTTTTGAAATTTTCCCAAAAAGTGATGAATTGTTTTGACCAAATTAAAAGATAGAAGAGTCCATTTAAGATGTTTAGCATAGTAAGGGTGGGAATTTCTTTATTTAATTGGGTGTGTTACTGCACTTAACTGACAAGTTATCCTGTATGATCAGTATATTGTAAATGTATCAAGGTTAAGATTATGTTTATTGAATTATCATATGTTTCTGTGATACTCATTACTACATGATATATCATTTTGTGTTTTTCATATTGTTTCTTGTTATTGATTGAGTTGCATAGACCAAAATACAATTTTCTTTTTCAAAAAATATAAAAAAAAATTTCAGCCAACTATATTTTGTGATAGAATATATACGAGTGTGACTAACAGCTCAACCATAAATGATTTCTTTGACAGAGGCTACCTGATTTAAGGTCTGGGTATACCTAAAGTGTTTTTCTTAACAATAGTGTGAAATGTCAAGATAAAAAAAAATGTTGCGGAAAGGGTGTTATTTCATTTATATATTAATGTTAACCAGTGGATAGGTTCATAAAATACAAAATGCAAATTATATGTAAAAATGTAGAATATACATTGTTCATGTGTATTTGGAAAAGAACAAAATTCATCTAAGTGAAGCTTAGACCATGACAAATTTTATTTTTATGTTATTAAAAAAATGGTAAGTTTTATAATAACAGGTTTTTTTTTCTGGTAAATCTGGGTTTATTTACAAACTTTGTTTACTTAAACAGCTTTATGTTTTCTTCTTAATTATTTCAGTTATTTCTTTGAAATTAAATCAAAGATTATTTTAAGAGATGCATTGTCTTGTATCTCAGACTGAGATTAAAGCTGTGTATAGAATTATTATACTTGAATTATTATACTTGAATTATTATACTTGATTTAGGCACTGTATGTCTCAACTGAAAAATCAAATAATCTTAAGTTGCCATAGTGCTCAAAGTGATGCAGTTGAAAGTGTAAATCCTTGCGCCACCAGTATAGAGCCAGACCAACCTGTACATATGCACAAGGACTGACCAGGTTCAATACTGTTAGCTCGTAAACTTAACAAATTTTTCATTGCAAACTCTCTGGAATTTGTATAAGACTGTTTCATAGAGGAAATTGGACAATGAACAAGTCTAGTAATAAAATTCAGCAAGGTAAACATTAACAAAATGTAAAAATCCAAAACAAAGTTTAAGATGATGACCAGATTTTGTAGTTGTCTTTTGGGGTGGGGGGGTGTATTAATTTTTTTTTTAACCAAATTCTTTTTATTTATTTTGTTATATGCATGTATATCTATTTATCATTAAAAAAACTACTGTTGGTCTGTCTTGTACTAAAAAAATGCAAAATTTAATTTGAATTTTTGATTTTTTAAAAATGCCTGGACATTTGACTTCCTTCTTTTGTTGTTAAGTTCCTTCTTTTGTTGTTAAGTATTAATTGCGATAATTTTCTTTTTGAAAACGGATATGTTAATGTTTTAACAGTTCTTGTAAGGAGTAGCTTTAAAGGGAAAAAATGTCTCAAAAATGCCCTTTTGATTTATTGTAAATTGAGTAATATTATTATGTTGTTTCTGTTGTTGTTTCATAACAGAGTTTTATACTATGACTGTGTTGTAAATAGTATAGTATAGAATGTGTACCACAGATCATGTTTTGTATCATTGCATTAGTCATGTACAATAAGTAAATGTTGCTTATGTTCAAAATTTATAACGCATCAGTCATTGCAACAGTCATTCCTAATCCTACCCCCACACGGCCCCGTTATCCCCAGAACGGTGCTGGGGATAACGAAGAAAGTTAGCCATGTTGTTAACCTTTTGCTGTTATCCATCGTATTGACGTTTCAAACAAGTGGCTTTGATTTTTCATTCCTGGCTATACACTTAACACAAAGTAAGGGTTGGGGACAGTGGTGACTTTGGGGTGAATAAGCAGTGATCACACCGTTTACAGGCCGTATTTTCTAAGACAAGTGGGGTGATATTACAAGGTATTCTCTGGTCTCAAGTCCCCGCAATTCTCCATGTGTTGGTGTAGTTTAGGTAACAGTCGGCTTGTACACGAGACATTTTGATAACAAAATCTTTATTTTCTTCAAAACAGTAACGTTTTTACCCTTCACAACATTTGAAAATAAATACTTTCTTCTTTTGTACAGAAAATCAGCAATTGTTCTTGAAAAAAAAGTTTTGTAAAGATGAATTTAACTGAATACTGACAATATCATATTTTTGTTAACAGCTACTGGTTATAAATCAAATTTACATGTATATAGTGTATGTTGTCACTGTTAATGCTTTAAATGCAACATTGTTTTCTTATTTATGATTCATATTACTTAATAGATATGTAAATAAAGTGGTGATAATTATAAACAGTGAGTTGTTGTGATTTTATGTCCATTATTTTAACAGTTCGAGCGTGAACATAATTTTAATTAGATTAAATTTTTACTTACTGTTACAGTATCGCATTTTCGCCCTACGCATAATGCTTATGTGCAAAATGCTACTTGCGTTTCTAATCGTTTCTAGGAAATGTAAATAGGTCTATGACAAGACCAACCGTCCAGTTAGCTCAATAAGTAGAGCGTTGGACTGAAATCAGGGTTCGATCACTCCTCATGAAATTCTTCTACAGTCATTTGCTCAGACATGTATGTACAGAAGTAATCAGTTCCTTGTGAAAGTGTCGGCAACCTATACTGGTAAACTGCTTAATTCAATTTAAACATATTTATTTCGATATTTTACATATATTACATTTTAAATGTATATAATCATGCCCCCACTTCAAATGCTTTGCATTTGTGTGTCTGTCGGTCCGTAGACCAAATGGTTTCCGAGTGATAACTAAAGAACCCTTAGGCCTAGGAACATCAAACTTGGTATGGAAATTGGTCATGACCAGTAGATGACCCCTATCGATTTTGGGGTCAAGGTCACATTGACCTTGTAAGTAAAAATGGTTTCCGATCAATAACTAAAGAATGCTTAGGCCTAGGAACTTCAAACTTGGTAATGATGATTGGTCATGACCAGTAGATGACCCCTATTGATTTTGGGGTCAAAGGTCTAGGTCACATTGACCTTGTAAGTAAAAACGGTTTCCGATCAATAACTAAAGAACGCTTAGGCCTAGGAACTTCAAACTTGGTATGATGATTCGTCATGACAAGCAGATGACCCCAATTGATTTTGGGGTCAAAGGTCACATTGACCTTGTAGGTAAAAACAGTTTCCGTCAATAACTAAAGAAGGCTTAGGCCTAGGAACTTCAAACTTGGTATGGTGATTGGTCATGACCAGCAGATGACCTTTATTGATTTTGGGGTCAAAGGTCAAGGTCACATTGCCCCTGTAGGTAAAAACGGTTTCCGATCAATAACTAAAGAACGCTTAGGCCTAGGAACTTCAAACTTGGTATGATGATTGGTCATGACCAGCAGATGACCCCTATTGATTTTGAGGTCAAGGGGTCAAAGGTGAAGGTCACATTGACCTTGTAGGCAAAAATGGTTTTTAACTAAAGAACACTTAGGCCAAGGAACTTCAAACTTAGTGTGATGATTGGTCATGACCAGCAAATGACCCCTTATAAAAGATATGGACTTGAAATTCATAGAATGATAGATCTTATTGATAAGAAGTGCAGTGCATAGAAACTGCTGCTCTTCACTTTTTATTTTTTGAGCTATTGGCCTTTGTTAGTTTTCGTATTTCATTTAACCAGGTCATTTCTTCTCAAGTATGAAAGCTATAGACATGAAACTTCTTAGGATGATAGATCTCATTAAGAAAAAGTGCAGTGTACAAGAACCGGTACTCTGCATTTCTTATTTTTTAGTTTAATAATTACTAATCCTACTCGCGGAGTTCTAGTTTAATAATTATCATACAGTTGTATGGATTTTTTTTTTTTAACTATTTTGGCAAGACCTGTCATGACTTTTAATAATATAGGTACTACTGGGATCTTTACCAAAATTATATTTTAATAACAATTTAAGAACTTAAATGGCACTACTATTACAAATAAAATTAAAGGTTATATAAAATGTAAAATAATGTTGTATGGGAAGATATTTACCCTTGTATTCCTGAACATCAGGTTAATTTTGTCTGCACTTAAGGTCAAACCCAGGTTTAGTAAATTTCGAATATCTGACTTTCTCCTAATTGATAGGGGTAAAATATATCAGCCTCCATCACCAGCCATAGCTCAGATGTGGGACAAAGGGCCGCCAGGGCCAACTGGAGGGCAGTGTTTTTGAATGGTATAGAGTTTTATTAAATGACATCTTTTAGCACAATATTAATAGATTTTGAGCACCATAATCTATTTTTGAAATGTATTAAGGATTTATATAGAGTAAAAGGCTATTCTTATCAGTCCCAAAATCAGTGCCACATCTTCATGATGTGTGGGGTCTTTACAAAGAAGGTTTTTTTAAATTTATTCTTATCAATTCTTTTGGCGTGCCATGGCAACCAGATTTCTGCATGGGAACAAGTTTGGAAGCCCTTTCACCCAAGGAACAATCCTGCCAAGATTGGTTGAAAAATTGGACTAGTGCTTTTACACAAGAAGATTTTTTTAAAGTTCATTATATAATCTATATAACAGCTCAGTAGGTAGAGTCGCTGTAATGGTAATTTGAAGAGTCATGTGTGTCCAAGTCCAGGTCAGATTGCACAAATCTCCCAGCCTTTGACTGCATGTAACCGAGATTTATTTCACATGCTCTGTAACCCTGAGAAAGACAAAGATGAATTTCTATTAATGAAGAAACATGTTACCTGTTCACTATTTCGTGGGGATAATGTGTGTATATACACCTGGAAATAAGTTTAAGCAAACTCCAGAAATTTGAACTTGGTTGTGATTTGACATGACAGCTTTTTTGATTAGGAAAAAATAAAATACCCAATATAGTAATCATAGTAAATTTATGATTAGTTTTTTCTTAAAACAAATTTTGAAGGGGTAAAACAAATGGTTTTGGTTTTTTTTCCAAAAAAGTAAAATGAAAAAGCACTGTTTGGGGCTTTAAAAAAAATTTTTGGGGGTATTTTTGGTAAATTTTGATTTACAAATTAAAAAATATTTGAAAAATGTTTTCCAAATTTAATAAGTGTTTAACCGATTGGCCCCCGGATGATACCTCAACCTTCCCTCATAACTACCGAAGCTCTAATGGGTATTTTAGGTAAATTTGCCAATTCTTTTTTGGTGGCCCTTTTTTTTTAGTTGTTGAGGGGTGACTAGGTTGTTTGTACCCTGCCCAAAAAAATTTAAAATTTTTATTTTTTCATGTCAGAAATTTAGGGAAAATGCCGGGGGTTTCTCAAATTATTTCAGGTGTATACCGGTAAATGAATACTGGATAGTAATTTTGTTCTTGTTGATCAAAGGGAGATTATTCTATGATAATTTGACCTTTATAATGACAAGACTAACCTGTGGTATACACAGCTTCATTTTTGTTACAGAGCTCCATGCTCATTTTTAAAAATATTTTGAAAATAGGAAAATTTATTTCCCCAAGTGTAAATCAGATTAACTTATTATATTTGGATGTTTGGACATATTTTTTATACAGTTTAACAACTTTTTTCTACAATTATGATGTGTAGCCATAATTCATTAATGCTTACATGGGCATTTGTGGACGCGAATTTTGATGCTTAGGTATACACCATGCTTTTATCAATGAACTATCAATTTTATCACATTTTTTTCCGGAAGTGGGTGATGTTCCGGAAGCAAATGTCAAAAATGTAGCTATAACTCTATACATTGCAAGCAATGTATACAAAAATGATTTGAGGCACAGTAGTAAATGTAGTTTCACAATTTTAAAGTGATACAGTTTTTAATAAATCATACTGTCAAATATCTAATTAAGTTTAAAAAACCTTGATTTTAATAAATGTCAAATAAAAACAATGAGTTTGATATAGACATAACATTCACAGCCATGTTTTAATTTTACAAACCATGAATCAGCATATAAGTGCTCCCGCTGAGATTTGAACTCAGAACTCCTCTTATGTATGTGATACAATAGAGAGGCATTTTTACCATTAAACTACAAGAGCTTAAAACTTACTAACTATGGCTTGTAATTCATTTAAAAGATTAACATTCTTCCTACTTTTTTTTGCATCTTTAGTTTTTAAACAGCCAAATATAGGTAAGTGCCAAATATCTTGGGTCTATTCTAAATAAAAAACTATTTTATTCTGAAAATTCTTATTTTTTTATAAAAGAATTTCTCAGAATCATTTCAACTACAAGAATCATTTTAACTACATGTTTAAGATTTTTTTTAAAAAAGCACACTTAAAGTGTTTTTATCGTCTGATTATAAAGTTCTTAAAGATTTTGTAAAATATTAACAATTTTCTATTATTTATGGTTGTTATTTTACCATTCTAAGGCATGTTCTGTTCTGATGATAAAAAAACACAACAACAAACAATAAAATATAGATGCCAAGTCTCATATGTATTTTATTTTGTTACTTATTTTCAACAAAATCTGAGTTATAACTACAAAGAAAATTGAAAAATCTATACCATGCATTTTTGGATACTGATGGTTGATTATGAGTATAACTGATATAATTTATAATCTCATTTTTAGCATAAATAGCAACCAACATTGTTCATTGAGGGCATGGAAATTGTCCAACGTTAAAGTCCATGAAGAGAATGGACATTGTCCATGGATAACAACTGTTTAAACTCACAAAATCACATACAAATTTGCAACTTGATATTGCATCGCCTTGCATATACTTTGATGTTACATCATGTTCCTTCCACAAAGCATTATGAGTTGTGAATCATTTAAGCATTACAAGTTTTGAAATTGTGAAATAAAATTGATATTTAACTGTTTTGCAACATTGAAATACATGTATGAGAATTTACAAAGGGCAATAACTAAAAAAATAAGAAGTGCAAAGAATAACAATTCTTGTGCACTGCACTGAGTCATTGAATGAAGCATGCATACAAAGTTTGGTGTCAATCTGACCGATAGTGAGTTATGCTCCAGACAAGCCTAAGGGGACGCCGAAATTAACAAAGGGCAACAACTCAAAAATCATTAAGTGCAGAGTACAAGTTCTAGTGCACTGCACTTCTCAATGAGATACATCATCCTATGAAGTTTCAAGTCAATAGCTTTTAAAGAGTAGGAGAATTGGCCCGGACATTTTAATTAATTATGAAAATTTACAAAAGGCAATAACTCAAAAATCATGAAATACAGAGTACCAGTTTTAGTGTGCAGCACTTTTTCTTAATGAGATCTATCGTCCGACGAAGTTTCAAGTCCATAGCTTTTATATTTAGGAGAAATGGCCTGGACAAAGGGCAATAACTCTAAAAATAGGAAGTGCAGAGCAATGATTCTTGTGCACTGCACTTTGAGTCAAGCATAAAAGAAGCAAGCATACCAAGTTTGGAGTCAATCCAACCTATAATGAGTAAGATATTCTTACCGGACAAGCCTTAAACGGGATTCTGCCGACAAAAGTACCCCCTATATGTCCACTTTTTCAAGGTGACAGAAAAATCAGTTATTTGACCTGTTACTTATAAATATAATTATGTAAATTATTGAAATTTTCTCCCTTGTTTATGCCGTGATATCAACACACACTGCAACATTTTCCATTGAACCATCCCATCTCCTACAAGTATATACAGAAGAATTGGTTAACATATGTTAGATACATAAAAATGTAAATCCACCAATTGGAGAATAAAAAAAGAGTACAAATGGCCTAAATTAGACAAATTATGAAAATTACAAGACCTGTCAATGAACAGCACACTCTTATTTTACTCAGTGCTGAGTAGTATGATAAATGCAAAGTAAAAAGGGGGCATAATTCTGCAAGCGCTTGGCAGAATTACATGCCCTTGATTGTGCTTGTTTGTTTGTTACGGGTTTTACGTCACACCGACACAGTTTAGGTCATATGGCGACTTTCCAGCTTTACTGGTGGATACCTGACATGAAAAGATTCAGATTTCCTGCCAGGAATCGAACCTACAGTGTTGAGAGACAAGTGGTTTAAAGTAAACAACCTTAACCACTCAGCCACAGACACTCCTACATGCCCTTGATAGTAAACAAGTCCTTCAAGTTTGTAGTGAATATGCACGATGCTTTTTTATGAAAATAAGGAAAATGTCTTAAACTAAAAGGGAGATAATTAAAAAAACAATTCTGTCAAGGTTATTTGCCCATTAGAAATGTATGCCAATTGGATACTGAACTAGTATGTCGTAAGGTTAAAGTAAATATATATACGATAATAGCTTCTGTGGAAAAAAGGAGCATAACTGAGCAAAAAATTAAAAACAGATAATGAAAGAACTAATGAAATCGAGCTGTATATTAAATGGACTTGCAGATCTTTCAATCTTATTATTTTAGGGAAAATTTCAAAATAATTATACTGACTGAATTGTGAACAGTGATAAGACAATTTTTGTTGATATCACTATAAAATCTATTAACTTCATTTCTTCCCCTCTGCTTTTATCATGGCTTGGGACATGCTAGTTATTAAAACTAGGCAGCATTGGAAGAAGTGTAGTCATAGTATACGTCGAACCGTTATAAACGCGCGACTGAATGGACGTTTTGTTTTTATTTTTGTATTATTATTTTTAAAACGTGCTACACTTCTCCCACCATTCAGTTAACGAATCTTGTGACGTTGTTGGTATGTGATTTATTATTATTATTATTTTTATTATTATTATTTTTATTATTATTACTTTTATAAAAAAAAAATTATTATTACTTTTATAATTTAATTTTTTTTTATTATTACTTTTATGTTATTATTATTATTAATATAATAATTTGTTTATTATTATAATTATTATTACTTTTAGGCAATTATTATTTTTATAATAATATAGCTTTTATGTTTTTGATATGTTTTCTTTTTATTGTTTCTTTTATTACATATAGCATCTATTATTATTTTTCATGGCAATTTATACCATTTTTTATTACTGTCACATTGATTGAAATTAAAGTTTAAAAAAAAAATTTACATTTCATACCCAGAATATACTTTTACACAACGTACATATAGCTCTTTAAGAGCTGACCAGAAACATTTTTAATTTTATACCCTTTTTTGATACACATTTTTCAAGCACATTTTTGTAACACATTTTTCAAGCACATTTTTGTAACACATTCTTTTTACATACCGGTATATTTATAAAATTCTTTATACCATTTTTTATTACTGCCACATACTGTATTTGCACCTTATAAAGACCATTCATAGCATATCATACCAATCACAACATATGTTTTAACCCTTTGACCATCTTTGCGTTTAAAATTTCTAACTATAAAGAAATCGCATAAAGTCGCACGATGAGCTCAGAACCCAAAATTAGTATGTGTTGTACCAACATCAAAAATGCACACTTTTAAACTAATACCCTTTTTTTAAATTATAATTTAATATCGATATTTTTTACCACACAATTCATATCATCTTTTGATTTCATGGGGAATATTATGGAGCATACTCTATACAGCCGACCAGAAACAACTTTTATACATATTCTTTATTCACACAAGTACTTTCATACAAATTTTTTTATACAGTTTTCTGTAAACCGATTTTTTTTATTTTTTATAAAAAAACCTTTGACATGTTTAACAGGATTTTTCCTGTTTACCCTTTTTGAAGCAGCCAACCAGAAACCAGATACATAATACTCTTTTTATTAAACCCTGTTCATATAAATTATTATTACAAATTATTTTAATACACACTTTTTTTTTCAAATCTATAAAAAACACATTTGACAAGTTTAGCTGAAATTCTCCTGTTTGAGAAACAGCCAACCAGAAACCAGATACAATTTAATACCCTTTTATAATACCCTTTTTATACAAATTATTCATACAAATTATTTTGATACACAAGTTTTTTTTTTACAAATCCATAAAGAACAAAAAATCCACGAAAATTCCGTATTGCCTAGTCAGGCACGAAACGAAAATATTTGTGCCGGGTGGGGACAAAACGAAATATTTGTATCGGAGGGAGAAAATACATACAATTTATAAGTAAATGACAAAACAATTTATGATGTAAAGTAAGGATATGAAGGCAAAAGTCTAGAAAATTCCGCATCGCCACTTCATACACAAAATGAAAATATTTGTGTGTGTTTGCTTACCAAAAGATATTTACCAATTACAGTCATGATCCACAGGCCACTTCCATACTATGAAACTCCATATCCCTCAGCACTAAAATATATAAAACACAGAAATAATTATTATACACATTTTTATACACATTTTCATACACAATTCAATACACATTTTTTTGAAACGCATTATTCTACATATCTCTAAATGGCGATCTCAATTATACTGTGGCTGAGAGACCAGATTTTTTTATACCTTTTTATTATATCCATTTTTTATACATGTTTTTAAGTTGAGAGTACGGACCCGCAGCCAATTATACTGTGGCTGAGAGACCAGATTTTTTTATACCTTTTTATGATATCCATTTTTTAAACATGTTTTTAAGTTGAGAGTACGGACCCGCAGCCAATTATGCTGTGGCTGAGAGACCAGATTTTTTTATACCTTTTTATGATATCCATTTTTTAAACATGTTTTAAAGTTGAGAGTACGGACCCGCAGCCAATTATGCTGTGGCTGAGAGACCAGATTTTTTTATACCTTTTTATGATATCCATTTTTTATACATGTTTTAAAGTTGAGAGTACGGACCCGCAGCCAATTATACTGTGGCTGAGAGACCAGATTTTCTTATACCTTTTTATGATATCCATTTTTTATACATGTTTTAAAGTTGAGAGTACGGACCCGCAGCCAATTATACTGTGGCTGAGAGACCAGATTTTCTTATACCTTTTTATGATATCCATTTTTTATACATGTTTTAAAGTTGAGAGTACGGACCCGCAGCCAATTATGCTGTGGCTGAGAGACCAGATTTTTTTATACCTTTTTATGATATCCATTTTTAATACATGTTTTAAAGTTGAGAGTACGGACCCGCAGCCAATTATGCTGTGGCTGAGAGACCAGATTTTTTTAACCCCTTTTTATGATATCCATTTTTTATACATGTTTTAAAGTTGAGAATACGGACCCGCAGCCAATTATACTGTGGCTGAGAGACCAGATTTTCTTATACCTTTTTATGATATCCATTTTTTATACATGTTTTAAAGTTGAGAGTATGGACCCGCAGCCAATTATACTGTGGCTGAGAGACCAGATTTTTTTATACCTTTTTTATGCTATACATTTTTTATACATGTTTTAAAGTTGAGAGTACGGACTCGCAGCCAATTATACTGTGGCTGAGAGACCAGATTTTTTTATACCTTTTTATGATATCCATTTTTTATACATGTTTTAAAGTTGAGAGTACGGACCCGCAGCCAATTATACTGTGGCTGAGAGACCAGATTTTTTTTATACCTTTTTATGATATCCATTTTTTATACATGTTTTAAAGTTGAGAGTACGGACCCGCAGCCAATTATACTGTGGCTGAGAGACCAGATTTTCTTATACCTTTTTATGATATCCATTTTTTATACATGTTTTAAAGTTGAGAGTACGGACCCGCAGCCAATTATACTGTGGCTGAGAGACCAGATTTTCTTATACCTTTTTATGATATCCATTTTTTATACATGTTTTAAAGTTGAGCGTACGGACCCGCAGCCAATTATACTGTGGCTTAGAGACCAGATTTTCTTATACCTTTTTATGATATCCATTTTTTATACATTTTTTACGTTGAGAGTAGTGAACCCCCAGCCAATTATACTGTGGCTGAGAGACACGATTTTTTTTTTTACCTTTTTATAAATGTTTTAAAGTTGAGAGTACGGACCCGCAGCCAATTATACTATGGCTGAGAGACCAGATTTTTTTATACATTTTTATGATACCCATTTTTTTACACGTTTTTACGTTGAGAGTACAGACCCCCGGCCAACCTGTGGCAGAGAGACCAGATTTTTATACCTTTTTATGATACCCATTTCTATACACATTTTTACACACATATTTTTTGAAACTCTTTATTTTACATATTAAAAAAACATTCTTTGACATGTTAAACAGGATTTCTCCTGTTTTTCCTGAGGCTGGGAGACCAGAAACATTTTAATACCCTTTTATGATACCCATTTCATACAAATTATTCATACACATTTTTTTGCATATCTATAAAAAACCTTTGACAATTATGTTTAATAGAATTTCTTCTATAGAATTACCACTTTTTTCCACTCGTACTAGAAACCGTCGACTAGAAACAATTTTTATACCAATTTTTATATACAATTTTTATACCAATTTTTAAACTAATCTTTATACCATTTTTAAAACACATTTTCATACACAGTCTTATACACATTTTTTAAAACTCATTGTTTTACATCTTTGACATGTTTACAGTTAAACTATATATTGTTTGCGATTTTTTCCACTCCTTTTTTTGCATTTAATACCCATTATGCATTTAATACCCATAGTGCAACATAGATATCACGAGCCGACCAGAAACATTTTTATATCCATTTTTTATACCAATTTTCATACCAATTTTTTATACACATTTTTTTAAATATACATCCTTTTACATATTTATAAATTAACCTGTTTGACATGCACAGAATAAATGTATTAATAATCAGAATGCGGCGGGAGAGTTTGTCAATAAACAATAAAAAAATAAACAAAAAACGCCCGTATGTTATATCGCGCGTCGCGCGCGCTGGTCAATCGAGATCGTCAAATTCAACATCAACCATATTTTCATCAACAGTACGATAACTAGCAAGTCATGGGGGGGGGGGGGGGGGGGGGGGGGGGGGGGGGGGGGGGGGGGGGGGGGGTAATAAAACGGCCAGGTGTCTCAATTATCAGGAGCAATTATGTATACAAATCATCAAAAATGAAAAATAAACAGGCATATAATAAAGGCATTCAATACATAGGCTAATGAACAATAAAGTTGTAAAATATCAACACACCTGCACGCCATTTCTTCCATCTTCGCCGTGCAACTCTCCCTCCTAAACAGGTTCTTCTTCTTTTTCTTCTTATTTTCTTTTTCTTCTTCTTTTCTTCTTCTTCTTCTTCTTCTTCTTCCAGTACTGTACATATCTGAAAAAATCAAATGAAAAAAATAAAGTTGTAAAATATTAAACACACATAGAGAACGTCCATCTTCGCCCTGCGACGTTCCCTCTTAAACTGGTTTTTTCTGTGCTCAAATGATCCACGTGACCTGTAATGTGTTAAGCGGGAAAATTGTCCGGCTTTTTTTTCGCCGTACTTCGTTCATTATATTGAAACAACAACAGATTAACTAAGTGTTCCTTTGTTAATATAAACATGTTGGGGTCGCAACTTTTCGCCCTTTCCGCCAGTCTTCGGACACAATAGAACGGATACGGTATTTTGGTCTAACCTACAAATCGCAACTACTCGGCCTTTTCTCGTCAATCTATCGATAAGGACAACAGTTACGAGACGAAACAGAAAGTAGACAAATTTTGCACATTCATAATGACAGCGAAAAACAAAGCTGCTTGAACAGCGCACAGGATGATTCTATAATTTCACTGTACATTTAACATATAAAGAGTATTCACTTCAATATACGTATCTCTTGTACGGAGATTGACTAAAAAATTACCACTTCTCTCGGTTCAAATTTCATGTACATTTATTTACAAAAGTGTTTTTGTAAAAAAATCATATATAAAATTATCATATGTAGCATACATTGTGAACTTATCGATCTTATAGTGAATTTATTTGTACGTTACATGTAAATATTGTTCTTTTACAACATAAAACGTATTTGTCTAAATACATAGAAAATAAATGACACGTACCTTCTTGTTGTTTACCTTCCTCCATCTTGGATGGAAGCACCGTATCACGGAAAATCTGCCCCGTTTCACGTACCCGACAGTGTTTCATGAACCAAGCATATAAGCAACATAACATCTGATGCAAGACCTCGGCGCCGGAGTTACTGCTTGAAAAGTCTTTAAGCAAACTCACAAAAGTATTATATTTTTATAGTGTAAAAGAACAAGTTCTTACAACTTAATTGTTGTGTATCTATCAATATTATGGACAGTCTGTACAAGGTCATGCTACTACATGATCCAAAATATTGCTCATGAGCTGTAAGCGCGGATAAAATCTTTTATAGTCGCGAACATTTTCTTTTATCATATCTGATCTAACAACCATTTGGAGAAGTGGCGACCGTAAAGTCGCTCGCTAGTTAGCATCAAGAGGATTGATCGGTTGTACTCGTTTGCACCCCCCCCCCCAACACCACCATTTCCACTACTCTCAGGAGCATGTGTTTTGTCTCATACAGTGGTTCCAGCTTTCTTATGTTAAGTAAAAAAGCATCGTGCATATTCACTACCAAACTTGAATGAACTTTTCGTTAACTCTCACCCATTCAAGGAGCGAATGTAGGAGTGTTTGTCGACATATGAGTGGTTAGTTGCATTTTTGACTTTAAACCACCTCGGTCTCACTCAACACAACGTGCTAGGCTTCCGATTACTCGGCTTCTTGATCGTTCTGTTCTTATATCTTTATAATGTAATTCTCATCTTACAAAGTTTGTAATCCCATTTTTGATTGATATACTTCATTGTATTTGACTTCCATATACCGGACAGGCATTGCTTAAAAGCTGCAAGCCCGTTTTTATAAAAAAGCACTACTAGAATATCATAAACCAAATACGAATTGTATATAAGAATTAAAACAGGGAAACCCAACACACCTCAAAAGTACGAAAAAACGAATGTAGAAAAAAACTGGTTCATGCGTCCCTTTTGTATTTTCAATTATCTATATATAATACTCATTCTATACTATTATTTTCTGTTTATTCTAGTTGGTATATTTATTACTTTACCGAAAAACATGTCGATAAAATACAAAGAAAAAATATCTTAAACTAAGGCCCCTTGAAAGCATGTACACTATTACGCGTGTATGTCTCGTGCCTTGCCTATAAATAACGTTATAGGCTTTGTGATTTTGTTAATGAAGTTTTAATTTGCACGGAAATCATCGAAGAGTGCTAGTTGTACCTACAATCATTTTCTCTATATAGCTAATGTAATTATAATGGTTATTTTTCACCTAATTCAGAACATTACTTCAATTTAGTAGTAGCTTGTAATTCCAAGACAGCATTCTATTATAACCTACTCTCTATTCAAAATGTTTTATCGTAATGAGAATCGACCTACAGCGATACACGAGTTACTACACGATTAATTAATTAGGTATATATCGTTCACATCTGAACAACGTTTGTGGGACATACACCGAATGTATAATAGAAGCTTCATGAATGGACCGGTCCAAGTTCAAGCTCGGGGAAGGCTATTTATACTGTTGAGAATTGTACACTGAATTTCTTTCTTTCTCGTATGCGTGTCGGCGGGGTGATTAGGTATTTAAGTCTTTCTTTCAATTTTGGTGCATGAATCTAACCTCATCAGGTTAATCGTTGTTTTTCTTTTTTTCCCACTTTTAATCGTCTGCGTTTGTTTCTCTAGCCGCCCACTTGATGGCGCTGTTCTCCCAAAAGCCTCGCACAAATGTCTGTCTATATGGGTATATATTTATCGACATATATATATATTATTGTTATTCTAGAAACTTATCTTACTCAATTTGACGAGATTGAATTATCTATCTACATTTCTATATGTTTCCTGAGTTGAATCACATTTTCTATATATATAACGAGAGTTCTTTTAATGGCAATCGGTATTGCTACCTATATCTATATAATATGGTACGTGAGTTATGAAAGCGAACGCATTTTCCAAAACCAGTATGATTAAGCGCTGTCAACGCCTATGATTATTTCCGTGGGTTAAATCGCTATGTTTGTTGATTTTCAAATGAGCGTTTTCTATATATTGAAAATGAATTTTTAATAATGTCGTGTATCTCTTATGTATCCGTATATATTGCTATCGTATATGAATGTAATGTAAATATGATCTGGCCTTCTACACGATGCATTGGAATCGATTATTATCCATACATAGATTAAAGACTCTGGCTCAGCACACTTTAATAGATTTTATTATACATCTACATATGGTTGGCCTTAGTGGGGACAAGGGAAGCGATTAATTAATCTTTATATCGCATTTTATTCGAGATGTGTATTTTATTATATAATACAAAACCAAGATCAGTAAAATAAAGTTGTCCAAAATTTGAATTTTATACGTGATTTTTTATAGTTTCATAAAATAGCAATAATTTAACACAATATGATATAATAATATATAATATAAAAGTACTGATATACTACTGGTGTACTGTAAGCAACTGCAAGAAAATGCTCATTAATATTCCCCGACATTCTAAAATTTATGTGTTTTTTGTGTTATTTTTTCTTCATCCGGTTCTATGAACGTAAATCTCGTGTGTTCCTATGAAATGGCGGATGTGACATGGCGAGATTTGTAGCAGATTTTCTCCGTTGATTGATTCGGAATTGATCGAGAAACACCCTCGAAGGAGTTAGCCAATTTACTGAAATGTGTTTCTTATTGGGCGATTGAGGTATGTTAACAAAGTGGCTTTGTCGAAAGTGAACAGATTTTCTGTCTTAAGAAAATCGACACAAACGTCATAATTTCTGCACGATTTATTTGATAAAAAAAAGATTTTCATGTTGACTAAAAGTAATACATTTATTAAAGTGTTGTCCACAACAGCTTTATCAAAAATGTCCCTTATTTCATGTTATTTACACTATTGTCGTGTGCTATATACATGTTTAATATAGAATAATTGCTAACTTTAAGAATTATACTCCCAAAAATAAAGTATGGTCATTCACAGTAATTGATGTGCACAGTTCAGCCATTTCTACAGCCAGCAGTCATTCAACGCTAAACGCCAAAATAATAACACCCACTTACTCCTTTATGTTTTTCACATCATATATAACCCATGCAGAACCTGTCTGGAGACTAACCAGTGTGTTTTCTATATAGATGTTGAATTATTTTGGAAAGATGTTACTGCACTATAGAGGACCGACCGCTCTATAGAGGGTTGCTATACTTATGGCCGTTCTATAAAGGGTCGCTCTACGTAGGACCGCTCTGTAGAGATTGCTAGGTACTTGAAATGTTATCTTTATAAGCACCTTTTATACATTTTCGTATAAACAATACTAAACTAAACTAAAATTAAACTAAACAATACTAAAAGGGAATTTTACATCAATTTGCTTCGTTTTATGAAATCACCTTTCTTTTGGTCGTTGCTAAAACTCATTTTACATACATGTATTCATTTAAGATCGATAGCGGAACAAGTTCTCGCAATTTATATTAGTCACTTTCGAGTCCGCTTCGTGGAACCAATCAGTACTGGTGTCATATGTAAAAAACATTGTCGTGACCCAATTAGGGTTCGAACCCATGATTCCTGTGTTGAGAGGTAGACACCATAACCACCAGGTCACCGCTCCCCCTAAAAACTCATTGCAATATATATTCAAATGTTCATTTTGACATCTAATACACACCAGCACATATCCATTTAGGTCTTTAAAGTATAATCCGAATTAGGATTATCCCGATTAAGCACTTCGTAATGTTACGTTTAACTCAACTTTTACACTTTATATTGTGACATTTCTATTACAACGGTGAAATAAAGAAATAGGATTTTAACTAAAAATATATAGATCTATCTACTTTATTTAGTTAAAAGTTTGCATAATAATCGCAGGGATTGGAAAATTGGTAAATTATTATGTTGAATGTTGAATATAATTTATTGACAATGCACATTAATTTGCGAAGCGTTCTTATGAGCAAATTTCTGTCCTTAGCTTAGATATAACATTCTATTTCATCATTTTTAAAAAATATTTTTCTAAATGTTATTAAAACATTATCTTTAACAATGTCACAGTATATTTTATATGTCCTGTGGTAAGCAATGAAATGTTTTACTTTTTTTCTATTGAATGTTGCACTTATCTTTTTATTTCACTATTCATACATAAAATGTGTTGTTTTTTTTAAATGAAGACCTTGATTATTTATAATACAGCTTGATATGGAGGACGAAGTTTTTGAGACCAATGGCGTTCATCCAGTTGACGACTTATATTGCAGCAGAAATCAATCTTCTACCAGCAGACGAGAAAATGATTCTGACGAAATGATACAGCCGAAAATTCGTGCAAAGTCAGCTCGCGAGCTGGTAAAAAACCAAGAGCATCTAATAGACTTACTACAATCTATGAAATCAGATATATCAAAAATGGACAGGGAGGCGAGTAGAATAAAAGAGGACATAGTAAGGTCAACGCAACTCTTTCATGTGATGGTAAAGATGAAAAAGGCACACCATTTGCAGAATGTATCCGGCGGATACAATATCAGTTATTCGTTGCCAAGGGAAATATACCATCGTTATAAAAGCACGAGCCGAGATTTAAATATACGTTATTTAGATCAGCTTTCTACATACAGACCGAACAGTTGCAGACGATCAAGTTTGTCGAGTGCTAGCTCCCGAGATTATTCAGGATATCAAGGCCTGAGACACTCGGCCAGTCTGCCAAACACAATGAAAGCAGGTCTGACAAGTCAAAATTCAAATTCATCAGACGACAGTAGTTACTCCGGAAATTCTGCAACTGAAAGTGAAATAGACTCTGCCAAAACAACACAGCTCTCAGTTACCGGAAGTACGCGCAGCGTTTCGGAAGATTCAGACACTGAGGATAACGCCGGAAGTAGCACTGAATCAGCGAGTACACACGGTCCTACCGAGACAGAACTAAGCCGAAGACGATCTAGCTATTTCTTCGCGACAAGACGTTTAAGTCCTGCGCCTGTTCTATCTGATGAAGTAGACTTGTGAAACATTCCAAGGTCCTTGAAGACAATATCTATAATCATTTGTGTTGGATTAATTATTCCATTTGGTTCAATCGTTGTGTAAGACTTTGTTTTCATTACCCTGCGTTCGGTCAAAATAAGACAGAACACGTAGCATTCTGTGTTTTTGATCAACCCGGCGTGCATGAGGCCAATGTATTTGACTTGACACGAGACCAATATATTTGACAGAATATCTGACCAATTATGAAGCCAATGTATCTGACCGATCAATGGGTCATAATGATCTAACTGGACACTTATGAATATGTTTCAAAAGAACGTGGTCATGCAATGACATGGCCAGTATATTTGACCGATCACGAGGGCAGCACATCTGATATAATTATCACTTAGCCAATATATCTGACCGATCATGAGACCAGTATTTCTGACATACCACGAGGCCAATATCGATCACGAGTAAACCTGACATATCAGGAGGCCAATATACAATTATTGTATAAATGTACAAATGTATAGTAATTTTATTAAAATATTATTCCTGAAAATTAGCGTGTCTTTGTGCAACTTGTAATAAAATGTGTTCGTGTGGTTTGTCCTAGAATTATATCCACATAAAAACTTATATTCCATTTATAAAAATTAAAACGTAAGATCTTGAAGTTACAATTGAAGAATTAAAAGTCTCAATTCGCAAATGTGATTTTTGTTGATCAATTTTAAACCATTATAATGTCACAGCGTTTACAGTTTGTTTAATATTGATTAAACATGATTTTTGATTTTTGTTTCATTTTTATTGGGATTAAGAGCGCACCAACACAGTAAGGGTCATATGGCAGCTGTACTAGAAGGGGAAGCCCACAAGTGCCCCAATATGCATTATTTCATATAAGCAGGTCCCAAAGTAGAACAACCGACGTTCCGTAAGCTAGCAGGATAGCTTTTGCATATGAAAGAATTCAAAATCCCTGGCGGGCATCGAATCCACAGCTGTAAGGGGCAAGTGATTTGAAGTTATGACCATGACACCAAAGTTCACGTTTAGCTTGTCTCGACCTTGATTACGAAAGAAGATACAGTCAAACTTGCACGAGGTCACCCTTATTAAAGGTCTCACAAAGCAACATTACATTTAAACCACCTAAGTAACCAGTGTATATATTTAAACAAGAGCTGTCCGTAAGACAGCGCGCTCGACTTTTTTATTGCTTGCCAATAAAAAAAGTTTTTGCAGTAAAAGGCAATACAAGAATCTCTGTATTTTTAAAGTGAACTAGTTGTTTGATACCCTTGAATATTACAGCAATGTTTATATGACATAATTTATGGTAAAGTGAACAAGTGGATAGGAATGAATTTTTTTAGATTTTTTAAGTTTTTTAGTGCTTGCCTATAATACAAAACATTGACAGTTAAGGGCCATAATTCAAATAAAATCTTTGACAGAATTACCTTCTCCTGGACATGTTTGGGAATCATGATTGTAAACAAGTATTCCAACTTTCAAATTAATATCTCAAACAGTTCAGTCAAAAAGTGGACTGGTACTAAAAACTTAACCAAGATTCTAAGTCGATAAAAGGCCTTAATTTTTAAAACAAATCCTTGACAGAGTTACCTTCTCTTGCGTACAGATGGGGGTAATGATGTGAAATAGCATTAAAAGTTTCAAAGCAATATCTCAAAGGGTTAAGGCAATAAGTGGATTTTACCCATATTCAATGTATTTTCTAAGTCAAAAAGGGGCATAATTCTGTCAAAAACCTTGACAGAGTTATGTCCTCTTGTCTGTTGATGAAGGTCGTGATGGTAAACAAGTATGGTCAGTTTCAAAAGCAATACCTCCAATGGTTTTGAAATAAAGTGAGGTGGTACAAAAAACTTAACCAAGCTCAATACACTTTCTAAGTCAAAAAAGGGCCATAATTCTGTCAAAAACCTTGACAGAGTTATGTACTCTTGTCTGTAGATGGAGGTTATGATGGTGAACAAGTATGGTAAGTTTCAAAGCCATACTTGTAATACTTCTGAAATAAAGTGGGGTGGTACGAAAAACTTAACCAAGGTGTGACGCCAACGCCGACGCCAACGCCGACGCCGACGCCGGGGCGAGTAGGATAGCTCCCCTTTTCATAGAAAAGTCGAGCTAAAAACTAAAACTATCGCTGAATGCGATTCATACCCCCCACCAATGTCCTTGGTGGTGAAGGGAATTACTTTAGTGGCACAAGTACATATACATAAAAAGAAATTATCTCTGGTGAAAAAAAAGAAAAATTGTACAGGTAATAGTATAAATATATATTGTCAAATGATGTTCGAATAAGTTACAAATAACCTTTTATTTTTCCAATGAACTAAACATTTTCAAAGTCAATTTTTGACCTTCAAGTGTGGCCTTGACTTTAAGCTGGCACGAGGGTAAGATGGGTTCTGCACATTACACAGTTGGGGTGAACATTTCAGTAAAGTTTGAAGAAAATTCTTTCATTAGTATAAAATTTATAGAGCGGACACGACATATTGTCTAATATTTGATTGTATGTAAATTTGAAGACTTAAAAAGGGGCATAACTTTGTTAAAATGCAATACAGAGCTATGAAACTTGACCTGCATATCTTCATTGTGACACTTCATATATATTTTAAGTTTCAAGCAAATACCTTTTCCAGTTTCAGAAAATATTCAAAACATGTTAAAATTTAGGAATATTTTATAAGTCAATTTTTGACCTTCAAGTATGACCTTGACCTTAAGCCTGCAAAAGGGTGACATGGGTTCTGCACATCCCCTTTTTGAGGTGAATATTTGAGCCAAGTTTGAAGAAAATCTTTCAATTAGTGTAGGACTTACAGAGCGGACACGACATACTGTCTAATATTTGATTGTTTGAAATTTGACCTTCAATTGTGACCTTGACCTTAAGTGGACACATTAGCAACATGGGTTCTGCACATCCCCTTGTTGAGGTGAACATTTGAGCCAAGTTTGAAGAAAATCTTTCAATTAGTGTAGGACTTACAGAGCGGACACGAAATACTGTCTAATATTTGATTGTTTGATATTTGACCTTCAATTGTGACCTTGACCTTGAGCTGACACATGGGCAACATGGGTTCTGCACATCCCCTTGTTGAGGTGAACATTTGAGCCAAGTTTGAAGAAAACCCTTTAATTGGTATAGGATTTATAGAGCGGACACGAAAATGGAGACGGGCGGACCGACGGACGGACGGACGCGACAAAGCGAATCCATTATAGCCCCCCCCCCCACATTTTGTGGTGGGGGTATAAAAACCCACAAAGACAAATATTTATATACAGATAAATTGTGTCTCTAAATGAAAATAACAACAACTCTACAAGGTGTATTCTTATATTTTAGACATACCCCTTTGCAATGAACCTGTCAAGCTGTATATTTAGAAACAGTCTTTACATATTTCAAGGGATTTCAACAGCTTTAAGCCTGGGGCCTGAGGAAAACTTTGTGTACAGCCTGGCTCACCTCTAGGTAGTTGGCAGAGGTTATCAAATTTTTGTTTCAGGGGGGAAAAAAAAAGGTTCATTCATGCATTATCATAGAAAAACAAAGGTACTGGGGTGTTTTTTTTATGGAATATAACATTTTATTTAAACATTACTCATTTTATAAACACACTCTTAATATTCATTCCAATAAACCATTGTTCAGTACAATAAATATCTTTGTAATAGAATGTCCAAATTTTTACACCAAAAACATTTCGAAAGGGAAATTTGTACATAAATAGTACAAAGTAGATAATAATTTTGCTCAAAAAAAAATAAATAACCAAAAGTCTGTGAAATGTTTGATGGTCTCTCAAAATACAAGCACAAATTATTGTAAATTCAAACACACTTGTTTAGTTAAACTGTTTATAATGACATATGAAAATAAATATCCCATCGTCTTTTCTTCTTCGAGACTTACACCCAGTATTGCGTTTCCATAAGGACTGGTCTTTGGAAACTTGAACGCTGTGCTTGTTGCACGAAACTATCGTGCATCTGAAGCGGGAGTTCCGGGTAGGACTTCACTCCAGCATGGGCCCATGGATAGTTGTCCCAATAAAGTGATCCGTTCTGAAGTGATGGCTAGAAATATACAAAATTCTATATAAATGATACGTGCTTAAAAGTCTCTTTGGTGCTATATAATAGGTGATTTTGAACACAACTATTGTCACATGTAACAAAACAGCATGAGAAAAGTGTAAAAGACAATACAATTTCTCTTGATGCCAAAATCAAACTAGCAAGGCCTCACACACTTTCTATACCCAAATCTGGTGTCGATCAATCTTATATAAAACATAAAGCTAAATCGCTTACATTATAAGCAATTAATTATATTATTAGTCGTGAATGAAAACGTTAACTACTGCGCACTGAATATCGTATGCCACAGTCTTGTCTTACTGTTACGGGCGCAATGAGGTGAATTGATAACTGACACATTGACGTAATTGTAATACTATAGTAATTATATGTTCCTTACGATCACGGAATTTGAGGTTGTTATGACTGTGCGAAGATTTGTCTCCGCGAAAACGCACAACCTAAGGAAAAACGCGAAATATTGTATCTGCGAATGTTTCTGGTATACAGTACTTTTTACTGACATTTAACCAAGATAGTACTGTACAGATATCTTTCAAAATGAACAACTGTTATACATGTATTACTAAAGCATTTTCATGCCAACTGTTACCATTACAATAATTCTTTATTCAAGTTATATATTATAGTGTCATTACTAACCTGACTTTCGGTGTTAGTAGATGCCGCAGACGATCTTTCCATTTCCCCGAGAACGCTCCAACTACTTTGAAGGTCCGTCAACACGCTGTTCCCGGAAATACTCACGATACGGGACGACGGCTCTACAGACGAATTTGGTCGTATCGACGACTCTTCAACAGGTCGGATACTTGACATTTCATCAACAAGTTTCGACAGATCTTCCGGACTAGTTGGTGCGGTGCTGTGTGGGTAGGATCTAGACCCCGTCACTCCTGGATAACTGGACGTATTGTTACTTCCAATATTTGGTAAAAGTGACGTATTTTCTGACGCGTGGGTATCAGAAGAAGTTACGCTGCTAGCTAATGTATAATTTAATATTTTCGCCATTGGAAATGTAAGGTGTACATTAGGCGCTACCATACTATTGTTGTTGTCGTCCATTAGCAAGTTTTGTTTACTAAACTGTGCAATGCTACTTGGTAGACTACTTAAATTTGTACTCGTTTGCTCTGTAAGGTTGTTCAGCCCCGATGGATTTGTGGATGTCTGACACCCGCTGTAACTCTGCTCATATGACGTGGTGCACGTCTGGAATGAAGACTCTGGGTACGATGTTGAGGTCTGATTTATATCTGTTTCTGTACTGACTGTTAGACGAGTGTTAGAAATTGATGGTATGGAAGATTTTGGACTGGATGGGTAACTAGTGTATTGATAACCTTGATGGTGGTCATCGCGAAATGTTTGCGAGGTTTCACTACCAGTTTCACATTCCGTTGTAGGCGTGTTGTTATTAGGATAGAATGGTGAGCTTACTTCCGGTTCGTATGCATTGTTTTGTGAAGCTGTTTGCTCTACTACAGACCGGCGCGTGATTGGCGGGTAACGTTTCGACTGACCTGACTGGCTGTGTGACCCTGACCTTTCATAAGGAGGTGGCGGGTTAGAGGACGAGTACCAGGCCAAGTGATATGGTGAAAATGAGGCTTGAGCGCTAATATCATAGTTTCTTGACAATTCCGACAACTTCATTGACGATGGTGATTCTATCTCATTAATTGGAGATAAAGGCTTAGTTCCTAAACGACCACTACTAGACAAAGCAGTAGTAGGGGTTTGGTATGTCTTCCACTGGTTTTTGTCCCATGTATACGCATATTTTCCGGGCTTTTGTTGTATGGGTATAACATTAACATTTTTAACTTTCACAACATTATTGTGGCTTTTTGCTATTTTCTCATTGGCACTGCCTCTTAAAGGTGTAGTAGATCTCGTGGAATCTCGGACCGCGTCAAATCCGCTCCTGTTGGACCGACTGCAGCGGTAGCTACGGTGAAATGATGATCCAGAGTTATGGTCCCTGCTAATGTGTAAGGTTCTTTTATCTCTCCATTTATGCCACCAAAGACACACAGCAACGCTGGTCAGAAATATGCCGATCATTATAATAGGAATTATAAGGCCCCAACTTGGTCCATCGTTGTTCCCATTTGAATGGTTTATAGTAGTGGCAGGTGGTGGTAACGGTTTTGTAACAAACTTTGGTCTTTCAGAGGTGAACGCCCCCACTGGGTTGGTTGCCATATTCAGATACCCTTGTTTTTACATCATTTGGTCATCTGAAAAAATGGCATTAAAACAGACTAAAGAACATAATAATAATGAATAATCACTGTGGTCCTATATAATTAATTATCAAGTGATCAAAATTAATAAAACAAAAGATGAGCTGCTAATTACCCAGCAATGAGTATATCTCTGATTCTAGTTTAAATAAAACATTATAATATGTACAAAATATTTCCTGACGTAGAATATCTTTATGTTTCGCACATTTACTTACAAAGGAAAATAACTCAAAACTTGTTTGGCATGTTTACTCTTAAAGACATATAATTCTGCCAAAATTTCGGGTTTTTTTTTAACCAAAAATGAAGAAACCAAAAAGTATACAATAGATCATTATCATGCACATCTAAAATGCTGGCCAATATTAACTTATTAAGCTACTCGTATGGAAAGAAGAAACTTTAGACCATTGATCTTATTATGATGATGCTTTAAATAGCTACATTATAATTTAACTTTGACAGTACAGAGAAATGCTTGTACTTTATCAGTTTATGGGAAGAACCAAAATAAGAACAAGAAGAAAAAGAGAAGAAGAAAAAAGAAGGTGAACTGCGCAGTTCCGAGGCACGAATTGATAGTTTTTCTTATTTAAACCTCTTTTGGTTTAAACAGTGTTAAAGACAAAAGTCGTAAAAAGTAGCATATCATCGATCATAAATCATTAATCAAACAATAAGTTCACTTACCAACGGCATAGCGGAAAGGTTAAATTTATTCCAGAAATCAATTTGTTTTTCGAGGTTCTTTTAGTGATCTACGAAACATACGATTTACTATACGTTAATTAATGTTTATACATTCTGTTTTATGGTTCAAATAATGTCTAAATCCGATGAAAAAAATACAATGATGTCTATGACAATTTGTGTTCACTCAAACTCTCGTGCACATTCACAGAGGCGCGGCTTGGGGTCAAATACATTTTTATGAAAAAACGAATGCATAAAACGGAATTGTAGTAAGAACTATTACATTAAACTATATTGTCTTTCATTAATATAGATCTATGCTGAGACATCATTCTTTGTACCAGATCTATGTCATGTAATGTATATTTTGTGTACTTCGGTACAATCGCAAATTTTGGGCCGTTTCCGTCATATTTCAGCAACTATGAGCATTATTTATTCTATTTTATTTTTCTAGTGTTAGAACTTCTTATCCCTATGTAATATATATCTCTGATTAGATCTATATGAGTCGCGTCATGACAAAACCAACATAATGGGTTTGCGACCAGCATGGATCCAGACCAGCCTGCGCATCCGCGCAGTCTGATCAGGATCCATGCTGTTCGCTTTCAGTTTCTCTACTTGTAATAGAGTTGGTAAGCGAACAGCATGGATCCTGATCAGACTGCGCGGATGCGCAGGCTGGTCTGGATCCATGCTGGTCGCAAAGTTTGTCATGATGCGGCTCATATGAGTTCCGAGTGATGATCTTTTAACATCTGATGACTGATGATCGGCAAGGTAGACCGATATTGATTTTTAATTCGGAATTGCATGTCAATGTTTTACACCTTTTGTATCAGTACTAGATTTAGTTCATTTATTTTTATACATTTAAATGTGTAAGCCAAACTACAATTTAAGCATATGAGTAAAATTAGGACAACTTACGCTAACATTAAATTATTTATTTCGGGACGGGGAAATAAGAAGGAAAAGACACAGACAGTTGATGATTGTAACTTTTGCCCCCATTTCCAATTCGTTTCAAATAGCGGGAAATCCTAGTTCCACGTCGACTAATCCATTCCCAACGCGGGAGATGCATATTGCTTCCGCAGTTTGGGCGCAAAAAAACCCAACAACAACACCATGTATACCATTAGTAAAGAATAGTCAATATGCAGATTGATTTATCTAATACTGAGATTAATATTGTCAATGAATCTTCATGATCGATATGATTAAAAATGTAGATCTGTGTATATGGTTATATTTACAAGGCCTATTAATAAGCTCTATTTTACATAAAAGTCTATTATAAACAAAGTTCATAAAACGGAATGCAAATAGAGCGACATAAAAATGACACTGACAGAAATCGACAAATTACGGCTGACTCTGACGGGCCTCTCTTATTATAAAGAAAACGGTATTATTCTATTTTTAGATCAGAATCAATTTATAGCTATCGGGGATTCCCTTTTCAAAACGAGGCCAGGTGACAGCTTGGAGTTGGAAGTTACATCGAAGGTAACGCACTTTAATCCATGTTTGTAGCCAATCATCTTATGTATTTGTATAAAAATGATAACTGATATGATTAAATAAGATGTTGAACTATCCACCGGCGAAAATATTTTTTCAAGACATTCTTGCTATGGTGCGATTGAGACCGATCAAATTTGTGATATTGAGGAAGCTACTCTGGCGGCCATAACTTGTTTACATCGGGATAGAGATGTATACCGTCTGAAATTCCTGTCAAAATTTGAGTATCGCGCAACTCGCTTTCGTTCTTTACAATATCTATTTGGTTAATGTGAAGATAAAACTCCCTTTTCGCATGTAATAACTAAACTTGTATTTACTTATTGCCTTTCTATGAAATAGTAATTGGCCATTCCTTATTTGGAAAATGGGTATTTTTAGTTATTAAAAGTAGGAGGAGCTAAGGGAAGGCGGCCCTATCGTGTGAAGAAGGGGGTGGGTCTGAAAGCTTGTCAAACAAAATGAAAAAGAGATTTTATTGTAGAAATATACCCAATTGCAATTGATAAGAAGAAAAACACAGCTCCAAAACACCATTTTACTAAACTGTCGAAGTTATAAAGTTATTTACTTTTGTGAACTTAATTGGATGTACATCTTTGGAGTAGTGGAGTTCAAATATGTTGATATTAATTTAAGAGGAACAGTTTAAATAATTATAGAACATTGAATATATTTATTTGTTATTTATTTAATTGTGCACCGTTATAAACTTACAAAATGCAGAATTTACATGATTTAGCAATGTTTCGTTTTAATTTTTGGCATAAACCATTTTTATCACCACCAGCAGCCCACCAGCCTTTTCCGCCTGGAATGGAAAGCACTTCTTTTATACCAAACCCGCTCGGTGCACCTGCTTTAATGGTTCTTGCATCAACGGCTGAAAATCACGAAGGAGCAAGGATAACAGGAGCGCCTAGATTTAGCAGTCCGGAAAATAAAGATTCAACTCCACAATACAGTACTGCAAATTACACCATGTATCGCCCAGGGGATCATTTTCCTACACCAATTTATGCACCTGTTCACCCTTTAGTTCGCTCTGCAACTGAAAGATCGGGGGTAAGACTCATGCACCCAGGGGCAAACAGTGCTTTCCGACCACTGTCAGAAAACCCAGAGCAATACCACTCGGCTTTTTCTCCGGCTAAGAGACCTAAACCAGAAGATCTGTCAACAAAAAATTACCTGTCAAATGTGGAAACAAATGATAATAACGGCAGTAATGACTTTATGCGGGATTCGTCAAAAGATGACCGGCCATCTAGTCTAAGTTCAGTAAATTATGACACAAACTCTGAGACACATTCAGAAATAGGGGATGCAGATCGTCAGACCCCCGATTCTGAGGGCCGTTCCCTAAGAAGTAAGTAATGTATATCACTTGCAATAATGAAGTGTAGTTAATCATTTTAATTAAGTTATACATATGTATTGAAAGTGATAATTGCCTGCCTGCAGAATAATTTTTTTCAACTTTACACAATTTATGCTTGATTTATTTTATTTAAACTCATGTTTTGACTTTAAATCTATTAATTTACTTAAGCTATATTTTGGACACGTAAGTCAAGGGAGAGAACCAGTTTTTGTTTAAGAAATAGAATTCAGACTGTTTCTGTTTGATACAAAACCATTGTTTTATTGATAGTAATAAACTTTGAAATAATGTTGCTTGAAGACTTGTGTGACTAGGACAGTATAAAAACTTCTTGAAGTTTTTTTAATACTGATGGTGTCCTGTCTTAATCCATATTTATTCTGCTATGTTAGTAATTCAACATCTTATAAGCATATAATTATATTATCATATTTGAGTTATATTTTATAAGATTATTGAATCGAGGTTTATAGCCCAAGTGTGAACTTTTAAAAATAGCAAGGAACAAATATATTAATAAATAAGGGAAGACACAATTTTAGTTGACTGTTACTTCTGTGGCACTGCCAATTGGACATTACTATTATAAATTGCTTGGAAGATAACAAACAGAATTTTAAATGAAATAAATTTCATTAATGAATAATTATAATTTCTTATTTCTAAAAGATTGTAACAATAAATACATAATATGCACAAAATAAATGCACAAACTATACATATATTTTTTTTTCAATTAATCTAATATCTTTAAATATAACTTAAATTCTTCATCCATTGAAGTGTTTCGCTGCATATTCAAGTCATAAATTATTTGAACTAGGCTTGAAGTTGTATTATTTGTAAGAATACTAAGGTATTATTTAATTTATTTATTTATTTTTTTTTTAAATATTAAATTGAGTGTGTTTTTTTACATTAAATTGAGTGTTATCTAGAAATATTAGTGCTTTCTGTACTTAATATTATTGGATGTTTAAATGCTTAATTCAACACAGTTAAGACTAAAGTAGGCTTGTAGGCTTGTAAAAATAATGAAAATACATATTTGTAGTAATATAAATTTTGTTACATAACAAAACAAAAGATGATAATGAATTATTAAAATTAGTTATAAAGTGCTTTAAACAATAACAATAAATAAATTTGATATTGGGGTGATTTGAAATGACAACAATAGTTTTAATTAAACAAATATAGAAATAAATAAATAAATATAAAACAGAAAAGGAAAGAAAAAAATTTTAGTCGCAGCACTGCCAACTATACATTACTAATATAATTTATATAAATTACTTAGAAGATAACAGATTTAGACTTGGATTTATAATCAAGTAACGCAAAACATATTAATTTTAGAGTGTTTTAGAAATTAGAATTTGTTCACTATTTATTTGAGTTGTTTGGACCAAATAACAGATAGTCTGTTTGTTGTTAAGTTTAGGACCAAAGAAAATTTCAGTATCATCCTAGTACATATGTATTTTTTTTCTAATTTTCCATGTTTGTATATTTTTATGTAAATTATAAAACCAAAGAAGAAAGTTAATAGGATTGTCATATATAGTATTTGTTTTTAAAGAAAAGGATTAAGAATTATATTTGAGTGAGGATGAAATGCATGGGTACAAGTTTTCAGGCATTTGCTTGAAGTTCAGTATTTTCCTACTCTTGAAAGCTCTCTTTTTCTATATAAAACCAATTGAAATAATACTGCATTCAGGTTTTCCTGGTTTTCTGGTATTTTTAACTTGCACCCACAGAAATGTAATTTTAAATTAACTATTGCATTAAAGATTATGTCATATGTTGTAAATTGCAGTTTGATTTAATATCACCTCCTATATACCAGTAAAAAATTTCCTAGGGGGAAGCCACCCTTTAACATGGCCTTGTTGCTATAGAAGAATGAAAAGCCCTGACTAAATGGCAATGCAATAGTTCTTAAAAGAAGATCTAAACCAAAAATAACATGATTAGGGATTTCTATTAAGGCTCTTTTTTAAATGTTACAATCATTAATAATTAATTATAATACTTAACTCTTAATCTGCTTATCTGCTTGCATAAATTATTTAACAACATGAAAAACAACATGATTAATATGACTGTTGACCATCTTGTTTGATTCTTGAAGCTTGTAACACTTTTTTTCCACAACAAAATTGTTTTCCTTATTAATTAACATACAGTTATTATTCCCATAGACCATAATTGCAGCCACATCCATACTAAGTAGTTCTTATGAAATCTCCTTTTTTCCCTGAGCCATATGAAGTTTTTTAGTGCTCAACCTTGTTCCTGAGTGTTTAGAATTCAAGGTTGTACACTGTACAGTAAAATTTTAAATATTGAATTATTAACTTCTATTAAATACATGCGCAAGACCTTTTCTCTGAAATGAATGTTAGGTAGCGGCAGTCGTTTTAATACGAAAGTAAACTTCTACTCTTGTTGTGAAGAACTGTTGAAAAGAACAGTTATGCGGCATATCATGGAGATGATTAATTGAAATTCTTTGTTGAATCATAAATTCTTAGAGGCGGCAAATTCTTCACTTTCCAATTTTTTGTAATAATCTCAATTGAGTGACTTCTCACACCTACCCATTTAAAACTAATGTTGACATTTTGTAAAACGGTTTTGTTACGAAGACATTGCTTCTTTTGTGCGCGTTTAAAGCCTGTTCAGCGGCGAGTCCATTGATTAGAATTAACCTTTATAATTTCTGTAACATAAAATGTACGAGAATGGATTTTTTCTCATCGGGCATTAATAGTACAATCATAACATAATTAGATTAGGTTTGTCGCAAACTGCGCATTCATTGTAAGCCATTTTATTCGGTTAGGAAATGTATTTACTTAATTATAACATTTTATTGATATAAAACGCAGTAAACTCTATTCAGCTTGTAGTTTTGATAAATTAATTTTCAGTCTCTATTTTTTACATTGTTTTGCCACAAAAGAGTGATATTTCCGTAGTCTCCAACTCTCTTGTTAGTCTGATAACGACGATTTAAGTTAATTGAAAACTTCAATTATTGACATAAAATAATTGGCAGTAAACTGCTTTTGAAAAGGATTAATTGAAATTAATTATTTATCATAAAATGTTCGTATTACAGTCTTACCTTTCAGAAGATTGTAAATGTGCAAACTTTCCCCGACGTATATTGAAGGGAGGTTAGAATTTCAGTCGAGCATGGGCAGTAGGGTCTATAATTAACTTAAGTGTCAGGTTATATTTCATCAATATGACCGCATTCATTCCTCTTTAGGATTTTTATGAACCATCAGTGGGTTTCAGTTCAAATGATTAAACAATGAAACACGTTTGAATATCTATGTATTGTAGAATTTATTTATTCATTTAAGGTATTCATGAGTTCCAAAAACCCAACCCTACACCCATATTACAGTGTTGGGAAAAAGGAACAGGTTTAGGCCACAAATTTAATCAGGCCATGTTTTTTTGTGGTTTGACCAATCTGATGTTGAGTGTTTGATAAAACTCACTCGCGGGCGTCCATGGGTTGTTTACTTTAAACCTCATCGATGTAGGTTCAAGTCCCGCCAAGGGCTTTGGATTCATACTAGCCTACAGAACATTGGTGGTTCTTTTCGGTTGCTTATTGTGCCTGAGATAATGCATAGAGGGGCACATGAGGTCTTTCGCCACCAATAAAGCTGGAAAGTTGTCATAGGACATTTTCTGTGTTGGTGCGACATAAAACTTGAGCAAAAAATATGACAACAGAAACCACTCATAGACATTGTAAATTCAAAACAAGTCAATTTAATGGCACAAGGACATAAAGGTTCAATGCTTAAGTGTTTAAAGAAAAAAAAATCGGATAACAAAAAACAAAACATTATGCTATAATTTGTTAACAAATTTATTAGATTTCATTTATGAAACTATCTAACAGTAAACTGTTTTAAATATACTTGTACTAAGTCTTAATTAAATAAGATCTTGTGGAAAAACATTATATATTTTTAAAATGAAAATTCACAAAATACCATAGAACAATTCCGTTTTATTTACTTCAAAGTTTTGTTTTTTTCAGCAATTTTTATGGTATTTTTTGAAAATTTTGCTTTGTCATTTGATATTTCATGTATATTGATTTGAAATCAAAAACTGTTTTTGGCATTCTTTTCTGAATGGTATTGCTAATGGCCAATTTCCAATGGTTTAGTGGTAAGATTGGACTAAAAGTTAATTGAATGATTGTAAAGTTTTATAGGGGAGCTGTGGATTACATTTTATTGACTGTAAAAATAGTGTCATAATCCAGTTTGATTGTTCATTGTATATTTGAAAAGTATCTTAAGTTGAAATTTTATCTATTTGAGACGAGCTAAATGGCAACAAAAGCTAAATCTGTTTAAGGCATAGCCGAATATTTCATTGTTTTTTTTCCCTATCATTTATTGTAGATTACCATTACAAAAGCAAGCAATTTTTTTTGTTGATTTTAAAATGCATTTATTTATGTAGAAATATTCAAATTGAATTCAACCTTTTCATGGACATTTATGTAAATTTGAAATTAATAATTATTATTATTGTATTTTGTGTTAGTAATTAAATGCTATTAAACTTGATTCAGAAAGGTTTATTAATTAATCCAAATTAATAATTTAATTAAATTTGCTATAAATAACCCTTGTGTTATTCTGGCTTTAACTTTACAGTAATGGTATGGGAATTGTATGTTCGCTTATTGTATTTATCCTTAACAGCAACATAGTTCTAATTCTTCTTATAGTCTACTAAGTAATAATGAAATATATTTTGTTTAAATTATTACAAAATACAGTATTTATGTAAAAATCTGAAAAGATATGTTTTAAGGTGTTTTTATTGTTTTTAACAAAAACTTTTGTCTGTCTTGAGTCTACTTTTATTGGGTTTTGGTGTTTTCTGAGGGGGATGAAATGAAAATTTTGGGGTGTTTTTTTTTTCCACACAGT